TAACAGCTGACATCAATGAAAGTAGCCGTTTCCCAAGCTCTAATTTAGGGCGAGGGAAAATCGATCAGCTGATTTTCCCTCGCTCTAAATTTACTTTCCCTCGCTCTCAATTAGTTTTCCATTTATTCACTACGCGCGCTAGTGTTTTGTTACGGCTTAACTTAATGATTTAAATCAGCTGTATGTATTGTTCAAAATCGTTTTATTCTTTTATTTTGACGTTTGAAGTATTGAGAAATGTACAAAGGTTTCCTTTAGAATATTTTATTTTATTTGTATGTTTTAAAAATTAAACAAAAATGAATATATAGGTTAACTTTTAGATTTTATTTTTTTATGTTTAAACAAATTGTTTGATAGATAATTATTGTAATATTACTGAGGTCTGCTATTCTGTGTTTGTGTATTTTTGCGTCGTGATGAAAAGTATCGTTCATAACTCGTACCGAAAGTTATTATCCGGCACTTGCTCCATTATTCCCGTCCTCGGCTTCGCCTCGTACGTGAAAATAGCTCTCACGTACTCGGCTTCGCCTCGTACGTGAAATGGGGGTTCCCTGTGTTCGGCTTCGCCTCACACAAAAACTTGAGCGCGCGCCGGAAAATGCCACTTTCGGTCCTAGTAGTGAAATATACTATTCTGATTGTTGTTATAGGCACTATAGTGATCACGAAAACGCATGTCGTCACCCCCCAGCGTGGTCGACAACCCGGGGGGGAGGGGGGCAATATGGCGGGGGGCGCCGTTTACTAAAACGCCTATAACTCAAGAACTATTCTAGGTAGAACATTGCAATAAACGTCAATTTACTCAAAAAATTATGATCTTCAAAGATGTTAATGAAGTGAAATTCGTATCTTTGATGGTTTTTTAGTTATTTTATATTGAAGCTAAAAATCAATATGGGGTTATGGGGTTAAAATAGGTTTTTCCCATTTTTGACCCTAATAACCAAACAATTTGCAATTTATTTCTTAACCCATTTTGTAGAGCTTAAAAAAAGAAATAATTTAGTATAGCAAAGGGCTGTTGTATGCCTAACGGTTATGGATATATAGTAAAAAAAAACTTAAATTCAAAATGCCCATGTTATTCTTACACAGAATCAAAAAAACGGTTGTAGTTTGCTTATATATGGATATATTATAATCAAATTTGGCAATTTTGTTTATTTCATACTAAGCTATCAACATTTCAATATAAAACTCACCTCAATACCTTCCCTGTAGCAGCAAACCTAGGTACTCATTATAATTCATTTTATTTAAATAGGAAATAAAGCTGACAGTTTTCAGGGAATATTTGAGTATAATTTAATATTGATTCTGCAGGTTTACTGCGGCAGGGGTACTTTTTAAAGCAACCGAAATTACAAGTACCAAGAGACACCTTTTAAGGATAAACATAGCTTTTATGTTTGTAGATCTATGAATAAAAAACATTGATGAAAAATCAGGAAGAAATTATAGGAAAAACTGTTCTTTACTTAGGTTATTTTTACTTTACAATTAAATTTAAATAGAAATGCTGGGACATTTCATAATAGTATCATGAGATATCAAAGTGTTGTTAGTTATATTATTTCACATACCGTACCTTTAGTTTGACAATATGGGCTGCAATGTTGATAACAGTGACCGAAACTACAAAAGGAGTTTGAATGTTGTATAAAATAATTTCCTTTAGAATAACGAACAAAATATACTTTATATAAAAAATATTCTTTTTATTTAACAAACTATATTTACAAGTATTGTAATAGTTATACACGTCTTAATACAATTAAAAATATTGTAGATTAAAAATACTTCTTAAAGGTAAATTTGTCATCCTTGTAGATCATCTGGTACCAGAGGTGTGTTTTTATTAAATAAAATTTGTTTCTTGTTATTTCAGATATTTTTAAAACTTATGAAGCCAAATAAATCAATATACCATAAACAATAGCTCGTCCCTTTTTCATATCCGGAAAAAAAACAGTCATCATAAAATCAACCGTAAAACAATAGAAATACAATTTTGTTGACACTAGCGCCCAGTGTCGCCAACATGAACTAGATATGAACAAAGCTTTAGAATTAACTATGAGATGAGAAGTCTACTTGTGTTCGTTAGTCTATGATATTATTCACAATAAATTTCCATAACACTAAACTACTAGTAGTAAATAAATGTACTGAATGTGTTTCATTGAATTAAAATATAAATAACAGCAATTAAATTATACAGCTGATCAAAATTTAAACAATTATGTTCTTCGTAAGGATAACATGGAAACATTCAAAGCCACTGGGGCAGAGCCCAAGGGACTTTAAACAAATTGTAAGGCCAGTTTGCAAATCTACGTGACACGCTCTTTCCAATGAGACGTCAAATGGATAAAATCGGTTAAGAAATGGCGGAGAAGTTCAACCGACAAAGTTTCATGTAGCGTATTAATTATATAGATAGGTTTATGTCATTGATTTACCATTTTTTGAAGCTATAATAATATCTAATTTAATTGAACAATAAATTGATCTGTCAACTTTTTGGAAATTAATTTAATTTTAAATTTAATAATTAGTGCATTAATCCTAAAAATATGAACTATAGTTATCTTTTCAAAGAAAGGTGCAAAACTATAACAGGTCATACAGAAGGCATCCTATGGATTTACTTGTCATGTTTATGATATTATATATTGTTTCAAAAGGATAAAAAATAATTGCTCAAAAACTGATCGCTAAAGGACATGATGTTTATAGTTTGTTGTTAAAAAAAGACAAAAATTGAATGTGTCAAATTTATTGACGTTGCAAAACTTATCGTAACAAGCGACCTTCGGTTTAAGTGCCTCTGATTGCTTGAGTGGTTCAATTGGATTATGGTATACACAATGTCACAACACATTGCCAGTACATTTTGTGACTTGAGAAGATATCAAATATCAGATATCGCAAATCCATATCAGATTCAGTAAGTATACTTTATTTATACGTACAGATGATGATCATCATACCTATAAATATATTGTAGGAAACTATAAAATTTGATATGACGTTGCTCAACAACTGTAAAAAGTCAAGGACACAAACATTTGTTATTAATCTTTTACACTATAAAAGCTGAAATATCAGTATGAGTACCATAGTTAAATGTAACCTGCAACAACTTTATATAGGTATCAATGGAAGCAGCTGAGAATTGGCCTGTGTGCTGCAAACTGGGAGATTAGCTTAGAACTACTTGATGTTAAGGGAGTCATAGGTTAACGGAAGACGTTAAGTGTCTCCCAACTAGACCAAAAGATAACTGTATAAATAAAAATACCCCCGCTGTAGCAAACCTGCAGATTAAGCGAATTTCCATTCGCCTAATTATATTTTCACTAAAACATCTCCATAAAATATCTGATATATTCCCTATTCAAATAGCATTAGTTTCAAAAGTACATAAGTAAAAACAAATTATCCAAATTCGTTAAAAATATGTCCAGAAACAAGCAAAATAGAACAGTTTAGTTATCCTCCTTAAGAAACATAAAAAATTTAAATTTACAGTTTTTAAAATTTCTTCATAACCATTAGCACATAACGACGCTTCAGATGTACTAAATGATTTATTTAAGATCTACCATTGACTATATATACCTGTAGGTATATATAGTCAATGGTTCTACAAAATGATGGTTTGGAAAGAAATTGCTAAATTTTGGGTTTTTGGACATAGCAGGCTACGGTTTTTTTGTTGCAGGGTACGGTATAGTATAAATAAATAGATGGGGTTGTATGCATGTACAGTACTTACAAACAGGGGTTCACCTATAGTAAACCTATTAAGGTATGTTTTTCCAGCTGTTAACGACGACTGTGTTTTCATGCACCAATTTCAAACTAGGCACAAAATGATTATCCTGTCTCTTCTATAGGGAAAGATACAGCAGATATACAGGGTTAGTAAAAAATGTGGAGACCGCCTGTTATTTTTTTAATGGCCCATAGTAGAAAAACTAAACTCGGCACACCTTTATGACATGTTATGAAGTACTTTTTGGGCATAACCGTAACTTGGTGTACATCCCCAAAATAGGGGATTTCGAGGGAAACTCCAAAATTTCAAACACAAAGACCCATCAAGTGACCCCTCATTTTGAAGGTCCTGGTAAAAGAAAACTAACAACGCAAACTAGAGGTTTCTATCTCAATCCAGTAAAAAATGGAAGCTGATTGAAATCTTTAGAAATCGGAAATAACTTGCGATTTTATATTCAATTGGCTGCCATATTTATTGTGCTAAGATAGAGACCTATAGTTTGCGTTGTTAGTTTTCTTTTATTATGACCTTCAAAATGAGGGGTCACTCGATGGGGCTTATCATTTAAAATTTTTGTGTTTCCCCAAAATCCCCCATTTTGGGTTTGGGAATTTATGAGAATTTCAATTGGCTGCCATGTTTTACTGAACTGAAATAGAGACCTCTAATTTGCGTTGTTGGTTTTCTTTTACCAGGACCTTTAAAATGAGGGGTCACTCGATGGGTCTTTGTATTTGAAAGTTTTGAGTTTCCCCCAAAATCCCCCATTTTGGGGATGAACACCAAGTGGCAGTTATGCCTAAAAAGTACTTCGTAACATGCCATAATGGTTTGCCGAGTTTAGTTTTTCTAGTATGGGCCGTTAACAAAATAACACACAGCGGGTCTCCACACTTTTTACTAACCCTGTATAGTTTTTAAGTCATCTTGGCCGCCATCTTGAATATCTCAATTTGCTCAAGGGTGACAAAGTGGCACCCTGTCTATTTTAATTATGTAGGTCTTGAAGAAACAGAAACCACTAAAAAACATCGGGTGGACCTTACTTCCAGGTTTTTTGACCTGCAACCAGACTAAAGAGATATTTTAGTTTTACATCCCAATTTATTATGGTATCCAACCAGGAAACACACTTGGCTCTGTTGAATGGAAGTGGTAAACTGCTTGGTGGAACCACTCCCCTCACTCATGATTGTGTTTGAAGGTTAGCCAAAAGTGGTCTCAAGTGATGTCATATTGAGTCAGCTCAGTGACAACAACTAACACTTGGGCTGTTGATACATTGACACAAAGGTAAATTAGTAGGCATTTTTAAATATCTCATATATTACACAAATAATAAGCATGATTCTTGATTCATTCTTTGGTTCCCATCAGCTTAAAAAAAATATGTAGCATTTACAAAATATAACCAAAAGTGTAATTCATTGAAACAGAAGCCAATTTTATGAGTTAGACTGTCAACTTATTTAAAAAGCCGATACAATTTCAAAGAAAATTTTAATGTATTAAACAAAATATTGTTCTCAACTCTCAATATGAAATGTCTTTTGTCCATCTTTTAGCTAAGATTGTGCAGAATTGTCTACATATTTAAAATAAATACTTTCTATTAAACAAATGTTTTGAAGGTCTGGGAAAACTATAAATAATACAATTAAATAAATAATAAGGTGTCATGATAGATTGACTATGAAAATGTAATTATTCCACCGATCGACAGGATTAATGTATTTTTAAATATATTTAATAAATATTGATGTCAACATGATCTCAACATAAATGTTGTGTCTCAATGTTATTCACAAAATGATGTGACTAGACTAAGACTCTTTTACATTGTACCAACATTGACAAAATTTATCTAAAGATTCAAGGCAAACAGTAACATTAAATTACCTAAGACAAGGGGAGTCCGCTCTCTGCGTTCCTCTCTTTGCGCTCCATTTCCGCGCCTAGGAAAACCCAGCTTTAGATGAAAATCCCCATTGAGTATTACTACTACACTACTGTCATAGATAAAACAATCTCTCTCAGTAGATTTCTCATCCTTATGAAACATTATGCTTAGTGGCCCAGGATCACTTATAGAATAAAATGGTTTATATTACCTGTCCGTCAGTGATCCTATTGTTGTCGTCTTAGGCGACCGGTTTCAGGATAAAAATCCCATCATCAGGCTGTCAAAAATGTCATGTCACTCAAATTGAGGTCGTCGGTAAACATATAAACACACACATACAACACGAAACACGAAAATACGGATTAACATTGCTAGCTACTGGCCAGTACAGGACACTACGACGCGGCACGGGTAGTTGCGTGGTCATGACTGAGGTGTCCTTGCTCCTCTCCCGTTATCTATGGAATGCCGGTGGTATTGTTGTCCTATTCTAATCGCTGCGTCATAGATAATGTTGGATTTGAAAGAAGTCTGTTCATTTAAAATGTGTTGTGGGTCAATCTTGATGGATTTGTATCAACACCATAAAGAAAGAACTAGCAAAAAATGACGTTTGTGTATCATTCAGGGCCAACAATAGACTTAACTCCATATTCAAAGAGCGTAAAAGGAACAGTCTTGATAAAGCCAATAAGACCGGAGTATATAAGATCAATTGTAATGATTGCCCTAAATATTATATAGGCCAGACTACTCGCTCATTTAAGCAACGATTTAAAGAGCACATTCCATCCAAAACAATAGCCCAGCAAAAATCCGCTTTCGCCAACCACCTCGCAGACAGTAACCATAATTATTCTAGCCTTGACCATAACCTACACATTTTACATAGTTACCCTAAAAAAGGACGGTTTTTAGATTGTTTAGAGGAATTCGAGATATACAAATCCATCAAGATTGACCCACAACACATTTTAAATGAACAGACTTCTTTCAAATCCAACATTATCTATGACGCAGCGATTAGAATAGGACAACAATACCACCGGCATTCCATAGATAATGGGAGAGGAGCAAGGACACCTCAGTCATGACCACGCAACTACCCGTGCCGCGTCGTAGTGTCCTGTACTGGCCAGTAGCTAGCAATGTTAATCCGTATTTTCGTGTTTCGTGTTGTATGTGTGTGTTTATATGTTTACCGACGACCTCAATTTGAGTGACATGACATTTTTGACAGCCTGATGATGGGATTTTTATCCTGAAACCGGTCGCCTAAGACGACAACAATAGGATCACTGACGGACAGGTAATATAAACCATTTTATCTTATGAAACAGCTGAAAACAATTTATTGTTAGTTCTGTACGGTGTACTGTAGAGGTCGTGTTTTGTTTACAATTTGTTTCTTGTTATTTCGGTAATTTATAACCTTGTTTAGCCAAATAATAAAATCTAATCATAAACAGTAACCCGTCCGGTAGTTATATAACCAAACAGTAAAGTACATATCAAGAAATTAACCCTAAAATTCTAGAAACAAAATTTTGTTGACACTAGCGCCCAGTGTCACCGTTTATGAACTAGACATTCAAAGATTCGAAAAACGAGCTTAACAATTTACAATGGGATGAAAAGTCTACTTGTGTTGGTTAGTCTACATTCGCCTATTGGGTCTGATGATGATTGGAGTGTCCAATCGAAATCGATCACCACTTACCATCTTTTGTATATTTACCGTCTTGTGAGTAACAGTATAAGCGTAAATATATGTTGTTAAGTGTTACAAGACATATCTTTATTTACTTTCCGTAAATTTAATAACACGTACAATGCTGATCAAGAAGTTATTTATTTTATTTATAAATATAGCCTACCTAAAGCATTACAGTTAAAACCTTGAAATTCCTTTTTAGGTACAGATGGAGTCGTCACTTCCCGAATGGGTGACAAAAGTATTTTTTGAACAGAGTCTCCGTAAAGAAGAAAACAACAACAACATTGTGGTAACAAACTTGACCACTTCATCAGCTGTTCCTCCTGGCAACAACTATGGGAGCTTCATCATCAGAGTTGAGCTGGAGTGGAGAGTGGACCAAGATGATTCTGTGGTGAAGACTTCAAGATTCATTGTCAAAAATGAACTTACTGAAGGGCCGATGAAAGAATTGGCAACAGAATTCAATCTGTTGGAACCTTCATTCTACTATAACTTTATACCAAAAGCAAAAGAGTACTGTGATGTTAATTTTGCTGCCAAAAGCTTCTTTTCTCCAAAATCAACTGTGACAATACTTGAAGACTTGAAAGAAAAAGGATTTGTTATGGCTAATAGAACAAAGCTGTTAGACTTTGACCACTGCCGCCTCTATATGATTGCAGCGGCTTCATTTCACTCGGTGTCTGTTGCGGTTTTCAAAAAGTATCCTGAAATATTGCAGCCTATTAAGAAAGAAATAAGGTTCTCGAATGATTCAAAAGTCCGAGAGCTGTTTATATCTCTAATTAATGGTGGGATGAATAGGTTTATCAGAGAAATGGAGAAACTGGTTACAATGAAGGAATTTCTTGACACAGTAAAAGACATTACACCGCATCTATGGGATATTCTGGTTGAAACACACATACCAAGTGGTGAATTAATTAAGACAATCAAACAAGGAGATCCATGGATACCCAACATGATGTTTAGGTACGACAAGAACGACACAGTGTGCGACATCAAGATCATTGACTTCCAGGGGACATCATATGGGTCGCCTATATCTGATTTGACGACATTCCTTTGGTCTAGTGCAAATTTTGATGTGAAGAGAAACAGATTGGACAATTTGTACAGAATATATCTTGACAGTTTTAACGAAAATCTAAAGCTATTCAACTGTGATGAAAGACTAACATATGACCAGATGATGGCAGAGGTGAGAAGGTTTAGTCCATTGGCTCTGTATATTTCTAGTTCTTGGCTGCCTGGTCTTGTACACCCAGATCCGTTGGACTTTTCTTTTTTCTTCTCTGAGGACAAGGAATCTGAAGTTGACAAATTCTTTGGAAAATATTACAATGATGAATATTGTGCAAAGTTCCTTCCAAAAGTGTTGGAGTCTTTGGAAATCAACGGAATTTTTAACAACCTAGTCGTTCACAGAAAGTAGTGGAGGTTTTCATTTACATTTTAATAATTTTTAACGTCAGTTTTTAAGTTTTTTTAAAAACCAAAACGACTTGTCATTAAATTAAACTTAAAAGGTAATAAAGTTAATTATTTTTTTACTGTAGCTGGTAAATTTATACCTCAGTGTTTGTTAAATGTGTAATATTAGATTTTATAATAGGTACTGTATTACTATTCGTTAGCCTGACGCAGGTGGTAGGATTAAAAATGTATAAACGTTTTTCTGCTTCCATACTTTTCTATCCCAAATTTGTTATTTGATCATTTTCTTAAATTACACTTACAATACTTTATAAAAATTAAAATTGGTTGTCCACAGAGAGGTAGTTTTTGTAATTAATAGACGCAACCAAATGCACCAAACAAGCAAGAGAAAACTTTAAAGTCTAAATGTACAAAAAATATGTACGAAATAATTAACAGTGATTGTGCAGCTATGGAGTTTTGACAATTGCAGTATTTTGAGATGACCTTGAGATAAGATAAACAAAAGACTGACAGATAGTTATAGTGCATAGCCTTCCTCCTTCCATTACTCAGTCCATTATGGTACTCTACTCGAAGGTCACTAAAACTTGTCCTCAATTGTACACCAACTCTGTTAAAATCCATGACTTGCACTATCTCAGTCGCTAACTCATTGAGTGTTTGAAACACCAAAAACAGAAGTAAACAAGAGATAACAGAAACTAACCGTTTAAACAAACTTTCCTCTTTAAACAATTCATTTCTTAATTGTGTAATTCACACAATAACTTTACTCCATAATATTTCATTCATATATAAATCCCAAAGTACGCATGAACTTTTGAGAAAACTAAAAGTCACACCCCTAATGTTCGTCATGACGAGAACGTGCGAGAACCCAATTGCGCAAAACTATCCATTATTTCATAAAGGGCAATTAAGGTTGTAATTCCTTAAGGGAACTATTACATATACCTAATGTTAAAAATACATCAGCTGTACTTGTCCAGGATCTGAAGGGGGTTGAGCATGCATGAAAAGGGTGATGCAATTTGATTTTCATCACTCCTCACCGAAAGTAACTATTTTCGATAACAGCTGACATCAATGAAAGTAGCCGTTTCCCAAGCTCTAATTTAGGGCGAGGGAAAATCGATCAGCTGATTTTCCCTCGCTCTAAATTTACTTTCCCTCGCTCTCAATTAGTTTTCCATTTATTCACTACGCGCGCTAGTGTTTTGTTACGGCTTAACTTAATGATTTAAATCAGCTGTATGTATTGTTCAAAATCGTTTTATTCTTTTATTTTGACGTTTGAAGTATTGAGAAATGTACAAAGGTTTCCTTTAGAATATTTTATTTTATTTGTATGTTTTAAAAATTAAACAAAAATGAATATATAGGTTAACTTTTAGATTTTATTTTTTTATGTTTAAACAAATTGTTTGATAGATAATTATTGTAATATTACTGAGGTCTGCTATTCTGTGTTTGTGTATTTTTGCGTCGTGATGAAAAGTATCGTTCATAACTCGTACCGAAAGTTATTATCCGGCACTTGCTCCATTATTCCCGTCCTCGGCTTCGCCTCGTACGTGAAAATAGCTCTCACGTACTCGGCTTCGCCTCGTACGTGAAATGGGGGTTCCCTGTGTTCGGCTTCGCCTCACACAAAAACTTGAGCGCGCGCCGGAAAATGCCACTTTCGGTCCTAGTAGTGAAATATACTATTCTGATTGTTGTTATAGGCACTATAGTGATCACGAAAACGCATGTCGTCACCCCCCAGCGTGGTCGACAACCCGGGGGGGAGGGGGGCAATATGGCGGGGGGCGCCGTTTACTAAAACGCCTATAACTCAAGAACTATTCTAGGTAGAACATTGCAATAAACGTCAATTTACTCAAAAAATTATGATCTTCAAAGATGTTAATGAAGTGAAATTCGTATCTTTGATGGTTTTTTAGTTATTTTATATTGAAGCTAAAAATCAATATGGGGTTATGGGGTTAAAATAGGTTTTTCCCATTTTTGACCCTAATAACCAAACAATTTGCAATTTATTTCTTAACCCATTTTGTAGAGCTTAAAAAAAGAAATAATTTAGTATAGCAAAGGGCTGTTGTATGCCTAACGGTTATGGATATATAGTAAAAAAAAACTTAAATTCAAAATGCCCATGTTATTCTTACACAGAATCAAAAAAACGGTTGTAGTTTGCTTATATATGGATATATTATAATCAAATTTGGCAATTTTGTTTATTTCATACTAAGCTATCAACATTTCAATATAAAACTCACCTCAATACCTTCCCTGTAGCAGCAAACCTAGGTACTCATTATAATTCATTTTATTTAAATAGGAAATAAAGCTGACAGTTTTCAGGGAATATTTGAGTATAATTTAATATTGATTCTGCAGGTTTACTGCGGCAGGGGTACTTTTTAAAGCAACCGAAATTACAAGTACCAAGAGACACCTTTTAAGGATAAACATAGCTTTTATGTTTGTAGATCTATGAATAAAAAACATTGATGAAAAATCAGGAAGAAATTATAGGAAAAACTGTTCTTTACTTAGGTTATTTTTACTTTACAATTAAATTTAAATAGAAATGCTGGGACATTTCATAATAGTATCATGAGATATCAAAGTGTTGTTAGTTATATTATTTCACATACCGTACCTTTAGTTTGACAATATGGGCTGCAATGTTGATAACAGTGACCGAAACTACAAAAGGAGTTTGAATGTTGTATAAAATAATTTCCTTTAGAATAACGAACAAAATATACTTTATATAAAAAATATTCTTTTTATTTAACAAACTATATTTACAAGTATTGTAATAGTTATACACGTCTTAATACAATTAAAAATATTGTAGATTAAAAATACTTCTTAAAGGTAAATTTGTCATCCTTGTAGATCATCTGGTACCAGAGGTGTGTTTTTATTAAATAAAATTTGTTTCTTGTTATTTCAGATATTTTTAAAACTTATGAAGCCAAATAAATCAATATACCATAAACAATAGCTCGTCCCTTTTTCATATCCGGAAAAAAAACAGTCATCATAAAATCAACCGTAAAACAATAGAAATACAATTTTGTTGACACTAGCGCCCAGTGTCGCCAACATGAACTAGATATGAACAAAGCTTTAGAATTAACTATGAGATGAGAAGTCTACTTGTGTTCGTTAGTCTATGATATTATTCACAATAAATTTCCATAACACTAAACTACTAGTAGTAAATAAATGTACTGAATGTGTTTCATTGAATTAAAATATAAATAACAGCAATTAAATTATACAGCTGATCAAAATTTAAACAATTATGTTCTTCGTAAGGATAACATGGAAACATTCAAAGCCACTGGGGCAGAGCCCAAGGGACTTTAAACAAATTGTAAGGCCAGTTTGCAAATCTACGTGACACGCTCTTTCCAATGAGACGTCAAATGGATAAAATCGGTTAAGAAATGGCGGAGAAGTTCAACCGACAAAGTTTCATGTAGCGTATTAATTATATAGATAGGTTTATGTCATTGATTTACCATTTTTTGAAGCTATAATAATATCTAATTTAATTGAACAATAAATTGATCTGTCAACTTTTTGGAAATTAATTTAATTTTAAATTTAATAATTAGTGCATTAATCCTAAAAATATGAACTATAGTTATCTTTTCAAAGAAAGGTGCAAAACTATAACAGGTCATACAGAAGGCATCCTATGGATTTACTTGTCATGTTTATGATATTATATATTGTTTCAAAAGGATAAAAAATAATTGCTCAAAAACTGATCGCTAAAGGACATGATGTTTATAGTTTGTTGTTAAAAAAAGACAAAAATTGAATGTGTCAAATTTATTGACGTTGCAAAACTTATCGTAACAAGCGACCTTCGGTTTAAGTGCCTCTGATTGGATGCTTGAGTGGTTCAATTGGATTATGGTATACACAATGTCACAACACATTGCCAGTACATTTTGTGACTTGAGAAGATATCAAATATCAGATATCGCAAATCCATATCAGATTCAGTAAGTATACTTTATTTATACGTACAGATGATGATCATCATACCTATAAATATATTGTAGGAAACTATAAAATTTGATATGACGTTGCTCAACAACTGTAAAAAGTCAAGGACACAAACATTTGTTATTAATCTTTTACACTATAAAAGCTGAAATATCAGTATGAGTACCATAGTTAAATGTAACCTGCAACAACTTTATATAGGTATCAATGGAAGCAGCTGAGAATTGGCCTGTGTGCTGCAAACTGGGAGATTAGCTTAGAACTACTTGATGTTAAGGGAGTCATAGGTTAACGGAAGACGTTAAGTGTCTCCCAACTAGACCAAAAGATAACTGTATAAATAAAAATACCCCCGCTGTAGCAAACCTGCAGATTAAGCGAATTTCCATTCGCCTAATTATATTTTCACTAAAACATCTCCATAAAATATCTGATATATTCCCTATTCAAATAGCATTAGTTTCAAAAGTACATAAGTAAAAACAAATTATCCAAATTCGTTAAAAATATGTCCAGAAACAAGCAAAATAGAACAGTTTAGTTATCCTCCTTAAGAAACATAAAAAATTTAAATTTACAGTTTTTAAAATTTCTTCATAACCATTAGCACATAACGACGCTTCAGATGTACTAAATGATTTATTTAAGATCTACCATTGACTATATATACCTGTAGGTATATATAGTCAATGGTTCTACAAAATGATGGTTTGGAAAGAAATTGCTAAATTTTGGGTTTTTGGACATAGCAGGCTACGGTTTTTTTGTTGCAGGGTACGGTATAGTATAAATAAATAGATGGGGTTGTATGCATGTACAGTACTTACAAACAGGGGTTCACCTATAGTAAACCTATTAAGGTATGTTTTTCCAGCTGTTAACGACGACTGTGTTTTCATGCACCAATTTCCTCAAACAAGAGCCAGGGTACAGCCGTTTACCTAGCTGCCAAATTTGGCTGTATGGGGTGTCACGCACTTACACACTGGGGCACTTGCACAACATTCATAACTCCGCTGCTGTATCTAGGAAAACCTACCTGTAATAAAAGATACCTAATAGTATGTATGTATTATGTTTTAGGTGCAATGGAAGAGGCAATACCAGATTGGTTAACCAATGAATTTCTCACTCAGTGTCTCAGAGGAGAAGAGACCAAACGTGACATTGTAGTGATCAATCACAAATTGTCTCCAGTGGCTCCCCCTGGCAACAACTACGGCAGTTTCATCACCAGGGTGAGAATTGAATACAAACATTCTGCTGACAAAGAGTTGCACAGTATATCTCTGATATTAAAATCAGAACTTACACAAGGAGTAGTGAAAGAAGCGTTCGACAATCTAGGCGAACTCCAACAAAGCGAGTATGACTTTTATTACAAATTTATTCCAAAAGCAGCCAAACTACTTGACACATCTTCGTTTGCACCACAGAGTTATCTCCCTCCAGTAAACGGTATCACCGTACTAGAAGATTTGAAAGCGAACGGCTTCGTAATGGCCGATAGAACAAAACAGTTGGACTACGATCACTGCAGATTGTACATGGACGCTGCAGCAAGCATGCATGCTGCATATGTAGCTGTTCACAAACAAGATCCAAATGTCATAGAATCGATAGAAAAAGAGAAAATGTTCTCGAATGAAGTAGGTGGGCATGAAATGTTCTTATCGATGATCAAAGGAGGTATGACTGTTCTGGCTGACGCTACTGAGAAAGCTGATGGGTTTCAAAAGTATGCCAGAGTGTTAAGAGATGCAATACCAGTCTTGTGGGAGGCCTTGGTAGAAATCCACAAACCTTGTGATTACATCAACACCATCAACCAAGGAGACCCTTGGACCACCAATATGATGTTCAAGTATGATGATGAGGGTAACGTCACTGAAGTCAAACTCATAGACTTCCAATGTCTACGGTACGCATCACCCTTCAATGATGTGGTGTTTTTAATTTGGACGAGTGCAAATAACTATGTGCGGACACATAAGCTCAATGAACTGTACCAGAATTATCTTTATACTTTCAACAACAAACTAGAAGAAACACATTGTACCGAGAGGTTGACATACACACAGATGAAGGAGTCGTTAAGAAGGTTAAGTCCCTTAACAATTTTCCTGGCTGCAAGCTGGTATCCTCTTCTCACCCATCCAGATGCAGTAGACTTTGGGAAATTCCTTCCAAAGGAAGGTGAAAACAGCGAAGAAGTTGTCTTGAAGTATTACCAGCATTTTTATAATGAAAAGTTCTGCAAAGAAGAAGTTCCCCAACTTCTAGAACAGATTGAAAAGGAAGGGGTGTTTGAAGATTTGGAGGCTCTTCTGAACAAATGTTGAATCTTTAATAATTCTGTGTAGAATATCTTACAATGGATTTAAAATAGCTTCATCTGTAGGTCTACAGATGTTGAACTAAATTTTATAGTTGTCTTTACATTTACAAATGATATTTAATATTGTTTCATCCCTCTGGTAAAATTAATAACATATACGATGATGGTTTTTTATATTGTATATTCCTATTTTCCTAATATTTGAGATTTTGCTTTATGAGAAAAATCTCAGCTTATAGTTTCTCAATCATTTTAATTATTTAGTTGAATTAATATTCAATAGGTTAATACCTTGGTAATGTTATACTATTTTCTAGGACAAAAAAATTAGTAAAACCAAATTACTTTAACTGACTAATTGATATAATATTAAGTCTACATATGTATCTAAGTTTGACAAAACATTTTCGTCACATTCCGCTGTATCCTTCAAGAAATTTAAATCTAAATTATCTGAGTGGTTGATAAGCAATCCTTTCTATGGCATCCTCATCCATGAATTCCTTAAAACAAAAGTTTTATTTAATTTTGATGTGTTGTATTCTCTATACTTGTCATATTTTAATTAACTAAGTGTTTTGTAAACTTTGTATGACCACAAATCATTTAAATAATAAAATAACTTTTTTCTAACCTCAAACATGTACCTCAGGCGTCCGAACAATCCAAAAATATAAGCTGGGAAAAATCTTAAATAGACTGACGGACACCGCCAGAGCGACTGGCCGACCGACACCGGATGAATGTAGATAGTACAATAAAAAGTCTACTGAAGAATAATTTTTTACTGTGACAAGACTGATGTGACTGAACTGTGACGTACCGGAACTGATGTGTGTGAATCGACCTTCATTCTAACATAAACAGCTGAAAATGAACCTGACTTGTTCTGCAGCCTTTATAGACAAGCTTGGAGCTATTACACTAAAGGGTGTAAGGCTTACCTCGTGTTAGTATACCACACTGTTTGTTTGATCAGAGGCTAACAGTCTAACGGTGTTGTCTCACGTTGTCTGTGGCACAACATAGGTGGAAGACACCCACCCAAAATAAACAACGGACAGCTCGGTTGGAAGTTAACAGAAGAGGTGAGTTCTTTGCACATCTGATCATCTTGCATTTCCACTCATCCTCAATATGGGTTTATCTATTTTGACTAGTAGTATAAGACGTGGATAAATAGGTATGGTTAAATCAATAACTAGGGTGGTCTGCCGTTACACTTTAGACGCATAAATGAGCGAAGCATTATTTAAAGATTGTCAATGGCTAATGCAGCTAACAACCTACAATATGTTCCCTTTCAACAGTGTTCCGGTCGGCCACATTAGTCTCTGAATGTGATCCCTTTGACGAGACAGCGCAATCATAGGCACCGATGTTTCTTCAACTTGGTCTTCTTCGATTTCATCAGGACTTTCTTGGTTTTCACATACACGCGGTACTCTCATGTGAACAAAATCATTGACTGGTAGTTGTGTCTCAGCGCTTCATCACTAATGGTTATGTCAAAAATGAATGGGTTATTTGCCTTCAGCCAAATAAGTGCTTGATGTAGTATTCACGTTGAACTTTGAAATCGATATGGCCAAAGACGCCTTGACGTTGGACAATGATAACTTTAAAGTTTTTGGGCAGTGTATAGGTAAGATAGATGCTATTTCATTAACATCTTGCTCAACATTAATGATGTTACCTTTGTAGTGAAACTGGCCATCCTGACCATTTGCTTGTACTTTGTAAATGCGCATAGCGGGATGTACTCGTGCAATCAACATTTCTCAAAACAAATACAGCAAAACTGTTACTTCCATTGATAAACTGCTACATTCCAACTAACCTAGGATGAAAGTAAACATTGAAATGTAAACAAAACAGTTACAAACAATTAACATATGTTTATCTTATTTAAATGAAACGAGATAAAACCATATGTCATAAACCCAATATAATTTTTCTTTCAACTTACATTAAAATAACAAGCGAAATTGCGTGACCTATAAAATAAAATCCAGAAGGAAATTTTCAAATATTTTTTACCTAAACATTGTGCTCAGTATTCTTTAGCTGTTGGCCAAATTTCATATAAATTGGTCAATCCATTACATTCTGATGCTCTTACAAAGAAGTTACAAAGTGAGGGAAAGTGAGCTTCGCTCAAATATTCAATGGAGATCTAAGGCAAATTCTAAGGTGTGTATTAATAATGTAACTCTAAAACCGTAAAAAAACAACAATCTAATTATTCAAGTTAAATCATTCTAGAAAACTAACATAAATCTTATGTACTAAAAAAACTTTTGCAAAACTTATGTCAGCTAGCCTGACCATACTACTGGGCCGAATTACACACGTTTTGTACCAAATAAAAGATATTTTCCTGTAGATATGCAAAATCCCTTTATAAATTAAAATAGGCTCAAAAATAAACACAACAAATGAATTTGAAATTTTAAAATATGCACATGGGTCTTATGGGTTGCCATGCTGGTGACAAAATATAAACAGAAAATCAAAACAAATGTGGAAGAAATTCCAATCACATGTTTTATTTACAGCGTGGGGTGAAAATAGAAAAGTTTGCACAATACATACTTTTGGTCGGCTTTTCGACCACTGGGCGAGCTCTCGTGCTTAACTACTTTAACTGTTTAAACAAGTACAATAGACCTACCAAGTTTTCCAAAGGAGGACCCCCTGGTCCCACTCTTGGTGTTGGATACCCCTGGTGCGGGTAGTACCCCCTTGAGAAGGTCCTAGAGAACCACCACTGACTAAGATCAGCTGTCTTATTAGCCAGATTTAAAGCCTAACGATTAAAGACAGTAGTATAACACTCATCACTGCTAATTATGATCAGACCATTGGATTCTTTCTATAACTACCATTTCAATAAACAAAATGTAATTGCTCTTTGCTAAACAAGAGCTAGACAACTGGTATACCATTTTCTAAAAAAAATAAAAAAAAAACATTGGTGTTGGCACACAACACTGAGTTGAACAACACTTTTTATGACACACACACAAATTTACCAAACGAAACAGATGTGTGTTTACATTTAGTCATCAACATCAAAATACAGTAAATCGGGTAAATTTGTTTGAACAACTTTAATAAGGATACAATTGGTCAAAGAACTACTTCTTGTGTTTTTGTAGATAACTGAAAACTCCATTGATATCCAGAGACTCCACCACCTGAGGGAATATTTTCTCACAGTAATCTTTTGTGTAATACTTGTCGAAAAATTTGTCTCCCGCATCATCACTCGCATCCTTGGAAAAGAATGCAGCTAGGTCCATGGGCTCGGGATGAAGAAGGCCTGGCAATGACGAGCATGATATAAACAAAGCTAATGGCTTCAACTTTTCCACATCCTGTATCACCTGTTCATAAGTCAACTTTTCAGAACAGTTAAACTTTTTTAGATTTTTATTAAAACTATCAACGTAAATTCTGTACAGTTCGTCAAGTCTGTTCTGCTTTACTTCACTGTTTGCACTTGACCACAAGAAGAACATTAAATCAGTAACAGGTGACCCATACCCTATTCCCTGGAAGTCGATGATCTTGATGTCACAGACTTTGTTGTTCTTATCGTACTTAAACATCATGTTGGTTATCCACGGATCTCCTTGTTTGATTGTGTTTATTTGTTCACTTGGCTTGTGTGCTTCTACCATCATATCCCATAGGTGAGGTGATACATCTTTGATTGTTTTAGAATGCTTCTTGAATCTGTCTACCTTATCAATTTCTTGTACAAACCGTTTCGTACCACTTTTGATCATGAAATGAAATATGTCTCGCATTTTGGACTCATTCGAGAACATCGAGTCATTGGATGACATAAGCTCTGGATTATTTTTATAAACTGGAATAGACACTGAGTGGAACGAGGCAGCTGCAATCATGTAGAGGCGACAATGGTCGAAATCCAACTGTTTTGTTCTATCAACCATCAAAAAACCTGTTTCTTTTAAATCTTCAAGAACTGTCACGTTCGGTTTGGGAGAAAAGAAGCATTTCGGAGCAAAATTTATATCACCACACTGTTTTGCTTTAGGTATGAACTTGTAGTAGAATGAAGGTTCATACATGGCAAATTGAGCAGTCATCATTTCCTGCAAAGGACCTTCGGTAAGTTCAGCTTTGACGATGAATCTTGAAGTCTTCACCACAGAATCATCTTGGCTCACTCTCCACTCCAGCTCAACTCTGATGATGAAGCTCCCGTAGTTGTTGCCAGGAGGAACAGCTGATGAAGTGGTCAAGTTTGTTACCACAATGTTGTTGTTGTCTTCTTCTTTACGGAGACATTGTTCAAAAAACTCCTTGGTCATCCACTCTGGAAGTGAAGACCCCATATCAACCTGTGCATTGAAAGTGAATTTAATTTAGAGGAGTTTTGATAATTTGCTTGATTTTGGAACTCAATATCAATTGTTTTTTTTTTTTAAACAAATCAATAAGTTACCTACTGTCCTACCATCCACACTGGATATAATCAACCAACTTTTTAGAGGTTATAAGCTTACTAGCTCAACTGAGTACAGTGAACACAGTAAAATGTAAATAATAAAAAATATAAACCTCGATTGTGTTCGAGTGGTGGAGATTAGCTCATGCTACTACGTGACATCTGTAAGCCGTGGGAAATACGTTTTTATACATTGGCTTCCAAGAATTGGCCTGATGAACCTAGGACTTGTAAAGACAAACACCAGATATCAGGTGTTTATCTTCAAAATAAAGAGTTGTGATACGTCAATGTAAGAATAAATAACTTTACTAAGTCACACTGTTCTGGCAGCTTGATTTTAATGGCTGGAAAAATCTAAAAATACATTATTTTTTTACATCAGGAATATACCATGTCTCCTTAGTACAGTACTTGTATTTCTTGTGAAAAATTGTCTTTACTTCTGTACAGCCAATCAAAAAGTAAAACAGTTATCACAACAAACATAAAAAAAAAAAAAAAAAGAATCTGACTGATCAAAACATTGGCTTTACTATCTTGCATAAGGGGTTTGGATTTTGAAATGTAACCAATTAAACTAAACAAAATAAGATTTATGGTGAGCTTATAAAATAAATTTTTGATATCTCAACTAAGGAGAGAAAAAATCTTTTCAAAAATAGTACCGTGTCACAGGTATGATAAGCAAATATGTGTAGAGAAGAGTGGATAAAGATATTCTAATGTTGTACAAATAAGGTTATTGATTATCAATTAATTTCACGCAATTGTATTCAAAATCTACTTAAACGGAAAGAATTTGATATGGATTACCATCAATAGTTTGTAATAATATTAAATAAATTACTGATTACTGTTAGTTTGTTATAGCAGATACTACCTTCTTACACCATAATAAAAACCAAACACAACTTCAAGAAAAATATGCCTTCTTCTTCAACTAACAAACTTTATTGAATCGGGCATGTTTAAGAACACTGTTTATATTTATTTTATAAATATTTTTAGATAAAATGCTACAGTTTTTAAATTTAAAACCATTTACTGACCGCTGCAAACTTTAAAAGTTCAGTTCGTCAATGCTTTAGCTAGTTACCTTGAAGAGTGGCGTACTCCCACAACGTTGGCTGAAGGCTGACTGAACAATTTCAGTTACCTGTTATTGAAATAATCACAAGGATTGAGCACTAGCGTTGAGGCCGTTGAGGGCTATTCACACTAATAGAAACAATAAGTACTTTCAGTGATATGTTATTTTTTGAAACGATTAAACCCACTTACAAATCAACAATAACATTGTTTGTTTAAATAATTACAAATCTGCTATGTAATGCTGTCATCAATTTGCAGGATAACAATAAGTAGTTGATGATAGATGTATTCAGGTTAATGATAACGCAATCTTTAGTTTGTACTTGTTGAAATATTTTATGATAGGTGCAAACTGCAAAGATATACTTTTAAGTACCTGTATTTCCTGTGTCTAATCTCTGTAGCTGCAGTTTTATCATTTCTACATTTAAGTGTGAGGAGTCCAAGGCCAAGAGCAAGCTCTAATCGTGATGAAGTGTGCTAGTTCAAATATGACATCACCTCTGAGTATTTGCTCTTTCACTACTATTCTATTCACAACCCATCTATATTTGATCCTTCGTATTATTGTGGAGGCCGATACCCAATACCAACAAAACCAACACCTACCAAAGCATGAATTGATTTATGTGATTTAATTATTTTGTAAAAAGGGTCAACTTCTATTGGAACCCATCAAGGCAAGTCTAAGGAAAAAGGTGTATAGATGTGAACCAATGTGTATAAGTGTAGTGAAGGAAGTTATTTTGAGAAGGCTGTGTACACATTTGATTGACAAGGGCAGCAATAGGGGTTCATTTTCAGGCCCTCCTAAAGGTTAAGAAAATCTTCTTGCAAAGTGCCGTAAGACTCTATAATATATTTCATAGGGTCGAAATTAAGTTTTGCCGGCTCGAGATCATTTTTAAAGTTTGAGACGAAGTTGAGATTTGCAAAACCCTTTCGGGCCGTGGTACGAACGCTATTTTTCACCACACTATACAAAATTTAGAAAATATATACTATATGCACAATAACAGTCAACAAAACTGCAACTTTAAAGTTGTATGAAGAAATATTTAGAGGAATCAGCACAAATAATAAAAAATTGTTGCTAAGCAGCAGTGACAATAAAAGTAGTGTGTTGAAATACATGGATAGAACTAGTGTATTAAATATACAGTCATTAATGTTTTGAGTGAATAAGGGAACAGCTGATTTTCACCCCTAGGACCGCAAAAACCTTCTCAGTCCCCAAATTACAGTGACAGCTGGCATGGACAGCAATACGTAGATTTCAGCCTCTAATTAACGTTATTGCTAAAACATCGTGGTGTGGTGAAAAATATTTTTTGCTATCCCAGTTTCATAAACTGGAATTATATTAGGTTTACCTTTGTTGTTGATGCCCGAGTCTATACAACACTACACTATTTTGACGAACTTCCCACACAAGGATTTTGTACAGAAAACAGCAGTTTGCCACCACCTTAGTCAAATGGGATTTCATTACGTACGTATAATTGAGCGGAGCGAGCGAATCTCTTATACGCCGACTCTTATGCATTTTGTAATACGCAAACTCCTCCTAGACGGCTGAATCAATCGTTTTCAATTTTGCATGGTGATAAAGACCATATCGGTGAGTGCCAACATCTATATGGTGTTGAAAAACTCTCTCAGGAATCCGCCCCACTGGGTCTCAAAGTTTCAATGTAATCCTTATGGAAGCAGTATTTGACACAAAAAACAAAGACATATGATCAGCTGTTGACTTTTAAATGCAGTAGATAAAGAAATAGCTGTTAGCATTATTCCACAGATATTAGAACAGAAACGGTATGGATCATTAATATAATCAAATGACGACACAAGCTTGAGGTCCGTGACGTATAAAGTGGTTAAGGAAGTAGTAAAGGTGAGCAGTCTGGAGTATGGAAACTGTTTATGACGATTAGATTAAGGTATCTGCATTCCTAAAATTCTATGGGGAGGAAAACAGGTCCGCGACGTAGGAAGTGGTGAAGGTAGTAGTAAAGGCGAGCAGTCTGGAGTGTGGAAACTGTTTATGACGATTAGATTAAGGTATCTGCATTCCTAAAATTCTATGGGAAGGAAGGAAAACAGGTCCGCGACGTAGGAAGTGGTGAAGGAAGTAGTAAAGGCGAGCAGTCTGGAGGGTGGGAACCCGTTGTGACAGTTAGATTAATTTATCTGCAATAATAAAATGCTAAAGGAAGAGAGGGAAACAGGTCCACGACGTAGGAAGTGGTGAAGGAAGTAGTAAAGGCGAGCAGTCTGGAGTGTGGAATCTGTTTATGACGATTATATTTAAGGTATCTGAATTCCTAAAATTCTATGGGAAGGGAGGGAAACAGGTCCGCGACGTAGGAGTGGTGAAGGAAGTAGTAAAGGCGAGCAGTCTGGAGTGGGGAAACTGTTTATGACGATTATATTAAGAGGTATCTGCATTCCTAAAATTCTATAAGAAGGGAGGAAAACAGGTCCGCGATATAGGAAGTGGTGAAGGAAGTAGTAAAGGCGAGCAGTCTGGAGTGTGGAAACTGCTTATGACGATAAGATTAAGGAATCTGTATTCCTAAAATTCTATGGGAAGGGAGAAAAACAGGCCCACGATGTAGGAAGTGGTGAAGGAAGTAGTCAAGGCGAGCTGTCCGGAGTGCGGGAACTGTTTATGACGATTAGATTAAGGTATCTGCAATTCTAAAATTCTATTGGAAGGGAAGGAAATAGGTCCGCGACTTAGGAAGTGGTGAAGGAAGTAGTAAAGGCGAGCAGTCTGGAGTGTGGAAACTGTTTATGACGATTAGATTAAGGTATCTGCAATTCTAAAATTCTATTGGAAGGGAGGGAAATAGGTCCGCGACTTAGGAAGTGGTGAAGGAAGTAGTAAAGGCGAGCAGTCTGGAGTGTGGAATCTGTTTATGACGATTAGATTAAGGTATCTGAATTCCTAAAATTCTCTGGGAAGGGAGGGAATCAGGTCCGCGACGTAGGAGTGGTGAAGGAAGTAGTAAAGGCGAGCAGTCTGGAGTGTGGAAACTGTTTATGACGATTAGATTAAGGTATCTGCAATCCTAAAATGCTAAGGAAAGGGAGGGAAAATGTCCGCGATGTAGGAAGTGGTGAAGTAAGTAGTAAAGGCGAGTTGTTCAGAGTGTAGGATCTTTTTATGACGATTAGATTTAGGTATCTACAATCTTAAAATGCTATGGGAAGAGAGGGAAATAGATCTGCGACGTAGGAAGAGATGAAAGAAGTAGTAAGGTGAGCAGTGTGGCCTGTGGGAACTGGAAACCGTTTGTAGCAGTTTTGATGTATCTGCAATGCTGAAATGCTATGAGAAGAACACACACAGGACCTGTCAGTTTGCAGATACATCCATCTGTTTTCCATCCAACACATTGAAACCCAAATATTATGCAGAGTATTTTCATTTAATGTTCATTTAATTTCATTCATAAACTATTTTTTTTTCATCTGGATATATTGGTGAATTGCCACTTATCAAGCAATGCTAGTATTAATTTCTTTAACCAATGTTTGAAAATATTTGTTTGGGTCATTACAAGCTCAAAGACAATATATTGTATTGGCAACCAACAAAGGTTCAATCCTTGGCTGTTATTGGTTTCTTGACACAGACATTATTTATCATTGTGCTTTTTCAATGTTGTAAATCATCTGGCCAAACAAGATAAAAACAATAGTTTAAACGAATACCCTAGGAAACAATGGTAAAAACAACGGCTGCCACGGAACACACAAAATCAGTAATATATTTACATATTCGATGGAATAAGAAAAACTTAATATTTTATTATAAAATCTTTAATGAGGATATGTGTTATAACAACTTAACTACCCATTGTGTTTTTCTAGAGAGCTGAAAACTCCATTGATCTCCAGAGACTCAACCACCTGAGGGAGTATTTTGTCACAGTAATCTTTAGTGTAACACTTGTCGTAAAATTTCTCTCCCGCACTCACATCCTTGGAGACCAAAACCGCCATGTCCATGGAGTCAGGATGCAGAAAACAAGGCACAAAAGAACAAGATATGAACAAAGCTAATGGCTTCAACTTTTCCACATCCTGTATCACCTGTTCATAAGTCAACTTTTCAGAACAGTTGATTTTTTTTAGATTTGAATTGAAACAATCGATGTAAATTCTGTACAGTTCTTCTAATCTGTTATTCTTGACTTCACTGTTTGCACTGGACCACAAGAAGAACATTAAATCAGTAACAGGTGACCCATATCCTGTCACCTGGAAATCAATGAGTTTTATATCACAGACTTTGTTGTTTTTGTCATATTTGAACATCATGTTAGTCAGCCACGGATCTCCTTGTTTGATTGTGTTTATTTGTTCACTTGGCTTGTGTGCTTCTACCATCATTTCCCATAGGTGAGGTGTAATATCTTTGATTGTTTTAGAATACTTCTTGAATCTGTCTACCTTCTCCATTTCTTGTACAAACCGTTCTGCACCACTTTTAATCATGATTGGAAATATGCCTTGGGTCTTAGATTCTCTTGTGAACATTGTGTCTTTTTTTATAGGTTCCAAAAGTTCTGGATTTTTTTTATAAACTGGAATAGACAATGAGTGGAATGAGGCAGCTGCAATCATGTAGAGGCGACAATGGTCGAAATCCAACTGTTTTGTTCTATCAACCATCAAAAAACCTGTTTCTTTCAAATCTTCAAGAATAATCACATTTGATTTAGGAGTGAAGAAGCTTTTTGGAGCAAATTGCACATCGCCAAACTGAGTTGCATATGGTATATAATTGTAGTAAAATGAAGGTTCGTGCATGGCAAATTGAGTTGCCATTTCCTGCAAAGGACCTTCGGTAAGTTCAGCTTTGACGATGAATCTTGAAGTCTTCATCTCAGAATCATCTCCGTCCACTTTCCATTTCAGCTCAACTCTGATGATGAAGCTCCCATAGTTGTTGCCAGGTGGAGCTGCTGATGAAGTGGTCAAGTTTGTTACCACAATGTTGTTGTTGTCTTCTTCTTTACGGAGACATTGTTCAAAAAATTCTTTTGTCAACCACTCTGGAAGTGAAGACTCCATCTGAACATAAACATCAACAGAAATTTTAGATTCTTGATAGATCTTGATTTTAAAACTTTCAATACTCCTGCGCATATGTGTTTGAATCAACCCACTCAGGAGAGAATTGAGGGAAATTAGAATTGTGTCAAATAATCTGGATAAATTCCCTAAAGCCACGTTTACACAAGGACAGTATGCAGGCAGGTTGCTTTGGATAACTTAAATACACTAACTGAGGTATGTAACCTGCCTGACTACTAGCATCGTATAAACACGGCTCAGTAGGTACACTTTAAATATAGTTAATGCCAGACTTAATTTAACGGTAGGATAACATGTTGAAAATTGATTATTAGATGAAAAATATGATAGGATTTTTGGAAATTCATCGATCCGTCTCGAATGACCATTATGGGCAGTGGATGCAAACTAGGAAAGAGTTGCAAGGGAGAGAAATAAAGAAAAATGAGTGTTGTTAGGGTTATAGACACAGTTTTTTTTCTCTTTCAATCACAACTAAAATAAAGTGTTTGTTCTTTTTCCCATATTATTTTGATATTTATGATTTTTTGAATTGTTATTGTAGATGTTTATATCTGGGATTTTAAGAGGAGAAAAGATTGTTTTTGTTGATATTTTAAGTAGAAAATATAAATAGGTTGCAGAAAAGTGCTGAAGAGTTTTATTTTCTTATATAACATACCTACAAAAATGAATTTTAACAGTATATTTCATCACTAGGGCGTAAAGTGACTTTTTTTTACCCAAGCTCAAGTTTTACGAGCCAAAGACAATGAGTGAGGATTGAAAAGACAAATTTTCCCCCGTGTGATGAACTATATTTTTGTCATATATTGTATCATTAATTAACAAACTAAGCTAGAAAATGAAAATACTTTTCACTTAAAGATACCTTTCAAAACGACTTCCAGCTTGTGTTCAGTTCTGCTAATCTTACTAATATTATAAATGTGAAAGTTTGTGTGTTTGTTTGTTTGAAGTTAAATCACGCATTAACTACTGGAAGGATTGGGCTGAAATTTGGCATGATGATAGATCCCATTCCCGATTAACAAGGCATATTCTTATCTCAAAAATCCTTTCGGGCTCCACCCCAGTGGCTCTGTAGTTCCCCATGTTAACCTTATGAGTATCTATCTATCTATCTATCTATATATTAATAGGCAAGCATGTTTCTTTAAAACCTTTTTTCTGAGCTCGTGTGTATCGTAGGGAAAATCTACGCATACCGTTAGAATGCTATTTTCCTGTAGGTGTGCAGAATCCCTTTATAAATTAAAATAGGCTCAAAAATAAGCACAAAAAATGAATTTGAAATTTTAAAAAATTAACATGGGTCTTATGAGTTGCTATGGTGATGAAGAAATAACAACACAATATAAACAGAAAATCAAAACAAATGGAAGACATTCCAATCACATGTTTTATTTACAGTGTAGGGTGAAAATAGAGAAGTTTGTACAAAACATACTTTTGGTCGATTTTTCGACCACGGGGCGTGCTCTCGTCTATATATTAATAGGCAAGCATGTTTCTTTAAAACCTTTTTTCTCAGCTCGTGTGTATCGTACGGAAAATCTACGCATACCGTTAGAAAGCTATTTTCCTGTAGGTGTGTAGAATCCCTTTATAAACTAAAATAGGCACAAAAATAAGAACAAAAAATGAATTTGAAATTTAAAAAAATTAACATGGGTTTTATGGGTTGCTATGGTGATGACGAAATAACAACAAAATATAAACAGAAAATCAAAACAAATGGAAGACATTCCAATCACATGTTTTACTTAACAGAGTGTGGGGTGAAAATAGAGAAGTTTGTACAAAACATACTTTTGGTCGATTTTTCGACCACGGGGCGTGCTCTCGTTCATATTTAAAGGGAATTAAAGAATTTAGTCAGCTGTTTCAACTAAAAAAGTTGGTTCTATAATATGCAAAAGCATTAAAATGTTATAAGGCTTACCAACAGGGTGCAGCACTATTATTTTTTGCATTTTACTAATTTGAACTAAGCAGCAACAAAAAACTGTAATACGCAATGAGAACTATCAAAGTAGGATTGTTTACAGTTAAGTTTATGTTTTTAATTTCATGAATAATTTGCGATATTTCTAATTTTTAATAATTTTTCCCTGTTGTTTAGGTGAAGTGGTATAACATTATGGCTATGGTAGATGTGTAATACCGTGTATACCGTAAATTTTAAAAAGCAAATTTTATCAAACTGTGTCCTCCCCCATTGCAAACGCAAAGCTTGAGCATAACTGCAATAAGCATTTTATGCTAATATGCCAACCCCGTACGAAGGACGGGCATTCTGCTAGTGTATAATAATAAGCAGCTGATAAGTAGTGATTCAATCATTTTGTCTATTACGTTTGTGTGTTGCTGAACATTTTCCCATTGATATGTTGATCTATTGACAAGAATACAACAATAAGCTAAAACCTTACTTAATACTAAGATTCATTCATGCCTTCTATATATTTAATTTTTTGTGAAATGGTGGTTGCCGTTGCAATAATTAAATAAATCAATAAATAATTTCAACCCATGCAATTGCTACAGTTGAAAATAACAATTGTTTACAACAGCCGATCTTTACTCCCTAGGGACTAAAAAAGTGTTTTTACTCCTCAGGGATTAATAATGTTACTTCTATACAGGTATAACACATGTATAAAAAAACGGCTGATTATCAATTATCAATTATTTGAGAAGGTGATGCTACCTAGGTGCATATTTTAATCCAAATATGAGTGAAGGATGAGTGTAGAATGTTGTGAGATAATGTACCTTGTTATTGACCAAAATCAGCTTGTTCATCAGTCAGAATTTTTTTTTAGTTCACAGTATGACAAAAAAGATAAATACCCCCGCCGCAGCAAACCTGCAGACTAAGTGAATTTCCACTTGCCTGATTGGATTTACACTAAAATGTCTCCTTAAAAATATCACATTTATTCCCTATTTAAATAGAATCAGTTTAACAAATACTTAGGTTTGCTGCAACAGGGAGGTTAAAAGTGTTTTTTTTATGTAAAATGTTAATAGTTAGTAAGAAATAAAAACATTTGGCAAAATAATTTGGGCAAAATATGTTAATAAACAAGCAAACTACAACAGTTTACTTATTCTCCATTAGAATAACATGGGACTTTAAATTTACAATTTTTTGGAATTTTCTCCATAACCATTGAGCGCATTATAACGCTTCAATATACTAAATTATTTGGATTTTTTTTTCAAGCTCTACAAAATAGTTTGGAAAGAAATTGCAAAATTTTATGATTTTTGGGTCAAAAATGGGAAACGCCCATTTTTACCCCATAAAACCCCCCATAAACCCCCGTTCCCATGATCCAATCATGCTGGTTCGCAAACTCGTTTGAATTACATGAGTATTTCGAGTAGTTGAGTTGTCGTAGGTTTACACATTTGTACCAAATTTCATAAAAATCAGATCATTTTTGCTCGAGTTATCGCGCTAACGGACACATATATATACTAGCTGTACCCGCGGGCTTTGCCCCGTTTAACTTTATAAGTGAGCTCGTTCGCATGGCTCAATCACGTCCTGGTTGAAGTTCGTTCGCTACGCTCACTCACTTTTAGGTTGGAGCTTGTTCGCTGCACTCACTTGCCTTCAGATTAGCTCGTTCGCTACGCTAACTCGCCTCAAGGTTGAAGTTCGTTCGCTACGCTTACTCATCTTTTGGTTGCAAATTAGCTGTTTTTGTCATAAATGTAAAAGAAATAATAGTGCTGCACCCTGATGGTAATCCTTGTAACTTTAATGCTATTGAACATCATAGGACAGAACCAACTTGTTTTAATTGAAACAGCTGTTAAGATTCATTAATTCCATTTAAATATGAGTACTCATAAGGTTAACATGGGAAACTCCAGAGCCACTGGGGCGGAGCCCGAGAGTCCGATCAGAATAAAAACCGCTTAGTTTTCCTATTTAATGCCTAAAGAATCAGTGTACCAAATTTCAGCCTCCTAATAAATGGGAAGTAAGAGAATTAGTGATGAGTGAGTCAGTCAGTGAGTCAGTGAGGGCTTTGCCTTTTATATATATAGATATACTAGCTGTACCCGCAGGCTTTGCCCCGTTTATCTTCATAAGTATTTGCATGGCTCAATCACGTCCTGGTTGAAGTTCGTTCGCTACGCTCGCTCACCTTTAGGTTGGAGCTCGTTCGCTGCACTCACTTGCCTTCAGGTTAGCTCGTTCGCTATGCTAACTCGCCTCCAGGTTGAAGTTAGTTAGCTACGCTCACTCGCCTTTTGGTTGAAAATTAACTGTTGTCATAAATTTAAAAAAAATAATAATGCTGCACCCTGTTGGTAATCCTTGTAACTTTAATGCTATTGAACATCATAGAACAGAACCAACTTGTTTATTTGAAACAGCTGTTAAGATTCATTAATTCCATTTAAATATGAGTACTCATAAGGTTAACATGGGAAACTCCAGAGCCACTGGGGCGGAGCCCGAAAGCCCGATCAGAATAAAAACTGCTTAGTTTACCTATTTAATGCCCAAAAAAGAATCGATGTACCGAAATTCAGCCTCCTAGGTAAATGGGAAGTGGGAGAATTAGTGATGAGTGAGTGAGTCAGTCAGTCAGTCAGTCAGTGAGTCAGTGAGGGCTTTGCCTTTTATATATTTAGATATATATATATATATATATATATATACATATATATATATATATATAAATATAATATAATATAAATATATATTTATAAATATAATATATAAATATATATATATATGAATTTGAACGGATGGTGTTTTTGGCCTCTAGCGACCTCAAAACGAAAAAAAAAAAATCGGTCCCGGGTCCAGGTCTTACCATGAGTACTACGGTAATAGCTTATTCCCTATATGGGAAATTCGCTAACAAGACAACTTTACTAATGTGTTTGCTATTGTTTTTTTATATCATATATGGTCAAATTAAACTCAATGCAATAAGTTATTAACATTGAACCAAATTATCTATATATATAAAATCCAATGTATGTTTATTGTATGTAATTTGTCCTTTATGGACTCCGAAACCGCTCGACAGATTGTAATGAAACTTTCAGGCATTATTAAGCATTATTCAAGGATGGTTTGTATGTGAATTTTGGTGTAGATCCGTCAAAACGGCTCCGCCCCAGTGGCTCTGGAGTTTTCCATGTTAACGTTAGAAGCTGATAAAAGCATGTTAACTCATATTTAAATTGAATTAAAGAATCTGAACAGCTGGTTCAACTAAACTATTTCATTCTGTGATGATCAATAGCATAAAAAGTTAATAGATTTACCAACAGGGTACAGCACTATTATTTTTTTAAATTTATGACAACAGCTAATTTGCAACCAAAAGGTGAGTGAGCGTAGCGAACGAACTTCAACCTGGATGCGAGTTAGCGTATCAAACGAGCTCACCTGAAGGCAAGTGAGCGCAGCGAACGAGCTCCAACCTAAAGGTGAGTGAGCGTAGCGAACGAACTTCAACCATGACGTGATTGAGCTATGTGAACGAGCTCATCTTGAAAATGAACGAGCATTTGACATAAAACCACATTAGGACAGGACGACGTCTGTCGGGCCAGCTAGTAATCTATAAATTATAAATATGATGTTTATTGATACTTAATCTGATAATATATTGTAAACTCTCTGCGGTACTGTACCCTTTATTATCAATCATTTAAAAGCTGAGAGGATTTTAAATAATCAGTGTAACTCAAATTTTTATTAATCAATCAATCAATCAATCAATAAAATCTTTATTCAATATTAGTACTCTGTACATAGAATGGTGTCAATATTAATGAATACTAAGATACATTATAACTAAGATTGGTTAATACTAAGGCTGTCAAAACAAAAGATATAGTTATATGCATGAAAAGAAAAACAGAACTAAAAACTTTCTTTACACATCATTTTTACATGGGAATTCGGAGAAAGAATATAATGTTAAATCAATAAGATATTTTTTTAGTTGATTTTTGAATTTATTAATATTTTTCTCAGATTTAATGGCTTTTGGTAACATATTATAAAATTTTGACCCCATATACATTGGCTTTTTCTCATAAAATCCAAGTTTATGTTTGTCAATGCCAATTCTATTCCTGAATCTTGTATTATAAATGAGTATCTCCAACAAAATGAAGTTGGTCCTGACGGTTTTTCACAGAAATTATAGTTTCATAAATGTACATTGCATATACAGTCATGATACCAATTTTATAAAAAAAGAGTTTTACCGATTCATTATAATTTAATCTTAATATAATCTGAATTGATTGTTCCTGAATTTTTAGTATTTTGTTCAAATTTTGAATTAATTTACTAATCAGTAAGGTATTCATTTTTTATTGTAATATAAGGTATTCTACTACCTACTGAACTATTTTGGCACCATAAAAGAACAGATCTAAATGTAAGAAAAATATGTTTTCACCTTATTTCACAACCAACTAACTTTTGAATCAATTGAAATACTAATTGACTTACATATATGAGTGCATTTTGCATGTACACGTTGATAACAAAATCAATATTCAAGCAAAATTCAGCATATCCAACTGATACTAACACAGATACATACTGCAATAAATTTGTTTAGTCATTGAGTGATTTAGGACCAGATAGTTACCTCTAAGAGTAGAGCAGTGAAGGACACAGCCTCAATTATGGCTGAAGGCTAACTAAACAATCCAGTCAACTCCCATTGACGTAATCTACTATTTGAGTGATGTTCCCACTCATAGGAAAAACAACCACTCAAGTTCAGTTCTTATCTGTGTCATGTTGTTTTGCAACGATAAAATATTAATTTTTTAGAAGTCCTAGATTTTAGCTCATATTATATTGGTCATCATCTTTTTTGCCTGAATTCAGGATATATTGTAGTTTATCACCCACAATTTGCCAGCATGTGGCATCTTCAAGGGGTCTTATCTTCTTAAATCACTAGCATTAATGCAAGTAGAGTTTAATTAGTAATTTCACCATTAGTCATATTTGCTATTAGTCATATTTTGATGGGGGAGCGAGCTGGCGTAGTGGCTAGAGCGCGGGACTTCGGTCCGTGAGGTCCCGGGTTCGATCCCCGCCAAGTCACCAATGGATTTTATCTAAGTGATAATGCCGCAACCCCTAGGTCTAGCCTGAAGTAATGTGAAAAACAATCCCAGGCTCGTGCCTAGCGTCCTAGGACAAAAAAAAAAAAAAAAAAATTAGTCATATTTGCAAATGGTTCTTGGATCCCTCCCTGGTTATAGTGCAGTCTCCATTATTAGCCCCTGTATTTAAATGATTGATGTAAAAGTAGAGGTTTTTGAGAGACGGTTTTTATGGCATTTTCTGACAATAACATGGTTTTATGCGAAGGTCATTTGCTACAGGGGAGGAATAACTAATACAGTAGCTTAAATGCAAGCCAGTATTTCACTGAAGGTTCTTAGACCAAAATATATAGGATTATATAACTATAAATGGTGAAATACAACTTAAATTGAAGTAAGAATTTGAAAATTTATCAAATCTATGTTTTTTCGGTCGAGTAATACAATAGATAAATATATGCCGATGCTTGATGTAACATCTATGCGTGCATACTATCAATTTGAGACCTCAATCATGAAAATCGGTTGGGTAGAAGAGCCAAACAAACTCCGAAAAAAAAAAAAACAAATTTAACTCCCTTAAGAAATAGATGGGGAGCAAATTTAGTTTACGTATAAGCCGAGTGGGCAGTGGCGGATCTAGAGCAGTCACAAGGGGGGGGGGGGGTGATCCAGGGAGTCAGGGGCGGTTCGGGGGTACTCCTCCGAAAAATGTGTGTAAACTAAGTCTCCTAAATCACAGTTTTTTACCATTTCTTTGTCCAAAGTTAGTGTGACAAATTATTTTACGCAATTTGTATGCACTACTGTATTACATGCAGTTAAAAATTTATGTATATGTATGCCCGAGGGGGGGGCGGTCGCCCCCCTCGCCCCCCCTCTGGATCCGCCACTGCGAGTGGGACTGTAGATAAATATATACCGAAGCTTAATATGAAATCTGTGGGTGCACACCTTCAATTTGAGACCTCAATAATGAAAATCGGTCATAAGAAATACATGGGGAGAAAATGTTGTTTATGTATAAGCCGAGTGGGACTGTAGATAAATATACCCAGATGCTTGATGTGAAATCTGTGCATTAATACCATCAATTTGAGACCTCAATCATAAAAATCGGTCCGGTATAAGAGCCAAACGAACTCGAAAAAGAAAATAAATTTTTTTTTATAAATATATTCTAACTATCATTATATTTTTGTGTTTTTCCGGAACATGCTGTAATCCACAAGGGGCAAACACCTAAAACCTTAAAGTACATGTCAATACGAGCACAAAAATGTGTATTTAAAAAATTACCACCAGGGGGGAGGGGGAGTATAGACCAGCCTCCGCTCTATTTGTTTACACTTCCAGCTGCGACATTAGGCCTAGTGATTTCATTAATTATTGCAGTGTGAAGACCAAAACTAGATATTAGGTTTTTAAGTTCAACATCTAATGTAAACAAAGCTAAGTATAATGTACAACAAACAAACAAGTTCCTTGCTATGCCTTTTGATGAAAATAATGTAAGTGATCCTGATGATGATTTTGTCTTTCTAAAACGTAAACTTACCTTTTCTTCCTCTGAATCTCAACCGAAACGATATGTTTGAGATTCCAGTGAACTATGTAAAGGCAATAAATATCAAATTCTATCTGAACATTCTTACAGTTCTAATGGTAATGGCAATGACGTGGATCAATCACACGAGATGGATGATTCTACTTTGGAAAATCAAGTACATGACCCAAAGTTAAAAATCCCTCCTATATTTTTGCACAACGTAAACAACCACCAAGAAATAATAAAAGATGTCCGAAATATTGTAAAGGCAACTTTTTCAACTCAAGTTCGAGGGCAGTCCCTTATAGTGAACTTGTCTAATATAGATGACTTTAGAAATTTGACAGCCTTTTATGATTCTTCTAACATTAAATATCATACTTTTCAACCCCTACATGACAAAAAACTAGAAGTGATTGTCAGGAACGTCCCTACATCATTATCTGAGAATGAAATTAAAACTGAGCTAACAGATCAAAACTATCCTGTCATTAGAGTCACTAGGTTACTCAACATAAAAATAAATGCTGTAAGAAAAGAAAAGTTCCTGGACTTCAATGCTGTCAGACAGGAAGTTTATGTTAAAATCACCTGTGCAAAAGAAGTCAAGTTTCACACCATGCATAGTTTAGTTGAGAAGACATCATGCAGTTTATCCAGAAATAAAGAAAAATTACCTGAGGGTGGTCTGTAGAAGTTTACGATCACTGTTTTGTACTTAACATGATGTACCTCCACTAATATACTCAAATTTAACTTATTGTAAATTATAAAGTCTAGGTTCTCTTTTACAAGTATTGCAGATCCACCATGTGTTGTGTTTGTTGAATACAATTGATCTAGCAAAAGAGGTTGCAACTAAGTAGCCTCTTAGGCGTTATTAATATCATTTTGTGAGACCCAGTTCAGTCAAACAAATCACATCCACACTGTCTACTAGTGCAGTAGAAATAATTGAAAATATAGCTTAAGGTGGAACTAATTGCAACACAAATGATTCTTGCTGTGAATGGTAGGTAGTATGCTTCTAATCAACATACTAAAAATATACATCCGTACATTGGCGCAAAATACGGTTTTTTGGCCGCCATCTTGAAAAAAGGGTAAAAATTTTAATATTCGTAAAAATAACTTTTTGGGTATCAAATTATAGGAAATTTAATGCTGAAAAATTTTATAATAGTGGTTAGAAGCACTCTTTAGAAATACGATCGTAGTAAAAAATACCCCCGCCGCAGCAAACCTGCAGACTTAGCGAATTTCCATTTGCCTGATTGGATTTAAACTAAAATGTCTCCTTAAAAATATCACATTTATTCCCTATTTAAACAGAATTAGTTTAACGAGTACTTAGGTTTGCTGCAACAGGGAGGGTAAAAAAGTATTTTTTATGTAAAATATTAAAAGGTACTGTGGTTTAGTAAGAAATTAATGTATTTTCCAAATTTGATCAAAATATGTTCATAAACAAGCAAACTACAACAGTTGACTTATTCTCCATAAGAATAACATGGGAAATTTAAAATAACAATTTTTTTGAATTTTCTCCGTAACAGTTAGGCGCATAATAACGCTTCAATATACTGAATTATTTGTATTTTTAAGCTCTACAAAATGGTTTGAAAAGAAATTGTAAAATTTTGTGTTTTTAGGGTCAAAAATGGGAAAAACCTATTTTTACCCCATAAAACCCCCCATAAACCCCCGTTCCCATAGTCCGATCGTGCTGGTTCGCGAACTCATTCAAGTTTATCCCACCTTACACCTTCAAACCAAATTTTATCAAAATCGGACAAAAATTACTCAAGTTATCGTGCGGATGGACACATATATATATATATATATATATATATCTATATATATATATCTCTATATATAGATATATAAAAATTTGAACGAATGGTGTTTTTGGCCTCTGGGGACATCAAAATGAAAAAGTAAATCGGTCCCGGGCTTAGGTCTTACCATGAGACCTACGGTAATAGCTACTTCCCTATAGGGAAATTCGCTAATACCCCCGCCGCAGCAAACCTGCAGACTAAACGAATTTCCATTTTTCTTAATTGATTTTCAATTAAATCTAATAATTCAGTTTTAAAATCTTTGTACAACTAAATCTAGAGTTCTATTGGACCGATTTTATTATTGTAAGAATATATTACTTACGTCAATCAGCTCATTAAGTCGTGAGTTTCACCTCAGTACATGTTTCGACACATTGTCATCATCAGCTGAGTTAGTACTTGTGAAGGTTTAATTCACCAGATGGCTTCGTCATGTTGAATAAATTAACACGTAACATGTAACACGAATACGACACGACACATATACATTTATAACACGTAAAACTTGAAGACATGCAGGCCTGCTCGAACAAGTCTTCAAGTTTTACGTGTTATAAATGTATATGTGTCGTGTCGTATTCGTGTTACATGTTACGTGTTAATTTATTCAACATGACGAAGCCATCTGGTGAATTAAACCTTCACAAGTACTAACTCAGCTGATGATGACAATGTGTCGAAACATGTACTGAGGTGAAACTCACGACTTAATGAGCTGATTGACGTAAGTAATATATTCTTACAATAATATCCACAGCTCAGGGGCTTAACAATGAATTCAAACGATTTTATTAACTAATGGGTCGTTGGAAAGCTTAATTTGTGTAGATTTTCAAATAATTATGAAAGTTTGATTTTTTTTAAGATTTACTAGGTGAAACCCGTCAACATAGACAGTTAGCCTACTGTTGAGGTTGCAAGCGAAATCTTTTGACTATAAATCGATGTTAAATAACTCCATTTTTAAACAATTTGGATTGTTTGTGATTTAGCAGTGTGCTTTAGGTACGTCCGATCTTAATAATGAATAATTCCAATGGAAGCTGGTATTTCACTGAAGGTTTTTAGATAACAACGTATGGGATAGTGTAACATCTTGAATACATCTTTAATTTAAGTAAAAATTTAAAAAAATCCAATTTAAATTTTTTTGTAGATTAATACATTTGATAGATTAATGATAATGCTTGAAGACAAATATGTGCTTGCATAGCTTTGAGACCGAAATTATGATCGGTCGAGTAGAAGTGTCAAACGAACTAAAAAAAACACATTTAACTCACATAAGTAATGTACAGGGAGGCAGTTTGTGCATGACTCGAAATATACATCAAAATGAATGCCGATGCTTGATGGCAAATCTGTGGTGCGTCCATACCTTTATTTTTAAAGCCGGATTTACACTATGTAGAAAAACCTGCTACATATATAACTGCTAAAGCCTATAACATTTTTATATAACTTTTGCTATATAACATTGCTATATAACTTTTGCTGTATAAAAAATTTACAGACAATTTTAGTGATTCTGGTGCTCGTGCTATATGCTATGTAGCACAACCTCATTCGCATTCCGTATCGAAATGTGCGCTGAAGAGACTTGTTCGTGACAGCTATCGCGGTGATCTTGGAAGTCAGAGAGAGAGAGAGACGGAAGTAAAGATTTTAGCAAGTTTTAGGTTCATCCGCTTCTTGCTTCGAGAAATAAGTAGAGTGTAGCAGATTTATTACGGGACCTTAATGATGACGCATGCGCTGACAATCCAAAATGAAAACGCAAAATAAGGCGACGGTAGCTTCAAAAACGTTTTACGTATGACCACAACACCGGTTGTCACCGGTTGTCCACGGAACACTTCAATTAAGTTTATAATTGCATCCCAATAACATTAGGTTTAACGAAACGAGTACCTTGGTTTGCTGCTACAAGGGAACTAATTAAGTGTGTTTTTAGTAAAATATCAATTATTTAGTATAAAATAAATAAATCCGCAAAGTTTTATCGAAATATATATCCACAAACAAGTAATCTACAACATTTTACAATATTCTCCATAAGAATAACATGGGGATTTTAAATTTCCAATTATTTTAATTTTCCCCGTTACCAATAACCGTAAAAAACACTTATATATACTAAACTGTTTGTTTTTTAAGCTCTTTAAAAAGGTCTAGAGAGAAATTGGAAAACTTTATGTTTTAAGGGCCAAAAATGAAAAAAACAAATTTTAAAAGTAGGTATATTATACTTTTAAGTTATATATGATACTTATATATTTAAGTTATGTTATTAACATAACTTATAAATAAACAACTTTTTAAATGCCACGTTTTTAAACACAATTTTTTTAGTGCATCACTGTTAACAGTATATTTTAAATTCAACCATTATATTCTTTTCCAATATGAAATTTTCAATAATTTGATACAACACCATCAATAGTAGTACCTACCATTTCTAACTGGAATAATTTATGTTGCAATTAGTTCCACCTCCAACACTATTTCTACTGCACTATACTGTCATACGCAAGCAATCGTAGGTAATCTAGTTTGTTAGTAATGGATTGAATATTCCACAGGAGGATGTGGGAGGATGTTTAATTTTTCAGCTGACCTAGATAGTATTTTATTAGATGACTGCTGTAAGCAAATGTTAGAGGAGTTCCCAATCGCTTTGTTATGCTATGAGAGTTGTGTGTCAGAATTATCATCAGTCACTTCAGACTCTACGTTAAATTTACAGAGTTGGGGGGAGTTTCTAAAAAATGTTCCTGACACTGAGCAGTGCTTGTTGCTTTTTTAGCAAACCTGAAGGCATTTATATATGCCCCAGTCAGTAGGCCAGAATTCAGGCAAATATATTTTGTCCCACAAGTGAGCATGAACCCCTACCTTAAATGTTCGATAGCCTGGAAACCTGTTCCTCATTTGTGTGACTTTGTAATCACCACTAATTTCGTCACTTATAACGGACGTTGTCTTAAGCTTATTTTCAATAATAGAAATTGCTATGACTATTGTTTAATCGTCTATGCTCATACCAGACGCACAACTTACTGCTAATGTCTTTAATTGACTGCCCATGTAGCACAGATGGTTGGGCCAACGTTGGCCAACTGTGGAACAGTTGGTTGATGGTTGGTTGGAGCTTCCACAACCAACCAACCGTTGTCCAACTGTATATCTCGTAGTTGGGCCAACCAATATTTACAACTGTGGACCAACATTGGTTCATTGTTAATGAAATACATTAATATGCATTGCTGGGTATCATACATCAAGCCAACCGTTGTCCAACCGTTTTTCACTCCGCTGGACCAACAAAAGATACTTTTGTTGGACCAACGATGGTCCATAGTTGAGTTTACACGACTTTCATTCCCTGGGTCTAGCTTTCACAACATAATTATAATAAAATATCTGGTTTTACAATACCTTTATCAGTTCCAAAAGTTTCCAAAAGTTTTTGGAACTGATAAAGGTATTGTAAAACCAGATATTTTATATATTACAGTTCCGGGGCTACAACAATGAATTTTAATAATTATAATAATGCAAATATTTTTTAAATTAATATTCTTTAACTTATTTGCAACAATTTAAGGGGAAAGAGTAATTAATCATATAACAGTTAATTATAATAGCATTAATAATCTAACGGTAATTAATTAATCTATATTCAAATACCAGTATCCTCTCTAACTCAAAAAAAAAAAAAAAACTACTTATGATGCCTTAACAGATTAACAGAATAATATTATACTGTGTAGTATCAAAAATGTTTGAAGTATTGCGACCATTGCAACTGTCGGCTACTCTTTCACCACTTGAAAACTCTCTAAATCAACAATCACAGATAGCTCAGTGGTAAGGTAAGAGGCTCATAAGTCGAAGGACCCGGGTTCGAGACCCGTCTGGGCCAAAAAATTTTGTTCTAGCTTTTTTTCAAAATTTGTTTTTATGAACTATTTAATCAATTTACTCAACTAATAATTATGCTTTTTGTACTAAATCTTTATTATTTTGTGTGAAATAAAACGGTTGGGCCATTGTTGGACAATGGTTGGCTGGAAAACAGTTTAAAGAGGTGACATTTCTACCGTTGGCCAACTGTGTGGCTCCACAATTTACCAACGTTGGCCCAACCATCTGTGCTTCATGGGTGATCTGTATGAGGATGATAAAAGCAATCTGTAGGAACGTATTCATTTTTATTCTCTCAAAAATGTTAAATGCTGGCACCTAATTAATTAGGCCTGAAATGTCCAAAGCTTTTTTTACCGTACAAAAACCATTGTGGGGGCACTCATCAGCGGCTGAAGATGTGCTGATCTTTACAAAAGATGGACTTTGAGGATTTTATTATAGGTAGATCAGCTGGGTTTGGATCACTGCCGGTCAATCTTCAAGGACCTAGGGTACTCACAGTGTACAAGGCAAGAAAGGCACTAAATACTAATTTATAGGCCACTAGCTGTAGGGACTCATTGAAAGATAACTTGAGGATGAGTGTCTATATCTACTTTGCCAATCCGTTAAACGTCCATGTTTTAAAGTGTATAACCTTGGGGAGTATGTTTTATCTATGGCATAACTCTGTAAATGTTGTAAATAATGTACGTTGTTTTAATACTTTTACGTTTTTAAATACTTTATTTTCATTGAACTGGCAACCATACAAAGTAGGGACTTTAAGCCAAGAATGAAGCCACCGTCCCGTATGACGCAATATATCGGACTGCAAAGATGAATATTTTAAGTATCAATTTATTAAATAAAAATATAATACTATAATTATTTATTTGTGATAAGGAGTTTTGTTTTAATTTTTTCTATATGATGAAACCCTGTAACTTAACAGTCAATGGGAAATTGTCATGTTTTAATCAACAAACAAGCTAATGCAGAGATCATATACAAAACATATAATTATTATAGAATGTTTGTATACTATTTTGAGATATAAGAAATGGCTGTGTTAAAGGGCTTTGAAAAGATCTTTGGAATTCAACTTTAAAGGGGTTTGGATGGTCGTTGCCAACGCCATTTTAAAACTGTGTTAATGTCCTTCTGGTTTCAGTTTCAGTTATATATGGCGTTGATGCATATTGATTGTCATATACATGTAATTTGTTCATTGTATCAGGGGGATAAGACAATGTTATAAATATTTATTTTCTCTCTATAAGCTTATTTAAATCATCACAAATTTATCATTGTTTTGTAAACTATAATTTATTCCCAGGATAATTTGTTTATTATAGGTAAAGTTTTATTAATATGGCTGATGTTAACAGTTCAGAATATTTGCCATCGAGACATAGAAGTTGCTTTGTTTACGGATGTTTTTCAACAGCTGCTGCTAATAAACCTCATCTTGGGTTTCATAAATTTCCTAGTAGAGGCAAAAGAAATATTGTGGTTGTCAAAAAGAATGGTGATAGATGTATTTATGATAGGCGCCAATTATGGATTGATTCTCTCAATATCGGGAGAGAAGCTGCATCAGCTATTGATGGAGTTGCCGTGTATGTCTGTTCTTTGCATTTTGCAAGAGAAGATTTTTACTACAACCAAGGTAAGCATACAGTAGGTAGGGCCTAGGTCTAACTCGTTATTTTTACAAGTGTTTTGTTCTTGGCTAACAAAAAGTTATGCCTAGCTGAGCTAAACACCTCGTGTTCTCTGAATTTAATTAAGTCCTAGGCTTAGCCTAATGACTGGGTGAAGTCAATTAAAAAAAATCTCAGATGGTTTTAGAATTAATTAATTCATGGTAGACTTTCATATCTTGCCTAGGCTAATTCATAATCGGCCTAGACTAGGGGTATCCGGTACAGTTTCTTAACTGGGCTACGCTACCCTAATAGCAATTGAAACTATCGAATTGAAAATATTGATTAATTTGATAATATTGATTAATTTGAAAATATTGATTAATAATTTATATTTAAAAATAATCTATATAAAAACTATCATTACCTAACCTAACCAACCAAACTTGCTGATGGTGAAAACATCGCATGAAGGTTTACTAATCGAATCGATAGTTTCAATCGAGGGTACAGTTTCTTAACTGGGCTATATGCTAATATTGATTGAAACTATCGAATTGAAAATATTGATTAATGATCGATATTTTAAAATATATCTATTATAAAAAAAAAAAAACTATCATAGCCTAACCTAACCTAACCAACCAAACTTGCTGGTGGTGAAAAAATTGCATGAAGGTTTACTAATCGAATCTTTAGTTTCAATCAATAGGCCTATTTAGCATAGCCCAGTTAAGAAACTGTACCCTCAATCGATATTAGCGTAGGCCTAGTCCAGTTAAGAAACTGTAACTTACCCTAGACTAGGCCTACTAGGCCTATTTGATAACTTGAAAAACTTTGAAAGCTGCGTAGTACAACAGTGAAAGTGTACGTGCACCTGAGGTGATAGGGATGTGTTTGCTGGATGAACAGAAACTCACGTTTCGTTGTTTGCGTCGGTTTGTGATCGGCAAAGTGTAGAAGATGCAGTGCACTTTTCATGTCTCCGCGTGGGCTGGTTTGTTCTTGGAGGACATTATTGAATCATCTGTCAGATATTTTTGCTTTCTGTCATTCTTCAACTCAGACCACCTCGTTAAGCTATTTAAGTAAACTAGGCTATCTGTACAATAATTCATTTCTCGAGTCTAGACCTAATAAACCTTTAAGAACAGTAATTTTAATGATGATAGTGATTTTAATTAAGTTAGCCCATTTAGCATTCCTTAGTGTAAAAGTAATTATGATTATATTAATATTTTACGCTGTTTATAGATATAACTGGAAGGAGGTATTTAAAGGAGCTAGCCATACCTCGACGAAACTTACCTGCAAGAAGAACTTCACCACTCACAACCAAGTAAGGATGTAACTAACTTATGTACGCTATATTTTCTCGCTCGATATGATCTTAATTTTTTGTTTACATTCTTTGTTTATTTATGTTCCATATGTTTACCAAATATACTGTCGGGGTCTTAAGCAGCCTAGAAGGACAGTTGGTAGATTTAAACTGAAGTTAACTAGTTTTAAATACAACTTTGCAACTAACAGGGGTGTTAGGAATAACAAACTGGTTTATTCTACAGTTCGGTCAAAGTTTCTGTGCGCGCGACCAGATCTGGTTCGGTCTAGATGAGGGGGTCGGCGGGAGTACTTTTGTGGAAACATTTGTGTATTGCTACTCTCTCACCCCTACCCCCAGCACTGCCAATAGCCGGTACCCGTATGTTTTAGTTCGGCTAGTAGCGACCCGTTCATGCGCACAGAAGTTTTGGCCAAACTGTACACAGGGTGCGGCAAAAAAAAACTGATCTAAGTTATTTTCTGCAGCTCACTGTTCAGCGACAGGTCGTCTGAGCAAGGTGGGGGTAGACTTGTTGGAAAGCCTACACACTGCCTATCTGTAGTCATTGAACAGTGTTCACCTTAAATACATGCAAATGTTCAAGTTGCTTTTAAAAAGTATTGATTCAGTCATTGCAAATGAGCGGCAGTTCCGTACATTCTTTAAATTAGATAGAAATGAAGTGGTTCCGTCGCAATTATCTGTATGAATAATCAACAGATTCAAACAGATTAAGTCAAATTAATCTTTAGGAATGGAATTAAGATTGAACCTCAAAATCCGTGTATCCGAGTGGTCAGGCGTGTTCAAAGCAGCTGCTTGTTTACAGGCGGGCCTACGAGGACTGTTTTCCACAAAAGCTAGAACTCTATAATGTTAGTTGTCTTTCGTCTGATCTGACTTTGGACGGCCTGTTAGCTTCTTTTTGAACGCAGAAGCCGTTGTTCTAAAGTTAGTAACCTACCGCATGATTGTGCTAGGCGACGGAACCTCTCCATGTTGACCTAATTGGAAGAATGCATGGAACTTATTTTATTGTTATTTCTTGGTAATGTTTCAATGTAATGGGTTTCCCGTTGGAATAAATAAATAAACTGCCGCTGAGTTTTAATGACTGAATCAGTACTTTTTAATACAACTCATTAAACGCGGGTTGCTTAGGTGACCAGCTGTTCTATGACTACAGACAATTGCAATGTGTAGGCTTTGAACGAGCCAATAGATCGGTTTTTTTGCTGCACCCTGTATAAGTTTGTAGCCTATCATTTAAGTTTATTTATTTACATGTTAATCACTTGTACCGATTTCGTCGTATAAACAACGAATTAACGTGTAGCAGACGCAAACAAATAGTCAGCTGATCAGATACCCACAATTCCATCCAAAAGTGGTAGGGATAGAACGAGCCGCCAGCAACCCGTCTCAAAACGTAGCTAGTTCGGCAAAGGTTTCGTTCGTGCAAATTAAATTCATTTCACGGTGTTGGTCGGATAAATTTTCATTTTCTCGAAATCGTATAGCCTATATCCCGAAGGGATATATTTGCAACGCGAGTGGAATATAGAATCAGTTTTGTTCGTCAAACAGGTGCCAAAAAGTTCGTTTTTGCCGACCAACGCAATCCGCCATTTGGAAATTTCACGTTCGTCACACGAGTTCAAATCGATCGCGTTTCTTATTAGAATACCGGCTAGTTACAATTCCTCATCCCTTTCCTTCAAATTGTGTTAGTGTTTATTGTGGACGTCCGAAATTGTAAGTAATTGTGTTATTTATTGTTATATCTTATAATTCAGTGAGTCGCACACGGTAGATTTTCCTGTTATATTCTGTTAGTTCATGTCAAATAATCACATGTTTTCCAGGTTCGAATTCAATTCACTGATTTTTATATCCATTTATAGTGTAATAATCTGTAGTATTTTCTAAGCTGTGATGATCCAATAGTATTAAGAATAAATAGACAAAAATGTTTTTGTAGGGTAATTCAGAGTTACTTTATAAGATTTTTATAGTGTTGGAATTTTTACACAGAGTCATTATAGAATTTCATTGTTGAGTATTGAGGTACAATTCATTTAAAGAGTGTCACAGTCAGTATTTAATTTGGGGGAAATAAATTAATATCAAAGGAGGGAGCAGGTAGCTGGTTCGGCTAGATGCGGAAGTGTTGTCGGAAGTTGTGTCAGTTTGAACATAGATGAACCGCCAAAGTACCAAATTAGCTATAAAATAATAAAGCAACATTCTAATAAATATTGCTACGAATTGAACACAATACTGTTTAATCAGTTGGACTGCAAGACGACCTTCGTTTTTGATCGTTGGCCAACGAAAAGGATTTGCTTGGTACTGGTCATCTCAAACAATTAAATTAAATACCACTCTTCCGTTGACATTTTTGAGATCAGTGTGAAACCGCACCGTATCTTCCCTTTTGATAAATCTGTTCAATGTTTTCAATCAAACGGTTTCCAAATTGATTGTGTCACTCAAGGTCATTTTTATTAAATAAATCACCACCAGCAATTGTAAATTGAAATCATTTGTATTCATTAATTCAGATTCTGTTAAATAAATCAAATTGTTGCTCACTTTCTAGTTCTCTATAACCTTGGTAATTCATTATTAGTAATATTATTCAACTATTGAAATAAAGGTAATTCAGTAAATCATAGGCCACTTCAAAAGATTCACCTTTTAAGTGCAACACTAAATATCAGTGTGGTAGTGAGCAGATTAAATTCAGTGTAGAATTAAGATTGGTAAATATTATTACAAAAGGTATTGCATTCTGGAAGAACTTCAACAGTACCAAGGACGTCCCATAAGGACTTCTGGGGAGTATTTTTATTTTACAGGGCCCACTCAAATATTTCTTTAACACCAAGCTTCCACTGCCAAAGCTCTGTTTGGTATTTTTACTTTCCAGGTTCTTCCAACCTAGGGGCAACCAAGATTTGTAAAGAATTCATTTTGAGAGCATTGCAAGGAGTAAATATATTTAAATACAATATTTAAATATATAGTAAAAAGGGGAATTATTTTTCTTTACACACTGATAAATTTTTTGCCTGTGTTTTGTTTTCAGGTTCAATGTGAGGTCTCTGCATAGAGTAAAATACAGAGGATATTTCAACATCCACAATCCCGATGGCAGAAAACTTACAGCCAAGCGAAGGTATCTTGGAAGCAAGAAGCCCAGTAAACCAGAATTATCTCAGTTGTACACAAAAACTGTCTGGGTTGCCAGAAAACCTAATGCCAACAAAAATCCACCGGAACAGGTATCTAATAACTCTAAAAATTACCTAATTCAACCCTTTGAACTCCATAATCAATGATTTATTTTTTCATATTTTTTACGTTTTCCTTCATCATGAACACAAAAATCGAATGAACAATAGTTATTTGTGTAACTAGTGGTGAAAGTGGCACTTTGCTGCACACGAGAGCAATGTTTACGCACGAGCCGCAGGCGAGTGCGGAATGATCTCGAGTGCAGCAAAGGCCTTTTTCACTCGTGTTACACATTATATTTTTCCTACAGTCACTATAAAACATAAATAATTAGTCTTTCAAACACTATACAACACGTTTTTAGGTTCAGCTAGCAACACAATTACACAAATGGTGCCCTCGCCCTGGAGAAAGTAGTACCCGTGGTCCGTATCACTCCGCTATTTTTCCTCGGCAAGAAATGTGCTCCGTCTTTTGAGAATATAGTTCCGTATGTTTTTGTAATTTGAAGTGGTTTCCGCGCCTAAAAAAAATGCTTTAAAGGTATTTTCTTGTTTATTAAGACCGTAGGAATGTTTTAAAAACGTTTAAAAGAAAAGTCCAGAAAGTTCAGAAATACCAAAATTATAAACACGAAATGACAGGTTAAATCGTAGTTATAATAGTCAATCAGCTGTTCATAGTATTATTATCTTTAAGTGTTGCCAACCTATTTCCAAGCGTACACGGATTACGTGCATAATAAAACCACGCTGTTTTGTGTTGTTTGGTTGGAATCCTGATGTGCGGCAAAGTATAAACCGTGCGGCAAAGTATAAACCGTACGGCAAAGTATAAATATGCAGCAATTAGCAGCTTTCTGTACTATAAACAGTACAGGGAAGCCAACTTTGTCGGGTGACTGTAGGAAAAAATATGTTTTGATAGAGAATTACACACGGTTAGGATTTCAAGTAAGAAGTACCTAGCGAAATGTCTGCTATGAGGTGCTACTCACCAAGAGTAGGCCATGGTCCGTCAACTTTCTTTTCCTCCATGTACGTTAAATATTTTTTGTCGGCCTCTCCCTCCTAGCTCTATCAGTCAGGTGAATCCTTCATGAGTTACCGGTACACATGAGACCAAACAGGTGTACATCTCCCTCATTCAACAGTGCCATCTTCTGGCTGGAGAGCCAACTCCTCAGTCGGCTTGGCCAACTTTCAAAAGCCCAAGCATGATATTCCTAAACATGACTCTCAAGCTGCACATCCTTTAAGGCTCGTCCAAACCGGAGCGGGGCATCGGGGGGAGGAGGACAGATTCCCGTGCAGGATTTTAAAGCACATGGTAATAAATGTGATCACCCACACAAAAGTGGTACTGCTACCGTTGTCCCGCTGCGTTGTTCGATCTTCCTTCCGGTTTGTAACATGTTGGATTTTTCCGCTCGCAATGTTGGCTGGACTACAGCTAATATGCTGTTTTAGTATGACCTCTGTCATTAAATCTAGGATTTCATCAAAACATGTGTTGGTCATTCTAAAACAAATATAGAACCGCCTTTGTCTTTTCTTAGATTCAGCATAAGGGTTATGGTAGGCCTACTCAACAAATAAATTTCTAGTTTGATAAATTTTGAACCTTAATGGAACGCTCTCTTCCACCTTCATCTTCATCCTCAGCTGTTGCTAGAATTGCCTAAAGCTTCTTTTTCTTGCTGCCTCAGATTCATAACTTAAGTCATAAAACACAATAATATAAACATTCACTAAACTAAGCTGAAAATGAACTGAGGGGACTTTCCGCTGCCTGCTGCTTCGGTGTGGGCTGCCCCATTCCCGCCACGTACCACTGCCGCTGGCTACCGCCGGGCACTCACCCCCTTCCCGCTCCTGCCGCTGTCTCGCTTTGGTTTGGACGAGCCTTTGAACATAACATACTGGTGTTTTTATTAAGTTGTCCAGCATAGATTGTTGCAATTTTCAAGGGGCTAAAAACTCTTACCCAATTGGATTGGTTTGTACAGACTGGAATTGCACATATATATATTACGCTGATTTCTAATTTAGGTCCATCTCTATTTTAAATACCAGTGGCTCAAAATTTAGTGTTGAGGATTTTAACCCAATACCCATGTGTTAGACTATTTGTTAATTACTCAAGTACCTAATGCCTTTATCATAATTCCATACTTATTCTATGAGAAGACTAAATTTATTTGAATTTTCAGTGTAGCTGGTAGTCCTCTGGTGTTTTATCAACTTAATTGAAGCATGTAAACTATCAATAATAGGTGATACTAAAAGCTTTTAATTTGATGTAAAAACAAGATCCTTACTGGATATGTTTATAGTAGTAAAAACACAATATCTTGAATAATATCTTGAAGGCAACGGTTTTAAAATTTAATTTTACAATGGAGATGTACAATAACACAGTTCTTATAATTGGTTTTTAGGTGGAAAGTGCTCAGAAGAGAGTTGAAGATGAACAATCTACCGTCCTGAACTCTGAACAGTTCACATCCGAACTTATTATCAAAGAGGAGCCATTATCTGATACTGAGCAGGTTTGTTTTTTTTTTACTCTATGACACACACACAACAAATTTTCTCCACGGAAAGTTTAGCAAAAGCGTGAATTTTTTAATCCTCGCAACATCCTTGCAGATGCATACTGCAATCGCAAAAGGTCGCCATGACCTACTTAGGTCTAAATTTACCTTACATGTGGTAGTTATTTAAAGTTTTTAAAAAGGGTTTAATTTTTAATTGGCTATCAAGAATTTTTAGTTGCTGCATTCATTTTTATTTTACTTGAAAAACACTCAATTACCCGAAAATTACTTTGTAGGCTGTAGGAGATAAAGACAGGGGTTGGTGTAGTATAACGATGAAATTTAGTAAAGTAAAAAAAAAATGTATTGGTAACAAAAATTGATTTTTCAGGTAGGCCTATTGGTATAATTTTGATATTGACACTTCACTAGTTGGAACTATCCAAAGATAAAATGGTTATACAAAAATATAAAATAGTGGATGTCTGGTTAACAAACAATTTTGGGAACAATTTATCTCGATTTTCTTTTCATTTTGACTAATCCATTTCACAGAGTTTGGCTGTATACTTTTGGGACACCCTGTATATCTCAGTGTGATATACAGGCTCATTGGTTCAACATTGTTACTGTTATTCATTGTTGTCATTGTTATTCTGGTATTATGCCATACATGTTAATTGTTTTAACTTTTAACCCAATGTACAATATTCTCGATAACCTAAATTGTGGAAGGTCCCATAGAAAGTTTCTATGAGAAATGGTTGGCTATTCCTCAGTAAAAAAGCATATTTTGCTATGGTTTGATTCCCATTGAGATTGGGATTGTTGATTCCCATTTAGTTAATTTCAAGTAGACAATCTTGAAGAGAAACTTTAATAATAAAATAAGTTATTTTAATTTTTATTTACCTTAAGTAAAGATTTTGTAAACACATTTTAGAAAATTCTTTATTTTACTTATTTAAATGTAAACATGATTTTTATCCAACAGGATCCAGACCAGTACATGGCAGGAGAGGATGATGATGTTGAGGTAAGATAAAATTTTAATATCTTTGCTCTGTTTGATACACCCATACCCACGTTTTTGTCCACATTGTGCCCGTTAATCTGTTGCACTTTTACATTAAAAGGTTCAGCTAGGTACAGCAAGTTTTATTTAACCATTATGAGGTATAATTGATGAAAATCCCTCTTCAGTGCGATTTCTCCATAGTGTTTGCTTAAAAACTATTGTAGTGCCTTATCTTTATGCCATTCAGTGGCGTAACTAACGCCAATGAAACCAATGCGGTGCATTGGGGCGCAGGCTTTAGGGGGGCGCAAAAAACTGATATTCTGGAAAGAGTCCAAACTGGCACAGGAAACACAAAACATAACTTTACACTATATACACAAAACATTAGAATATTGGAAAATTTAGCAAAAACATATGTGGAAGCAAAACTTCCTGTAGCTTACAGAAAATAAATGTAAAAAATTCTTGTGGTACTTTATTCCGTTACAGTCACAACAGAATGTTGGGGACTCTTTTGTTTACTATTATCGTGATCTCCTCGGTGGTGCACATCTGCGCTTATCACATTTTTATCACAAGAATTGACTGGTCTTGTTTATTTATCTTGTTAGCTACAAAGATAGACATATCAAATCTTTCAGTAGCCTATTATTCTAGTAACCATGACCAAGTATCCCTGTCAGTTCTTGTTGTACGATAGTTAGTGTTATGTTTTTAAAACAATACAAAACAAATTTTGTGTGTGTATTTGTTATACAATTGCAATTAGTGGACCGATTATTTGTGCGGTATTCAGTGGGTAGGGCCAACACAAAATTTAAAAAAAAAATGGTAGGGGTGTGTGATGCAGCAAAAAATTTTGATTAGAAGCAACGATTCGATTCAAAAGATTTTTGATTTGATTCAAAAGATTTTCGATTCGCTTTGAAGCAATACGGCATTTTTATATTCATACTTGTCAATGAAGTGAATTAACAATAATTAAAATTTATTTGTGTAATGCAATTTTTTGTTGATGAGGTATTAGGCCTTACATATATATTCATACATCACATATATGAATTTTAGGTGAAAAATATTTATTTTCAATCGTATATTAGAAGAACCTGTATTGCTGGACATGTCAATGAGCTGCTTTACTTGCCTATTTCATGATTTTTACTTGCAGAATCATATTTTTAAATATGTTACCTATTTTATAATATTGATTTTACAAATAAAAATATGTTTTGGTGTAAACAAATCAAAACATTTGTAAGATTATTACTGAAACTTTCAATCGTTTACATTAATAAGATGAGAGGATAGAATCAGACCTACAAACTATAAAGTATACATAGCGTCAGACCTACAAAAATAGCAAATTTATCAGTCTAAAACATAAATCTTAGTAGTTAAGTACAAAGTTACAAATTTTCAGATTTGTGTCATTTTTTTAATGATTTTGGTGTCACTTGTTTTGGCTATGTTTACAGTAATAAAACATGTCTCACACTGCTTACACTTAACAAAACCTCTCATCATTTGCAATGTCAAATAAAAAAAATCAAACAAACACAAAGCAATATTTATATGCAAAGAATTAATTAAATAAGAAAGCCTGCAAAAAGGAAACTCAACAACAACAACACGCTCCTGTATTTCACATTGCATTGACTTTCTGCAGGCGTTTTTCGTATATGGATACTGACTCCCTCATGAATTGAATAGTTTTTTGACCACCACTGCGATTCAATGCATTTTCAATGCATCGCACACCCCTAAAAAATGGTAGCAGTTCTAACTAACTTTGCTTGAACCCCCTAATACCTCGTGTGAATACAGTGTGAGTCAACTGTTATCTTTTGTTAAACAGGTGTTGAACGACGGAGATTATTCAAAACCTGATTCTAATAAGCTTGTCATTGAGACCAAGAATAATGAAGTTGAAGAGGCAGACCAAGAAGAGGAGACCAATGTCGATTATGAGGATGGAAAAGAGGCTGAAATAGGGGACTTGCAATTACCAGAGGAAATGAATCTGCCAGACGTAGAGGGAGAAGGATTTGAAGACACTCTTGCAGAGGAGTTTGAGCAGACTATGGAAGAATTTGAGGACTATGAACAAAATGACCAGGAGGTCCATGAACAAAATGACGAGGAAGACTATTATGAAGCTGTTGAAACTCTCGAGGAGGAGGAAGAGAATGGTGTGGAAGAGCAGGAGGAAGTAACTGTTCTTCAGGTCGGTGATGATGATGAGTATGAAGAAGAAGAAGAAGCGTACCAAGGTTTATGTCACATATGTGGCTCTGAGAATTGTAGAGGGCACTCACAAGCAGCTAAATTTGGCGATAACTATTTCGTATGCTTGATATGTAGTGAAATATTTCCATCTCAAAAACAATTGGCTAACCACTCACTATGTCACGAAGACATGTCAGAAGAAGAACTTCAGATACTGGAAGAAAGACAGAGAACTCTTACATGCGAGTTTTGTGGCCGTGTTCTGTCAACAAAATCAACACTGCGAGAGCACATCATGATTCACACGGGTGAGAAACCTCATGAGTGTTTACTCTGTGGAAAACATTTTAGACATAAGGCAAACTTGGTCGTTCACGTTAACGGACATGCAGTTGTCAGCACGTACAAGTGTAAAAAGTGTAACAAAGCGTTCACAAAAAAGAGTGATTTTGAGAAACATCTCAAATACCATGTGGACGCATCCGGCAATCCCTTGGTTTGCAAAATCTGCAACGCAGTATTCAAATCACAGAGAACTCTGTACAACCACTCGCAGCTTCATTCAAAAAAAGGTAGTGTCCGAGCTAAAAGGAGAGGCGAGGGACCGAGGAATCCGCAGTTTAAGTGTAGAACTTGTGGGAAAGGGCTCTCGACAAAAGCCACTTTAAAAGAGCACATGATGATCCATTCTGGCGAAAAGCCCCACGAGTGTCCGATTTGCGGGAGAACCATCAGACACAAAGCTAATTACGTGGTCCACATTCAGACACACGGTCAAGGAAGGTCTTACGAATGTGATATGTGCGACGAAGCGTTCATGAGAAAATTGGATCTCACTCAGCACAAGCAGTCAGCTCACTCCAAGTCAAAGCTATTACGCTGCCCTATCTGCGGAGAAGTGTTCAAGTCACCAATCAAGTTCAACCGACACATGGAGATACATGAGAGTGTGGTCTACATGAACGAGACTGAAGAACTGAACGGCTTTGAGCCACATCTTTTAGAAGATTATCTGGAATCGTAAAGATTTACATTATGTAAATTGGAGCTATCTGAAAGATTGTAAATATTTTTTGTGAATTGGTGATTTGCCCTTATATTAGTTACATTCGGTGAAAAAAAAAAAAACAATGGAAAAATATATACAGTTATAAATAGCATAATTGGATTGTATAAACTGTTGTATATAGAAAATAATGTTTAACTTCTTCTGTAGGTCCCTATTCTCTCAACTGTTCATTTTATTATATTTCTTTGTTTTTTTCTTCAACTTAAGTGTATAGCCTAGATCTTTTACATTAAGAAGGGACTTTTCATTAAGAATCTAAATTGATTCTTTTCCATGCATGTTTATTGCTTGAATGAAAAACTATTTTGTTTTATTTTTTAAATTTTGTTGACTTATGTGCAATTATTTATTTACTTTTGTATTAATACATATTTGGTTTCAGCATTTTTACATACAGGTATGTTAAATAAGGCTTATTAAAATTAAAATGTATTGCTTACAAATCAATAAATTATTTTTCAGTGTTAAAGTACGGTATTTATATAAAATCCATTGAACTGGAAAATGTGAATTTTCCTTTTAACTTACATTTGAAGAATAACACAAAATAAAACAACAAAGCCTGATGTACAAAGACCTGTTGTGCAAAAACAATTCTCTTGCATGTCAAACACTAAAGAAGATTTCACGCTGGCTTTTGATAATTTATAACATTAAATGTACAATTTATTGAATGTTGTTCACAATTTGTGAAAAAAGATCATGGCTTAATTTGTATAAGACTTACTAGAATGAGTTTTGAAAACCATACTTAGTAAAATAGATATTAAATAAATCAAAAATATAGGAATTTATGTAATTGTACAAGATCAAAAAAAGATTTACAAACATAATATTACCAAGTAAAGTATTATAGAATATATTTAAATTTTAATTTGCAATAAGGTGTCTGGAAATTTTTCAAAAATGTTGAATAAGTTCTAGGCACGGAAACATTTGTTCTTCTCAAAAACATTGTTGTAAATCATTAGACTATACCTTCTCCACGGCTATTGAACATCACTTTTAAACACTTGTAACTTGATTAATGACTGTTACTATAAACAATATTTATTTATTTCCATTCACATGATATAAACTTCAAATAAATTATGAATAAAAACTCAAACCATGTAAGTATTTTTTTTCCTCTATCCATACTGGTTGTCTCTAGTGGTTAAGACTATTCTATAACTTTAAAAATCTTTGAACAAATTAATCTGAAACTTACATTTTTTAAATATTTTACACTGAACCAATTTACTATGTTCATGCAAGATATACCAAAGTGAAAAATCTTAAGTTAAATGTAAAGCAATAGGGAAGACTGTGCGACAAATTCAGAAATTCACAAAATCCACTTGATTTATCAGCATTTGAGGGCAGGCTGATAAACCGGGTCATGCTGCCGAATATCAGCCAGTCGTCATTCATCTGTTAGCTGCCGGCCAGGCCTGTCAACATGTATAGAGTCGCGATGAGGTACAAATGTGTTGTAGCAAGGTTGCAGCTAAATGGTGCGACTCTAGTCAGACAGTGCAGCTCGCTGGCAAACTCGGAGCTGGACAAACTCTTCCCAAAGGATGAGTTTGTAACTCGCCATATTGGTCCTCGTGAACATGACCAGACCGCCATGCTGGACCTGTTGGGATTCAAGGTAAGCAAATTTACTTTGAGCGGGACGAATATTGTTTTCTTGATTCATGAAACTTTGTTACAGAAACAGGTAACATTGTCATTATGTGGTTACAATAATACGTTACATAATTTTAAAATAAATAGTTTAAAAATAAAATATACCCCCGCCGCAGCAAACCTGACGCCTAAGCGAATTTCCATTTGGCTGAATTGATTTTCAATTGATCTATTTAAATAACATTAGGTTTAACGAGTACCTAGGTTTGCTGCTACAAGGAAACTAATAAAGTGTGTGTTATTTTAAGTAAAATAATTATTGCTTAGTATAAAATGAATATATTTGCCAAGTTTGATCAAAAGATATCCATAAACAAGCAAACAACAACATTTTACAATATTCTCCATAAGAATAACATGGGAATTTTAAATTTACCATTTTTTTAGTTTTCTCCGTAACCAATAACCGTACAAAAACACTTTGATATACTGAATTGTTTGTTTTTTTAAGCTCTTTAAGAAGGTTTAGAGAAAAGTTGGGAAATTTTGTGTTTTGAGGGTCAAAAGTGAGAAAAACCAATTTTTACCCCATAAAACCCCCCATAAAACCCTGTTCCCATGGTCCGATCATGCTGGATCGCGAACTCATTCAAGTTTATCCCGCCTTACACCTTCAAACCAAATTTCATCAAAATCGGATAAAAATTACTCAAGTTATCGTGTTCACGGACACACATATATATATATATATATATATATATATATATACATATATAAAAATTTGAACGAGTGGTGTTTTTGGCCTCTGGGGACATCAAAATGAAAAAGTAAATTGGTCCCGGGCCTAAGTCTTACCATGAGACCTACGGTAATAGCTACTTCCCTATAGGGAAATTCGCTAAAAGGAAAGTAATAATTATTTTTCCGAACAAAGAATGGGTTAAACTATTCTTAAAGGAAAGATTTTTAAATTTTAGAGTCTACTCATTTAGTTTTTTGTTATGTATGCTGGCAAATTTTTAAAGATGCCGACCATGTATGGGATATAGAAATTTTTATCAATCCTTGAGACACAACCTAGTGACATTTTAAACAGAACTCTTTAAATATTGTGTTGTGTAGTCTTTCATTTACTATAAATAATTATCTTCTGGAACACGTTTTGTAGGAATCTACAGCTAATATACACGAGAATTGATAAATTAAGATTATTCCTAAGACAGTTATCGACGAACCTTGCATGGACTTCAACACTGTCCAATGTCTGTTGTCACATGTGGATGATGTTTTACTCTACCACTATCTGTAATGTGTCATAATATATTAAGTTTAAAGGGATGAGTATGTTGAATAGGGTTTGAGTAAATCAAAAATCAGTTGAGTATATTTTAATTTGTTATGACATGGGGGCAAGAAAATAGTATAGCTATGGTATAGCTACTGTATGGGGATACTGGACTCTGGGTGATATACTCGTTCAAAAAATTTAGGCGATTTGAGGGGAAGTGCATCCCTTCCGCCGTACCTTCACTTTTAAACAACAGCCGACAGCTCTGATCAGCTGATAAATACATTAACCTAAAAAAGTGGTGGGGGAACCCCTGGAAACCTTCCCCTTAAACCGCCTAAATTTTGTGAACGGACTATAACAGTGGTTCACTATGAAGCACAAGACGGGCTTTTTTGTGAGTACACTTAACATTTTTCCTGGTGAATCGCCTACGATACTTTTTGCCTCAATATCAACAGCTAATATACCGGGTAAGTAAAACATAGCTTATACACACAATCACAAACCTGTTAAATATACAAATTTCATCACACTGTTTGAATTTCACAAGTTTTTGATAAACATTTTGAAACCTTTCCAATATCTGTTGTGAAATTGCAATGTGTTCGTCAAAACCGTCTAATATTTACTAGTATTGTGTAGCTTAGTTAAGAGCCTCCTGAAAAAAAACTCGTATGTGGCTTTTTGAAAAAGTACTCATATAAATTACTGTACCGGACTCCTGATTTTACCGATTCCTCTCAGTAAACAAAAAATTTATGGTCTGTAAAGTGGACAGAAACCAGCTGCTTACTGTGTAGTGAGGCAAAATGTAAATTAAGAGCAAGAAAAAAATCAGCTGATCATGAAAATGACCAGTTTTTCCCTTGCCCTATTATTGTGCTTGGAAACATTTATTTTCTTAAAAATCAGCTGCCATTCGTAATATCTACTTTCAATAATATACAAATAGATTGATTGGCAAAAAACTATTTATACAATGTTAACTTTTAACTTCTTTTAAATTGAGAAAAACTCTAAAAACATACTGTAGTCAGTTCAGAATAATGACCAAGATACTGTTTATTTTAGATTTGTTTCATTATATTATTTACTATCTACTTATTGATGGTATAGTAGATAACTCCTTAAAGTAAAGATTTTTATATTTCAGTCTTTGGATGAGCTAAGCAATAAAGCTGTTCCTGATAGTATAAAGCACAAGGGCTTGTTGGATATCGGACCTTCAGTTTGTAAGTACTGTATTGTAATCATTTACGATTATAGTCGTTACAAAATAAATTGTTTAGATTATTTCAAGTTTTAAGTGTTAAAACACTGTAATATTCATCTCATGATACAGTTTCATATGCCCAGAATGAATAAAATGATAAACAATAACCAAACACTTTTTTATGTTACTTTTTTCTTGTTTTCAAGGAAATTAAGAAAATTAAAAAAAAACTTTTAAATGGTAAAATAACTCTAAAATTGTGGTTGAAGTTCGAACTAACAAAACTATTTGTATTTATTTACGTCTTTAATCCCATTGAATGTAAAAAATACAATATTTGATGATTCAATCCGACAAATCTTACATAATAAAAAAAGTACTATGATAAATCCACCATATCTAGTGAAATAAGGTTATAAAATGACAAGATGCTTAGACACAGCAAAAATACGTTTTGATGAGATAAACACACAAACAGTGGCCCCCTGCCGAGAGTTATCATTGAGGTTATCAGAGAAAAAACTTTCAAAATTTGTTGTATAATCAATTCTGAGACTTCTTATCCTAACAGAGTGTGCCAAAATCGAAATGGTCTTGGCTATATTTGAAATGTTAGATGGATAACATTCTCAGATCCTTAAATATTATGCTTACCAACATGAGTGTAATTTTAGTATATTTATTGCAGGAGGGGAGAGCTATAAAATTCTACAATTTCCTCATTTACATATGTGATGTAATAAAGCTAAGATCTTTCCAAATATGTTTGAGGAGCAAAGTATAAATACCCCCGCCGCAGCAAACCTGCCGTCTAAGCGAATTTCCATTTGGCTGAATTGATTTTCAATCGATCTATTTAAATAACATTAGGTTTAACGAGTACCTAGGTTTGCTGCTACAAGGAAACTAATAAAGTGTTTTTTTTAAGTAAAATAATTATTGCTTAGTATAAAATGAATATATTTGCCAAGTTTGATCAAAAGATATCCATAAACAAGCAAACTACAACATTTTACAATATTCTCCATAAGAATAACATGGGAATTTTAAATTTACAATTTTTTAAGTTTTCTCCGTAACCAATAACCGTACAAAAACACTTAGATATACTGAATTGTTTGTTTTTTTAAGTTCTTTAAGAAGGTTTAGAGAAAAATTGGGAAATTTAGTGTTTTGAGGGTCAAAAGTGAGAAAAACCTATTTTAACCCCATAAAACGCCCGATAAAACCCTGTTCCCATGGTCCGATCATGCTGGATCGCGAACTCATTCAAGTTTATCCCGCCTTACACCTTCAAACCAAATTTCATCAAAATCGGATAAAAATTACTCAAGTTATTGTGTTCACGGACACATATATATATAAATCTATATGTATATATCTATATATATATATATATACATATATAAAAATTTGAATGAATGGTGTTTTTGGCCTCTTGGGACATCAAAATGAAAAAGTAAATCGGTCCCGGGCCTAAGTCTTACCATGAGACCTACGGTAATAGCTACTTCCCTATAGGGAAATTCGCTAAAAACACTCGGTGCTAGAAAATCTATGTGTCCTATGATATATTTTACTACAGCAATGTTTTTTCCTTCAAATTCTAATCTAACAAAGTCTGAAAATTTGAAAAAAACATGGAAGATTAAATTTTTGCCACCTCCCACAGATATTCTACCATGAGTGTAACTATTTTGATGGAGTCTACTAAGCTCAAGCAGCACGGATACACAACTAGCATTAACATTACTGAAGGTTGTGTTTTGATTTGATTTTCAGCCGAATATGAGCTGATAAAGAAGATCAGAGTGATTGCAGAGAAGAACCAAATCTGGCGAAGCTACATCGGCATGGGCTACCATAACTGTTGTGTACCTCACACTATCATGCGCAATATATTTGAGAATCCTGGATGGTAAGTAGAAACCCTTTTTTCACTCCATATTCTGCTCTTTTAATGTCAGTCAGTACCTTTAACTTTGTGAAAGAAGTGGTCTTCGTATTCACTTTGTGAGATAGCTTCTCTGATGGTTAGACATTTCAACACTTGTTCTGTTGCCAGGACGACACAATACACCCCATACCAGCCAGAGGTTGCTCAAGGTAGACTGGAAGGGTTGTTGAACTACCAGACTCTGGTGACTGACCTGACGGGACTGGAGGTAGCCAACGCTTCTCTGCTGGAGAACAGTTAGACATTTCAACACTTGTTCTGTTGCCAGGACGACACAATACACCCCCTACCAGCCAGAGGTTGCTCAAGGTAGACTGGAAGGGTTGTTGAACTACCAGACTCTGGTGACTGACCTGACGGGACTGGAGGTAGCCAACGCTTCTCTGCTGGAGAACAGTTAGACATTTCAACTCTTGTTCTGTTGCCAGGACGACACAATACACCCCCTACCAGCCAGAGGTTGCTCAAGGTAGACTGGAAGGGTTGTTGAACTACCAGACTCTGGTGACTGACCTGACGGGACTGGAGGTAGCCAACGCTTCTCTGCTGGAGAACAGTTAGACATTTCAACTCTTGTTCTGTTGCCAGGACGACACAATACACCCCCTACCAGCCAGAGGTTGCTCAAGGTAGACTGGAAGGGTTGTTGAACTACCAGACTCTGGTGACTGACCTGACAGGACTGGAGGTAGCCAACGCTTCTCTGCTGGAGAACAGTTAGACATTTCAACTCTTGTTCTGTTGCCAGGACGACACAATACACCCCCTACCAGCCAGAGGTTGCTCAAGGTAGACTGGAAGGGTTGTTGAACTACCAGACTCTGGTGACTGACCTGACGGGACTGGAGGTAGCCAACGCTTCTCTGCTGGAGAACAGTTAGACATTTCAACTCTTGTTCTGTTGCCAGGACGACACAATACACCCCCTACCAGCCAGAGGTTGCTCAAGGTAGACTGGAAGGGTTGTTGAACTACCAGACTCTGGTGACTGACCTGACAGGACTGGAGGTAGCCAACGCTTCTCTGCTGGATGAGGGTACAGCAGCTGCTGAGGGGTTGGCCCTGTGCTACAGGTTAGGAAAACAGTCAGCTAGAAAATTTATCTTTTAAGTTATGTACTATTTAACACATTTGCTGCGGCCTATGATGCACCATCGAACAAACCCGATTGCCGGGGATTGGCTTTAAAATATTTCGGTCTGACGAATAGTAAATAACGTGTGGCGATGCGCTGCGTTACGAGAGTCTACGTAGTTTGCTAAAACACTCACAGATAGCAGCATTGCTTGGAACTTAGCCGGTCCCATTGTATTGCCAATTGGAGGGAGAAAGACGGGACAACAAGTTGATTTCTAAGCTTGCCAGATAGAGATTTTACGGGGAAATTGAATACCAACTTACACCACAATTATAGACTGGTATTAGAGACACAATATTAACGCGTTACCAACTGTCCTCGGCGACAGCTTAAGCCATACGATTTTGATTTTTTGACTGGGCAAACAACGCGTTACACGCTGGTTTCTGATGATGCAGCCGCCTTGCACCACGGCACGCTATGCATCACCGGGGACCCAGCCGCAGCGAATGTGTTAACCAAGACATTTGTTACTAGAACTTTGCTGTCATTATCAATTTCTCTTGTTTTTAATCTTTAAGAGGCAAACATTTGCTTACATAAATTCCACCATGCAGGCAGCTCAAATAGGCTAATATGTTTGACCAGTACATATTTCGGTGTTACAACACCATCGTCAGCTTCAATTAATTAGTGAAGTTCTTCAAATGAATTCCCAAACTCACTTTACTAGTCTTTCCCATGTTATCAGTGCCTTGCTTTTTTGTCACTACAATCCTCTTAAATTTTGTTTACTGTGCAAACAAATTTGTAATGTGTTTACTGTTTATCTACTATACCAACATTTCCAGCTGAAGAAATTTACAATTAACTAGTGTACCGTTGCTCGAAATCAAGCAATTATTAAGTACCTACTGGTATTATAAGAGTAATTTTAAAACTGAAAACAGTCATCATTTTTTACTCTTACTCAACTAAAAGCTTATGTAACTAATGAAAAAACTCACGCTGTTCATAACAAAAATTTCTTGTAAATTTTTTTTAGTGTTTTATAAAAGTTTTTCTTCATTTACCCATACCCGTACAAAGTTTTCCTTGTTATCTTATTCATTGATACTGTAGCCTGCATGCACCATTGTCACCAGTATGTTTACAAAATTTAGTTATTTTTTTAAATAGCGGTAAAAATGGTTAAAACTACTATCAAGTAATACCCGATTTCCTGCATAATCTGTTTGTCAAAACTTTAATCTGCTTCAAATGGCATTCTTTACATAGCATCTTGTAATATTTATTTCTTCCATTTTGTAATTTTAATTGCACTTCTAGTTTAATGACCATATCCACATTTCCCCTCCTCCTCCCTCTCCAATAGTAAAAATAACAATTTATTTTCTTTTAAACTCCAGGTAACTATTAGAAAAATGTTAATTTTACTGTCAGGAGAGGTCCCGGGCTGGGGACCGGTGTAGCGGAGTTAAAAATGTGTTGGCCCTGAAAAGGGCCGTTTGGCCAAGAGCTCGTACGTCACTTGGCGGAAGGGGGTCCACAACCCATAGCCCAAATCTACTCAATAAAAGTGGTATGATAATACCGTTTAGCGTAAGACGCTGACAATTTAAATCGAACAAACTTGAGCGTATAGGTTGAGCCCGGTTCGGTCAACTCTCGAAGTCTTGGCTGTGGTGTTTCTTGAGCCTCCTCCGCGTCCTCCACCGAGGGGTCAAGAACGTCACAACAGTCAAGCGCTTCCAGAGCAACCTCATCAGGTAAAGGCAACCCTTCCCTTACGTTTACAGCGAACGGGTTCCTCAACATACTGCCACAAAGTAAGTTACGTGTTTACAGTGCGAAAGTTATTGAGAAACAGAATTTTTGGTTTCCATGGTTAAATATATATTTTTCTATGTAGAAATAGTGTTGCTAAGACACATTAAATTTACAAATTAGGTTTAAATTAAATAAATCCACGGGCATCTCAGGACCTAGTCTCATCCAAGCAATTAAAATATGACAAGTGTTTTCTGTTTTAAATAATGAAATTTAATTGTAAAAATTTCTAGGACTCAAGATAGAATATTATTTTTAAATTAATTGTGTTTGAATGACTAAGCATTATTGTTCAGCCCTAACTTACTTGTCTTGGGTTGCTAGTTATTTTGGGATGTTTAAGCTGTTTGAAAATAGGTTTGTTCTTTAAATTGAATGGAGTATTCTGCAAAAATCTTTTTTACTAAAAAATAAATGAATCCAATATCTTTGTGTAGGTCATAGTCATAACAATATTTTGCTTAACACGTTGACTGCTAACACCGACTTTAGTCGGCGTTGCTAGTGCTTCAATGTGGCGCGCGCCGACAAAAGTCGGCACCAGACCAACAGAAATATATTGAGTCAGTGTGAGCTTATCCTCAGACGGAGACGTTATAATCGTTGCAAGACTGCCAGCTTAGAATGTGAGCTTTACTTTGGTGTAGGTTGGTACTAAAATTTCCCGTAAAATCCTGTCTGGCAATGCTTTTGTCCCGGTTTCGGGGATTTTTTCTCTTCAACCCACATTACAAAGACACTGGATACGGATCCGTGCAGTGCTGCTACCTTTGGGTGTTTCAGTGAACTACATCCACTCTCGGGGTAACGCAGCACAGTCACCACTGCTCTTTTGTGATTCGTCAGACTGAAATATTTGAATGCCAATTGCGTTCGCTGATTCGATTGCTGGGGAGCGCCTGTACGTTGTTTTCAGCAGTCAACGTGAAAAATGAACTGTTTGTCACACTACTGGATGCTGGATCAAGTAGTCAGTTTTTCTCTCCCTACATACTTTACTGTTTCATTGTAGTTTTATGTGGGTCAGGGGGGTCTGATACAAACAAACTATATAAATTTCCTACACAGGAGCAGGCCACATACATCAGTTGGCCTCATAGGTAATAATAAATTAGGATATTATAGCAACTTTGTTAGAAGTTGCGTTGTTGTATCGACGTTGGTCTTGAGCTCGATCGTTGACTATATGCATTCTAAGTTCTTTTTGCTGTTCAGTAGGGGTATTTTGCAGGACCGAGCTCATCATGCTGAAAACTTGCGCGTATGGATTAATATCAAGTTGAGTCAGTGCTGCAAGAGCCATTAGCTTTGTTTAGCATTCTTTCTTGAACAGCGGTTTTGACGTCCATAGGTATAAATTTGGGCATATGTGGATGCTCCCCTTCTGACGGTTGAAAGGTGACAATTGGGTGATAAATTGTGTCGTGCACCTTATACATGGCAGCAGGATGAAAATCCTTCGCCTCGTCCTCTTTTTTCTTCTTTAAAATGTAGTACACCACATTTCTGACATTTTAATGCCATCTCGCCAAGTGAATGCTGCTGAATTCTTGTTTTTGTCAGGGTAATTTTGTAAATACCCCACTAACTTTTCAGCATGCCACTAACTGTTCCAGCTCTTTGTCTGGGCTCCTTACGTTTTGCATTGCTTGCTGTATGTTGACTCGCCGTGTCCGACCGGCAATATTTCTTTTTCGTCGGGTCCTTGGCATTTTTAAACGAAAATATAATGTAAAACTTTTCTCCCGTCGTGTCCTATAGGTAACATTTCTTTGCCGGGTTTCTAATTGTTTTAAAAAACATGCAAACTGTTAACATTTCAAAACCAAACAAAACAGCTGGGATTTAACTTTTTTTTAAACTAATGTATTGACATCTGTTTCAGAATATAATAACATTAAAATCAATCACAATGTTATCCTTATGGAAGGAACTTTGAGGGCAGCCCACGCCCTTAAAAATATATATTTCGAAAATCTAAAGCCAGTTTGCACATCTACACACCTAGACAAAAATTTTGGTACATAATATGTGGGGTTAAATCTTAAAATAAAAAAGCCTTATTGTTCACAAAGTTTCATGTCGTGTATTAAATATATAGATTACAAAAAGCGGTTGATGGTGTTTCAATACCAAAACAAATCCTAATCTCCTGAACAAATATATATTTTAAGCTTGACGGGATTTACTTGAATAATTTAGTCTTACATAAACTTATATGCCTTATAACCGCTAAGAAGCTTAAACATGGATTATGGTAAAAATGTATCCCTATCTTTACTAAGGCACACTAAGGCTGTTGACTCTAAATAAATAATGCTTTAGTCATGATCTATCATGTCGATCTTCCTTAATGTTAAAATCAGTTCAATATTAACTGAGCCACCAATGAAAAACATTTTTGCAAAAAAATAACAAAGATTAGCTAATATTACAAATTGTTTCACCCTGAGCTGTTTATATCCATATACAGTATAAATCCCAAAGTACCCATGAACTTTAGAGAAAACTACAAGGCACACCCCCATAAACGATATGCATACTTAAAATGATCATGATGATGAGAAACCTTGCTTAAAACTATCCATTATTTCATAAATTGCCCTTTAAGGTCGTAATTCCTTTCTAAAGAGAACATTCCATATGCCTAATGTTAAAAATAGCCTCAGCTGTACTTATTTCTATGTTATTCTTTCAATTTATTAGCTTATTAAAATCAGGTGTGATTATTTGTTTGTATTACTGTATTCTGTTTTGATTTCAGCTTAACTTAACCAATCAATACTTTTATTAATGCTTATGAAGTCAAATGGGTTGAAGCCCCATGGGTAACAGCTAGTACATTATAAAGTTTCATTATTTATTGGTTAATGAATAATGATAATATTGAAATCCCACTGACAAATTAAATCTGTTGTCTACAGACAGAACAAGCGGAAGCGTCTTCTAGTGTCCCACAATGTTCACCCTCAGACTCTGAGCGTAGTACAGACCAGGGCTGACTCTATAGGACTGGCCGTGGATGTGGTGGATGTCTTCAAGGCAGACTTCTCCTCTAGACAGTACTCGGGAGTTTTGTTCCAATACCCGGACACCAACGGAGACTTGCACGACTTCACAGACGTAGTGCAAAGAGCGCATGCTGAAGGTGTTAGTGTGAAGCCCTCAAAGTCTCTTATAACATTTTTTCTAGTATACTCTCTTTTACCCGAGCCTTGATCAACCGTTGCTTTGGTTAACCAGCTCAACGGGTAAAAATAGATTTAGGTTTATTTACTGAATTATTAAAACTGGTTGGTTTAAGGCTGTTTGGGCTTGAGTTAATTGTGGCAGTGAGCTCAGTTGTTCCCCAAGCTGCCGCCACTGTTGCTCCTGACACGGTGGTTAAAGTGATGTAGTGCGGGCCGGCCTATTTGGCCACAGAAGGTGTAAAAAAATTGAAGGTTCAAATCCACAGTTCAATGAAAACAAGATACTGACTTGGAAAAAACAAAATCTGTGACATTTGACAAAATTACCACTTTCAAGCTCTCTAAGTGCCACATTATTTTTGGACTCATTTAACATGTTTAGTGCGGGCTACATCTATTGATGTAGTGCGTCATGCTCAGCCATTGCCGGGTAATGTTATAATCGTTGCAAGCCTGTTGCTTAGAATGCGAGCTTTATTTTGGTGTAGGTTGGTACTAAAATTTCCCATAAAATCCCGTCTGGCAATGCTTTTGTCCTAGTTTTGGGGATTTTCTCTCTTCAAGCCACTTTACAAAGACACTCTGGCTACCTTTGGGTGTTTCAGTGAACTATGTCTCGAAGTAATGTAGCACAATCACCGCTGCTCTTTTGTGATTTGTCAGACTGAAATATTTGAATGCCAATTGCTTTTGCTGATTCGGTGGCACGCCAGGGGTTCCCTGCCAATGAAATGAAATGAAATTAAATGAATGGCAAGCTCCTGTTTGAAGTAGCCCGCACTCAACGTGTTAAGAATCATACATAAAAATAATGCCTCATCCAATGAAACTAAAATTTATTTGGTTAATTTTCTGACCAAACGCTCTTAAACAAAATTTTTTAGGAACCTAGAGCTTTCTGTTCCCATCCATATTGCAGTAAATTAACTCCCTTCCTCAATGTAATTGTTATGTCTCATCGTACAGACACTGACGGTATGTGCCACTGACCTCCTGGCTCTCACAGTGGCTAGGCCTCCCAGTGAGTTTGATGTGGATGTTGCTGTCGGCACCAGCCAGAGGTTCGGAGTGCCGCTGGGCTACGGAGGACCTCATGCTGGGTTCTTCGCTTGCAGACAATCTCTGGTCAGACTGATGCCTGGACGAATGGTTGGACTTACAAGGTAATGCAGTTTAACCACTTGAATCTTTGGAAACAGATAAACCTACTATAAATGTTGTTATCCCTTGGCAGTTCTTCAGTTGTAGTCGACGTGTGTTGTGTGGGGGTCTTTGAATCCTTTAAGTTTTGTTTACTACTGATGGATCAGTCTTTTTATCGATTGGATAAGAGTCTGATTACAAAGTTACCGATTGAGAGGGAGTTGACTTTGGTTTCCATTATAATGAGGGAAAAATGATTACCTTAGGTTTGTAAGTATCTTGAACTTGATTAGTTAACTTAAGCGCAGTCATGATTGATTAGTCCCTGTTACCACACACATGGGTAATTTGTAAGAAACTAAGATACTATTTACCAGCATAATTTATTTACACATTTTAAATTTTGGATACTGAAGTCAAATGGACTAGATGCAGCTATTTTTAAAATAAAAAATAACATAGTTTAATAAACTTCTTGATCAGCATTGTATGTGTTATTAAATTTACGGAAAGTAAGTAAAAGAAACGTCTTATAACACTTAAAAAAACATAGATTTAGTATTTACGCTTATACTGTTACTCACAAGACAGCAAATATACAAAAAAGATGGTAAGTGGTGATCGATTTTGATTGGACACTCCAATCATCATCAGACCCAATAGGAGAATGACAAGAATCTTAAGTAGGGACACCATTCAAGATTCTTGTCATTCGCCTATTGGGTCTGATGATGATTGGAGTGTCCAATCGAAATCGATCACCACTTACCATCTTTTTAGCGAATTTCCCTATAGGGAAGTAGCTATTACCGTAGGTGGCACAGTAAGACCTAGACCCGGGACCGATTTACTTTTTCATTTTGATGTCCCCAGAGGCCAAAAACACCATTCGTTCAAAATTTTATATATGTATATATATATATATATATATATATATATATATACTAGCTGTACCCGCGGGCTTTGCCCCACTTCATAAGTGAGCTCGTTCGCATGGCTCAATCACGTCCTGGTTGAAGTTCGTACGCTACGCTCACTCACTTTTAGGTTGGAGCTCGTTCGCTGCGCTCACTTGCCTTCAGGTTAGCTTGTTCGCTACGCTAACTCGCCTCCAGGTTGAAGTTCGTTCGCTGCGCTCACTCACCTTTTGGTTGCAAATTAGCTGTTGTCATAAATGTAGAAGAAATAATAGTGCTGCACCCTGTTGGTAATCCTTGTAACTTTAATGCTATTGAACATCATAGAACAGAACCAACTTGTTTTATTGAAACAGCTGTTAAGATTCATTAATTCCATTTAAATATGAAAACTCATAAGGTTAACGTGGGAAACTCCAGAGCCACTGGGGCGGAGCCCGAGAGTCCGATCAGAATAAAAACAGCTTAGTTTTCCTATTTAATGGCTAAAGAATCAGTGTACCAAATTTCAGCCTCCTAGGTAAATGGGAAGTGGGAGAATTAGTGATGAGTGAGTGAGTGAGTGAGTCAGTCAGTGAGGGCTTTGCCTTTTATATATATAGAATAGATAGACTTATATATATATATACATCCGTGAACGCGATAACTTGAGTAATTTTTGTCCGATTTTGATGAAATTTGGTTTAAAGGTGTAAAGCGGGATAAACTTGAATGAGTTCACGAACCAGCACGATCGGACCATGGGAACGGGGCTTTACGGGGGGTTTTATGGGGTAAAAATAGGTTTTTCTCACTTTTGACCCTCAAAACACAAAATTTCCCAATTTCTCTTTAGACCTTTTTAAAGAGCTAAAAAAAACAAATACCTAATTTAGTATATAAAAGTATTTTTGTTCGATTTTTAGTAACGGAAAATTATAAAAAATTTAAATTTAAAATTCCCATGTTATTCTTATGGAGAATATTGTCAAATGTTGTAGTTTGCTTGTTTATGGATATATTTTGATCAAACTTGGCAAATTTTTTTACTTTCCGTAAATTTTTTTGTACTAAGCTATCAATATTTTACTCAAAAACACACTTTATTAGTTTCCTTGTAGCAGCAAACCTAGGTACTCGTTAAACAAAATGTTATTAAAATATATTTAACTGAAAATCAATTCAGACAAATGGAAATTCGCTTAGTCGGCAGGATTGCTGCGGCGGGGGTATTTGTATATTTACCGTCTTGTGAGTAACAGTATAAGCGTATATAAATATATGTTTTAAGTGTTATAAGATGTTTCTTTTATTTACTTTCCGCATAGTTTAATTTAACTTAACCCAGAGAGTGCCAAAGTAAATGACTAAGTTTTTGTTACTGAGATAGTTAATGTGACCTAAAAGATGCTACAGCATACAAGAGATTCTTTTAGGCTTGGTCAATGAGTTGGCATATTTCATAAAAATCTGTAATTTTCATCCGTTCCTCGGTTGATGGTAAAATTCAACTATGATGATTTTCCAAAACCAGCAACAATATTATAGTGGACCAAATAACAAAACGCTACATTTTCAGGGATATAAACGGCAACAATGCGTACCGCCTGGCTTTGCAAACCAGGGAACAGCACATCCGCAGAGACAAGGCTACGTCCAATATCTGCACGGCGCAGGCGTTGCTAGCCAACATGTCTGCCATGTACGCCATCTACCACGGACCCAAGGGGCTGCGGCGCATTGCCAACAAAGTCCACAATGCTACACTGTTACTCAGAGAAGGTATTGCTCTATGTTTTAGACACTTAAATTGATTAAGTTTTTATGTGGTTGAAATTTTTAAATTTTTATGCGAGGGATCAGTCTGTAAATTGTGTATATAAGAGGTAGAATCTGTCTAAGAGGCGTTCTCCCTGCTTTCTTTACTTTATCATCCAGTTGATGTGCGTTATTGCGTTGTTGTCTATATTATTTAATGTTAAGAAAGAAAAATTGAATTTTTACTTAAAATATTGTTAAAAAAAATCGTTGCGGCCCCCTTTCCGCTTGCGCTACGAGGCTGCAGCCTAATGGTTAATCTCGTACTAGTTTTCCTAATGTAGGTGATTTTATGTTCCCTTTTTCTGTATTTTCTAGGGAATTATGAATAGTAGGGTTTGTGTATGACTAATCAAATTAATCTGTGTCATAATACATCACATGGAACTATTGTCCAGGGCTACACAAGGCTGGCCATTCCATTCTGAACTCACTAGTGTTTGACACTCTGAAAGTCCTGCCAAGTGTTTCCAAATCAGAATTGTTGTCTCGCTGTGAACACAAGAAGATCAACTTGCGCTACTTTTCTGACGGTGCTGTAAGTAATACCATAGATAAAACATACTCCCTTAGTAGATTTCTCATCCATATGGGACAGCTGAAGACAATTTTATTGTTAGTTCATGTATGGTTTATGTAGAGGTCGTGTTTTGTTTACAATTTGTTTCCCGTTATTACAGCCATTTAAAACCTCGTTTAACCAAATAATACGATCTAATCATAAACAATAACTTGCTCCCTGGTTATATAACCAAACAGTAAAGCACAAAACAAGAAATTAACCCTAAAATAATGGAAACAAAGTTTCATCGACACTGGCGCCTTTGTGTCACGTACATGAACTAGACACGAAAAACGTGCTTCAAAATTTACAATGGGATGAGAAGTCTACTTGTGTTGGTTAGTCTATGGTAATACATTCACACTTGCTGTTTGGCTAGAGATACAGTTTTAAAATAGAAATGTGTCTGATAGAAAAATTATTCTAATTTTTAGACATATGTTTATAAACTCTGTGCTGGATTTTTGACTTCGGTCTGACCACTTTTTAGGAACTGCCAGTCTGTACACAATACACATTACCTAAGGCAATTGTTTGTTTGTGATCACAAGAGGTTATGTCTCCGTCCACAGTAGCTTGATTTTGAATTTATCCACACACTTGTAATCTGTATAGAACTGCAGAGATTGTTATAGTCTTTGTATAAAAAAAATGTTTTTTATAACTATATTAGATACTGAAATAAAACTACACCAAAATCTCCTTAGTTTCATAACAAGTACAACGGTGAACACCCTATTTGAATCAAGCAAGTATCAAAAAAGATATATAATTTTTTATCAATGAAAACATGGTAGCCCGGTACGAAGTGTATGGCTGCAGCAGAGCGGTACACCGTTAGGTGGTTGGACCAATACGAGCTTAGTTCTGAACATTAGCTTCAGTTATATAAATTTACGTTCTTATTGCATTTTTCTGGTGACCATTAGTGTTGACTCAAGAATAATGAGCTGGTTATTCAGGATTGTAGACTCCAGAATTAGTCCTTGACAGAATGTATTGTTGGCTGGGTTTTCATTAGTAACCTAGTTTAAGTAAAAAAGTAACAAGCTAAAAATAATGTACGCAATATAGTTGTTTGATTCTTTATTTTCTACAACATATTTTTTACAGGTTGGGATTTCTCTTGATGAAACAATAACCAAAGAAGACGTTGAAGATATTCTTTGGGTTTTTGGTTCCGAATCAAGCCTGAATGATGTGAGTGGTTTTTGAAACTGTAATTTAATACTAGCATAATATTCAATTCGAGGCTTTGCTCACGACAATTTAAATTAAAAAGCTAAATGTTTTATATGATTCAAAATAATTGAAAAAAAAACACTATATAGTCTAAAAATAAAAATATGTTTATTTGATCCATATAAATCATAAAGTTAGTTAAACATGACTCCTGAAGTTAGTCTAAGGAAGAACTTTATCATTGACAACATTAACTTTTATAAAATATACTACATAATTTTTTGACATGAATACTATTCATGCTGCATCTCCTCTTTCAATTAAGTTTACTCACTTAAACCTAATTTCCCAATAGTAGTCTATTAAAAAAAAAATAGTCAGTTCTCTAATACTGTAACTTTATTGAAAAGTATTATGTGTAGCCTATCTTAAAGTAACATTAAAACCTTGAACAATGTTATTTTAGTTTTAGTAACCCTAAAATGCTCCAAACAGTAGTACAGTCACTTTACGCCCTAGTGATGAAATATACTATTTTCAATAACATTGATTTTTAAAGGGGAATATTTTTTTAAATAATTAATAAATAAAACAACTTTTTAAAAATATCTTGTTTTAAACGCACTAAAAAGTAAAAAATGATTTATAAACATGTGGAGAGAATAAATACTTCTAAAATGAAAAACGTGGGATAAAATGGGACGCAATCAGGAAATATAGATGTAAATCATACAAACAGGATGTACTGTGTGAATTTGTTTGTTTCCTATCGACAGATACCCCATATTTATTATTATCAATTAATCAGTAAGTTCAAAATTGTAAACAAAAACTACTATTCTCATAATCATAAAACTTAAAAATCCTTCGGGAGCAGAACCTGTACCTCTTAACCTCTGCTCTTTGTACAAACTATCAAATTAAAGTGTTTACAGCTGACTTCAATTGATATATTTAACTATTTACATTCTTCCAAAATGTAAACATTAAAACTTTGGAAGCCCATGGGGCTTATTCCAAGGGAAATATGAAAATAAAATGATATAATATTGCATTGTCATCCATTTGGGAGCTGTGTTTCAAGTCTCTAGTTCATCGGGAAGTTAGTTTAATATCTATTCCAAAATTTGTAGTAGGCAAGAAAAGAAAGTGAGCTATTAAAAAAACTTTTTAAAAACTCAAAGATTTTAAGTTTTTCACTGGTTGGAATTTCTTTCACAGATTTTCAAGGAAGGGGCGTGGAAGACCCAGAGTCTGTCTGAGTCTCAGCTGAAGAGAACCTCTCCGTACTTGACACATCCGGTGTTCAACTGTCACCACTCGGAGTCTAGAATTGTCCGATACATGAAGAGTTTGGAGAACAAAGACATCTCATTGGTCCACTCCATGATTCCTCTGGTCAGAAGAAACAATGATCTATTTACTAGTTATGTACACATTATAGCGAATCATGGTTAAATATGTCTAGGCAATAAATTTATTTCACATAGCAAACAAATTTATGAGTGAAGTGAGCATATAGATTCATGAACTTATTTAAACGCTGATCACTGATTGATGAACATAAAAATTTGTCTAAATCTGAATTATAAAAACCAGTGCTGTTTGTAAAAGAACTATTGCATAGATAGACGATTGTGAAGACAAAATCGCAGTTCTCAACTCAACAATAAGAACGAGAGAACACATTTTGCCTAGACCAAGGGAAGTAATGGACGGCAGGCTTGCACGCACAATCGAGGTTGCCGCGCTATGCCTCACAGAACAGCTGATTTCATGAACTGAACGAACATTCCCACACACACACTATCAAAGTCAAATTTCTGTCTTGTACTCACATGGTTTGAACAAACCTCCACACACACCAATACACGGCTAATTTGGCTTGATCACATCAAATGGACAGGTCTAACTAAACAAGAGAAGCAGACTTAAGAATTGCATGACAAATTTGAAACCCATTGTGGTAGTTTTGAAATCACTATGGACCTAAAAAGGTCCATACAGGTCCTTTTTGTTCCTTTTTGTTCCTGGATCTAAAAAGGTCCAGGAACAACCTTATTAGGGCGTTGGAAATCATTTTGAAAGCAAATCATCACAAAACCTCACCATTTATGAAGAATAATTGTGAACAAATAGAAATAATACAAATAATTATTATATTCAGAAGCCGATCAAAGGAGTCTAAAACCTTTTCAAAGATGTAGAACAAAAACCGATTAAATATTGGTGATTTAGCTGTTATTTCATTACAAAGTTTCATTGTCGATGGTTCTCTCGATTTCTGTTAAATAATATTAAAATAGGTACAAGTATTACCGAAAAAAAAAAAAATAGACTTGTTTTGGCTTCCATATGGTACAAAACATCAACAAGCTTAATATGAAAATCCAAGAAAATATACAGACAAAACTCTGATTTAATTTATATGGATTTATATCACCAAACAATGCAATTGTTAGAAGCCAATAGTCAAAACTTATCTTAGATACTTTAAACTTGAAAAATCATTAGATTCAATAGATTTATTTCATTTACGCTTTGTATTTCCAGGGTTCTTGCACTATGAAGCTGAACAGCACTACTGAGATGATGCCATGTAGCCTTCAACACTTCACGGACATTCATCCGTTTGTCCCCAGAGAGCAGGCACAAGGCTACAGTCAGCTGTTCCATCAGCTGGAGCGAGACCTCTGCACCATCACTGGTTACGACAGAATATCCTTCCAACCTAATAGGTCAGCTGTTTTTATTTCTTGAGATTTTGAAGGACTAACTAGAATCTTGATATGCAGCCTTTTGTGACCATTGTCAGAATCCATAAAATTTTTCAGTATCAGCCCCGATCAAAAGGGGTTTCTCTTGCTTTGAGGTGACACACTTAGTGATTATTGGCCGAGAAATTATGCGTCCAGTTCTCACACAACCAATAAGGATACACTTCACAGCAAGGCAGGGAACTTCACCTGACTTAGTGATTGATGGAAAATCTAGTGAAGATTAATTAGAATAGTTAAGATGTGTTTGTAAGTTTTTTTTATCTGAATGAACAATGAACGTATACAATAATAATTTAAAATGTTATAAAACTAAGATACAAACAAAAAAATATTTTATGTAAGTCATTTAATTTACTTACACTAAGATAATTTACTTACACTCACTAAGATAATGGTGTAACATAAAGTACAAGGGCCTAGATTTTCAGGATTTGTTGCCAGGATAGCAGGCTTACCTGAATGGGAAAGAGTCCCAACTGGCACAAGATACATAAAACTTAACACTATATAAACGACACATAAGAATATTTCACTATCACTGACAGCATTTTCACCTAAGGAATAGAACGTTCTCTTTAGGTCCAATATAAAAGCTCAGATATTGGTTCAGATATAGTACAGACCTGAAGAAAACTCGCTCTTCTTTAGCCTTAGGTGAAAATCCTATCAGTGACAGTGAAATATTCTAATGCTTTGTGTATACAGTTAAAGTTTTGTGTCTCTTGTGCCAAATTAAACTTATTCCCATTCTGGTAAGTCTGCTATCCTCACACAAAAATAAATATCCTTCCCCTTACATTATGATAAGTCTGCATAATTTTATGCACCGTAGTATTAATTTGGTAGTAGCTCAAAACAATGAAATTTACCCCGTAAAAAACAACGTAAAAATTAAATATAACATCTGTGATGGTTTGTTAGTGGAGCTCAGGGCGAGTACGCTGGTCTCAGAGCCATCCAGTCTTACCACAATTCGCGAGGGGAAGCTAACCGCAATGTCTGTCTCATCCCGGTGTCGGCTCACGGCACAAACCCAGCGTCGGCACAGATGGCCGGCATGGAACTGGTGCCGATATCAGTGACCAAAAGTGGCGGCATCGACTTGGCACATCTCAAGGACGAGGTTAACATTATTAATTTTTTAGGGAAATATAAATTATTGCATATTTGTTAAGTTTTGCTTAGCAATTTTTTTAACCAATTTTAATTTTTGTTGCTAATAAAATAACTAACAGTGCCTCAGAAAGAAGTTACAACAGTCTCGATCTTGGATAAACAAAGCTGTCGGATAACACAGTAAATTATTAAACCATTTTGACTATGGTAATTAATTAAATTAATAAGGAATCTGTATCGTCAAACTTGTTTAAGGTTTTAATTTTGTTTTCTTTTTGAAACTACTAACTCTCTATCAAAGTTTGTCTTCACAAGTGACATTAAAAAATTACCAATTAAGCTATACTCATTTACTTACCATCAAGCTATCTTTGAACTGTGAAAAAATATAAATGGTGGCAGAAACCTGAGGTTTGCAGGTATAATGATTAGACAATCTATGTGGAAGTAGAATAATCTGGTAGACAGTAACTAATTTAATTTTAATTTCCCCTAGGTAGAGAAACATAGTACAAATCTCTCTTGTCTAATGATTACCTACCCTTCGACGTTTGGAGTGTTTGAAGAAGAAGTCAGTGATGTGTGTCGCTTGATACACGATCATGGCGGACAGGTATGAAACCACTTCTATCAAAAACATTATTCAGAAGCATAGAACTTGTACATGACAGTAGATTTTGCTGTCCATTCTCTTTGAAATTATTGGCGTCAGATGTTATTTATTACTATAGTTTGTGTACAATAACATAGCTCCAGGAAGTTTGCAGTTACATACAATTATTTTAGTATCACCAAGATTTGTCTAAAATGGGTTTAAATTGGTCTTAACTGTCTCTACAATGAAAACATACCTCTGGTGTGGTACTTGGTACTTTTTCTGTGTGAATCATAAGTAATTCTATTTTCACAACAGTTTGAAAGAAAAGCTTCCTTACAGCTGATTCTGTATTTGGTTTTAAAGTAATTATTTTTTTCTAAAGCCATCCAGTTTACCACAATTCGCGAGGGGAAGCTAACCACAATGTCTGTCTCATCCCGGTCTAACGGCAATGTCTAACTCCTCAGGTATATCTTGACGGTGCCAACATGAATGCTCAAGTTGGCTTGTGTCGTCCGGGTGATTACGGGTCTGACGTGTCTCATCTCAACCTACACAAAACATTTTGTATCCCTCATGGTGGCGGTGGGCCCGGCATGGGGCCCATAGCTGTGTAAGTATATATGGACGTGATAACAAATTGCTTATTTTTTTTTAATTTCAGGGATTATTTAGTGACTAGAGAAACTTGTGAAATTTCATACAAAAATTAAATCGTGATTTCTTTTCTTATGAATCACTTCAGTTTACTAAGTGAAAGTAATCAGTATACAGTTAATGGTTGATAAGAAAATATTTATTATTGAGTTGAAATTTAATGTTTACAAGTTCTGTTTAATGAATTTATTTTTTATGGATTGCATTTTATTTCATTGATTGTCATTAATCCTTATAACACTCTTGGTTGGGTATCAAAGCCGCCTCCTGGTTGGAAAGATTTCTGACTTAGACAGCTTAGCCAATGATGAAACCTAGTGATCTACAGCACTTAAATAACACTAACTGATCTAAAACCTGTCATAATAAAGTAAAATTTTTTTGTCGCCTTTTATATTACTTTTTTATTTAATTTTTTTATTGTCGATCATATAATGTTTAGACTGTCAAATCCTGCAATTGTCAATAAGTTGTTGTTTGCCTAATATTGTACTTTTGGTGGTTACCTGTTAATCATCTTTTCAATTGCAAAACTCCTGCTTGTACTAAATTAAGTCATCAGTCATCATTTTGTAAACTGGTTTATGCCTTAATAACTGAATTGAAGATGATATTACAGCAAAGCTCACCTAGCTCCTTTCTTGCCCAATCATCCGGTTGTCGACCTCTTCCAGAATGAGGAGAGTCAAAGTTTTGGAGCTGTCAGTGCAGCACCCTTCGGTTCCTCTAACATTCTGCCTATCTCCTGGGCTTACATCAAGGTAATGATCTGTAGCATATTGAATCTTGAATGCCGATAGTGAAAAAAGTTCATATGTATTTTATTAACATGAATATACAATCTAGGCAAGTTAAGATTTCCTAAACTTAGTCTTACTGTCGGGTCATCATAATTTTACAAATTTATTTCTGCGTTTATGCGTGTTGGTTTAAAATTTTTTATGAAGTTTCAACTCTGCCTTTCAGCAGGTCGAATGAAAAAAGTACAGGTTTTTCGGCGCTTGACCAACAACGGGCAACTTTAACATTTTATAACAAGAAAACTAATGATCTAATCGTCATGAAATTGTTATAGCTTTTAGAACATATACTTATAAAGCACATTTATAAGTTTTAGAATTTTTCGTCAATAAGAAAAAATTCTGTTATGGTTTTTGCAAAGGCATTTTATTTCAGCGACGGGACAAGCTAGAAACTCCGATGAAAGCTTGAATTAAAACTCTTAAAAAGATACAAATGAAAGGTTAAGTTACACATTAGCTAAGGGGCCTTTAATAATTAAAATGGACGTATAATCAAAGCTATTCTGAAATGCAATTGTGCGTGATATTTGTACCGCTATCGATCCGCAGGCAGGGAGTTCTCCCTGCCTGGGACCGGTTTTGGCAGCACGGACGCTCGAACGATGAATCATACATACCCCGCGAGGTTATCTGCCTACGAACCACCCTTACTCGTACCACTGAGTCATACTTAATTATATAGATTCCATCCCTACAATGTTATTATTGTGGTCTGAACATATTTTCCTCAGACTGTCTGTGTTGTTCGTTGGAGTCAAGATGCCCAGAGCGCCACATTTATCAGAAGGTGAAATCACTATGATTTTAAAGGCTCTGTTTTGTATTAAAAAACGAAGGTGTCAGGTGTAATGATAAGCGATACCCAGTTTATCAGAAGTCGATTACAACATTGAAGATATGGTTAAGGGTAGGTACATTGTAGTGATGAGGTTCGGCGGTTTGATCCGTGCTGCCAAAACCGGTCCCAGGCAGGGAGAACTCCCTGCCTGCGGATCGATAGCGGTACAAATTTCACGCACAATTGTGTTTCAGAACAGCTTTGATTATACGTCCATTTTAATTATTAAAGGCCCCTTAGCTAATGTGTAACTTAACTTTTCATTTGTATCTTTTTAAGAGCTGTAATTCAAGCTTTCATCGGAGTTTGTAGCTTGTCCCGTTGCTGAAATAACATGCCTTTGCAAAAACCATAACAGAATTTTTTCTTATTGACGAATAATTTTAAAACTTATAAATATGCTTTATAAGTATATGTTCTAAAAGCTATACAAATTTCATGACAATTAGATCATTAGTTTTCTTGTTATAAAATGTTAAAGTCCCCTTGTTGGTAAAGCGCTGAAAAACCTGTACTTTTTACATTCAACCCACTGAAAGGCACAGTTGAAACTTCATAAAAATTTGAAACCAACACACTAAAACGCAGAAATAAATTTGTAAAATTATGATGTAACTTGTATTTTTTTACGTCTACTGGTTACGGTGCAATAAAAGCTCAAACTCGAGTATCTATACTTTTTGACCCGACAGTAGGAATTAATTTTTGTCCAAATTGATAGATTCATGCCACGTGTTGGAAGAATATCCTCAATGCCTGCTGTGATGGGTGCTTCAAAGTAAGAAGGCATTCACTTCAGTCTAGTTTTGGCTATTTTATATGTGGGAGATTTTAACAATGAGATTACTAAAATTGATTGAGTTCATCAATCTAGGCAAAAGATCGGATCAGGCCCGAACTGGCCAGATTTGCGATGGCGGCCCACTGCTTGAGGGGGTCCCAAAGGGCCTCTTCTAGTACAACACCATTGAGAGTACAGCAGCGATAATTAATCTAAATCTAAATAAATATTACTCTTACTGTCCGAATCTTTTACGATTAACATTGATTCAACTAGATGATGGGAGGCAGTGGGTTACGTAAGGCCACACAGATCGCAATACTCAACGCCAACTACATGAGCAAGCTGTTAGAGGACCACTACAAGACATTGTATCGCAGCCCTCAGTCTGGTCTTGTAGCCCACGAGTTCATTCTTGACATCAGAGACTTCAAGAAGACGGCAAACATCGAAGCGGTAGACATTGCCAAAAGACTTATGGATTTCAGTAAGTATGGAAACAAAACACGTTAGACTGATTAGATTTATGGTTTTATATTACGCTGGTTTTCCAGGGTTTGTTTTTTAAAATGAGAAAATTAAGTGTTGAATTAATAAACTACATGATATCATAGATTAAACACACTCCCTTAGTAGATTTTTCATCCATAGCTGAAGACAATGTTATTTTTAGTTCCGTCCAGAGCTGCTAGGATTGTGTTCTAGTTTACAACTTCTTTCTTGTTATTTAAACTATTTAAAACCTTGTTTAACCAAATAAACCAACCTAAACTTAAACAATTACTATTACTAACCAAACAGTAAATAAAATCATAAAATAAATCCTGAAATAATAGAAACAAAATTTTATCAACACTAGCGCTCAGTGTCACCAACATGAACTAGACACTCTGACAATCAAATAGACTAAACATTTTAATTTCAAACCATTGTATTATAACTATATTTATGTGTGTTACTGTTACTGTATAGAATAGTTTATATTCGTAAAATTTCTTACATCAGTTTCCAAACATGGTCAATTAATTTGCATGTTATTTTCTGTAGATGAGCAAATAGAATAAATTAGTGTAAGTAACTTTGTAGTAGGTGTTTGAAACTTTACTATATTACAGGTTTTCATGCACCAACGATGTCGTGGCCAGTTGCCGGAACTTTAATGATTGAGCCCACCGAGTCAGAGGATAAACAAGAGTTGGACAGGTTCTGTGAGGCGCTTATATGTGAGTGTACAGTCACAATCAAAAATACTGCACCCTAGACAGTAGGATTATCAGTCTCATGGTCCAACCATCCATTTATCATCCTTTAATGTTTGTATAAAACAACTGAAGACAATTTCAGGGATAGTTTTGTATGGTTTATATAGAGTGCAGTATAAGTTTTTTTCTTGGTATTTAAATTATTTTAAAATAATCTTAATAAAATAAACTATATAATTATACAACAATAGCTCGTCCTGTGGTATTGTAATGAAACAGTGAAGACAAATCGTAATATCTATGGTAGGTAAAAGAGTAGTAAAGACAGACACCAGATCACTCTAAAAGTTATTTACATGAATCACACATAAAATTTCCCATTTTTTTCATCAAACAAATATTTAAAAATAAAATAAAAAAAAGATTTTAGGTTTTTGGGCTCAATGAACCGAATGTCATCTAATCAGCTTACTTGTTTCCATGCTTTACACATTTATTTCAGCTTTTAGCAGGCTTAATTTGGTGAATTTAGATTGTAATTTCAGAGTCTATATTTTTGATATTTTTTAACCTAATTACAGTATAACTCCAACTATCCGAATCACTTACACAAAACTTATAAACCCCAGTAATGGTTATTAAAGAAGAAAAAAGCTGTGTACTACCAAAACCTCTCCCGCAGTCAAGTAGACGTCATCATGGTCTCCCACAGTCAGGGAAACATCATTATTGTTTTCCGTGATCCCCGTTATCCCACAGTCATTATCAACGCCTCCAACGGCCACGAATCATCATCATTGTTTTCGCGACAAAATCTTGAACACTTTCGCTGGCTTGTGGAATACACTACACCACTTATTTGAAAACTTTCTTCTAAAACAACTCATTGTTATTTTTTTTCACTGCATTAAAATGTGATGTCCACAGACATCAGACAGGAGATCAGAGACATAGAGGAAGGAAGGATAGAAGCTAAGCAGAGTCCACTCAAGATGGCGCCTCACACACAGTCACAGGTCTCGGCTTCAGAGTGGGACAGAGCGTATTCTCGTGAGCAGGCTGCCTTCCCAGCCGTAAGTCACATATTTCATCAAAATACCTTTAGTCATACTTCTATTTGGTCAGTAGTGAAGAAATCAACTTGTTTTAGTATTGTTAAAGGATACAATACGTTTTGCTTGAGATCCATATAATATTTATCCATGGAGAAATCATTTGTTCCATGAAACAAAACACACATTCCAAAACATAACTTTCTGTAAACGATTTAAAAACTTCTCCCCTTTGGTAACCTTTAAATTGTAAAACCCTTTGATAGGTGTCGAAAATGACAACACGACCTCAAAAATATTATAAATCTCCCATATAAAGTTAACAGCTGAAAACAGTATTATACGTCGTAAAAGATGAGTACTTAATACTGAAATGATAATGAAAGATCTTTATTCAGCAGGCGTTTTCAGATGTAATTTTTGAATATTTTGTATGATTGCAGCCTTTTGTCAGAGAAGACACAAAGATATGGCCGACAGTGGGACGCATTGACGACATCTACGGAGACAAGCATCTCGTTTGTACTTGCCCACCTATACTCGAGTATTTCTGAGGTTAATTTCAACCTTCTTGTAAATATCTTGTAAAATATAAGCTGTATATGATTGACTAAACAAGTATTTTGTTGCCTCCCGTGTATTAATGATGTACGTTAATTACCAGGGACATTGTCAATGCCTGGGCCTTATGTTTTGCTTATTATTAATTAATTCCCTAACCCAAATGGTTCATAGTTCTCAGCAACATTTTCTCAGCTACTTAAGCTGCACCAAAATCAGATTTTTTGTATGTTATCTTCTTTTGACCTCAGCAATTTGTATCAGTAATGACAATAGTTTTCTACCCAACACTACCCGATTCACCAATCGCTGCTATGTTCATGTTTACTCCTTAAATATCTACGTGGTTGTGCTCGCCTTGGAGTCAAAAGATTGCCGGTTCAATCCTGAGCACTGCCAGAATTTCAAAACTGGTCCCAGCAGTCCTTGATCATTGGGCTTCCAATTTATATTCCTGACTAAAGAACCAGTTTATTTTAGTCAGTAGCAATTTTTTTTTTCATCTCAATCATTCATTCTTCACTCATCTTCCCTTTTAGGTGCGTATTTTAACCCAAATATGAGTGAAGGATGATTGTAGAATGGAATGAGATGATCTTTGTGGCGTTGTTACTGACTAAGATCAGCTGTTTCAGACAGTACCAGTTATTGAAAGCCCAATGATCAGGAACAGCTGGGTCCAGTTTCAAACCATCAAAAAGCTACTGACTTTTCTCAGTATCGAGTCGGCGACCTGTTGTTTGTTAGGCTAGCACTATAACTTATAGTGCCTAGCATAACAAACAAAAAGTCGCCAACTCGATAACCACTCAGCTACCCGAATGACCTTTTCAAAGCACTTCTACCAACCAATTTCAAAGAGCTGTTTACACATGCAATGGATCTAAATGAAACAGCAATTAAAAAAAGTAATACTTATTATTCATTACGGTGTCGTATTTGTCACAATCTATTAAACTACATTACAATGTCTTACACTTTGTAGCACCTAGGTAAAGCTGGCCTCAGTTCATTTTTTATGCTTTGTACACTTGAGTTGTTTCTTGAGCGTTTTCACTAACTCAAGGTTTCACCATGAGTTGCACGGGTGTGTGCAATAGCAGCTGGTTGACGACTTTCTTTATAACTTGAGCCATTTTGATTCGTAGTTGGGGCATCATCACATTGAGCACTTCGTGTCCGTTCTCCCTCAGAAACAGATTGGTTGCTTCAGCTGGAAAAGGTTGGAGTAGTTAGAAAAAAGTAAAGCTTGTGTAGCAAACCATATGAGGATGTCAGTACAGGGTGTCTACCAGTCGGGAAAAGTCGGGAAAACGGGGGGATTTTTTTAGTAGTATGATGAAGTATGATGACTCAGATTTTCACATGGAAAGCAAGTATCCGTGTAAACATAATGCTAAGTCGAGAATTTTGAACAAAATGGTCGGGAAAAGTCATGAAAAAGGGGGGAATTTTATTTGGAAAATTTGGTAGACACCCTGCAGTGGTTCAAATAGAGAGTTGATAGTTAAAAGTACATAAGAGTAATCACTTTAGAAATATCCCTTGTTTACACTTGCTTTTGAACTTAATTTTAGAATTCAAACAAAAAATAAAATGTTTTACGGTACTTTTAATTTTTATAATATTTAAAGGACAGTCTTACCAAGGATGGATTAGATACTTTATTTTATGATGTGCAGTTGAACCTCTTACATTTCTTAGGTAGAAATTGTTTAAATAAATTTGTCAAATAACCAGAGACGCTAAAACTGGAACCAGAGGAGCAAAAAATTGAATACATTCGCCAAAAAACATATTTACAGAAAAGAAAGACAAATAAAATATATCTGTTGTAAAGACATACTTGAAAAATAAAATATACTGAAAATACAGACAAACTAGTGCAAGATACATCTTAAGTTGTCCTAAAGTTGGATTCATGGTTCTACTGTAATAGTTACACAGACTGTACTGACTTTTGTGAACAAATTAAATTCTTTGGATCCAAATATCAAAGATTCATACATTTTTAAAGCTATTTTATTACTACAATCATCAATATACAAATAGTAACCAATACAATTCAGAGTTGTTCCATATTTTTTAAATTCTTGTGCTGTGCAACTTGCATCTTTTAGATCCAAAATAGTATATTCATCTCTAGAGCTTAAAGAAGAGACTCTTTTCAACCCAAGCTCAAGTTTCATGACCGAGGCAAAGAAGAGGTCAGAAAATAATAGGGTTGAAAAGACACTTTTTACCCACGTGATTAACTATATTTTGTTAACATATTGAAACATTTATTAACAAAACAAGTTAGAAAACAAAAATACTTTTCATTTAAAGATAGCCCCTCAAAACGACTTTTTTTCAATTTTTCTAATGCTTTAGCTACTAAAAAGCTAAATAAAAAGCTTTTTAGAAGGTGATTCAATCATTCCATCTATTACGATTGTGTTACATTATACTATCAATATGTTGAATTATTGACAAGAATGCAACAATAAGCAATAACTGTTCAAATAAAACAATAAATCATTTCGATGCAAGGGATTGCTTACAATCGAAGTTCATAAGTTTTTACAACAGTTGACTTTTACTCCCTAGAGACTGAAAAGGCTTTTTACTCCCTAGGGAGAAAAAAGCTACTTTAGACCCACAACAAATGTATTAAAATGGCCGTTTTTGTTGCGGTTTGACAAAAAATAATTTTTACAACCTACACCCCTGAGATATGCTTCCACGAGTTATACATCTTTTATCTATCCTCTCTTGTTTTGTTGTGGTTTCACTCACTTAATATTCTGTTGTTGTTGAAGATCTTTTCCACTCTCATCCTGATGTTTTTGATGTTGAGGTCAATGCTCAGTTTGTCAATTGTCAGATAGTCTAAGCCCTCTTTTTTGTATGTGCTGGTGAAGCCCTTTACTAGAGCTACCACGTTGCCTGGAACATAAACAGGTTTTTATTACTATATCAAAACATCTTGTTGATGAACTTTCTTAGACCCTCTGTGGAGTGAATACTGATGCTTTAGCAGAATATAGAAATCGTCTCAAAATTCTATTAAGAATAAAAAAGAAATAAAATATGAGAAATATAACTCAATGTGACTAAAGAAAGACACGCCACACCTATCTCCAATATACAGAGGATGACTAGTTGAGGCCACACAAAACAAAAAGTCATTAATTAATATTTTCTAGTGTCATAATTAATTGTGAAAGTTGAAAAATTAGGACCAAATCGTTAAAAACTATATACCATACAAAACATTTTGGGGTTTTAGGGGAAGATACTATACTTGATCCTACCTGTAAAAGAGCTCATCATCTGAGGTTTGCCCAAATATCCATCAGTTGCAACATAAATACAAGAAAAAAAGTAGTTAGGGAACTTTCCCTCAAACCGCCTTAATTTTTTGAACGAACTATAAGTGTTGAGCTGTTTGTTAAAGCGCAGGATAAAAATATTTGACTATTGTGTAAGGTAAAAATACTGTAATCTACTGCATCTCCTGGAATTGCAAGTTATTTTCATTTTACTTTTTGAAAGAAAAGAGTTAGGATCAAAACTTGTGATTTAGAATGAACAGTAGAGTAAACCGGTTTTACCTTTCTGAAAAATGTTGTTTTAATGTTTACACAGTTTTAGATTAAGAGAAAAAGCAAGGGTGTTTGTAGAGATTTTTTTCAAGGGAGCAAACCGGGTTCCTTGTTCCATAGGGCAGAGGGAATAGGCTGTCTCAAATTCACTTGTCTGGCAATTTTCTGATATTTAACATGACGTGATCGTGACGTTCCAGTCCAGAGCGGAAACCCTATTGAACTGAGGCTTTTTTTGTCCTCTTCAGCCAACAGCTTTACCGTTACTGTTTAATCTCCCAAACTAGTAGGTACTGACCCAAGTTAGCGTGGAAAGTTCCGCCGCCACTAGCTGGCAGGATTATCAGCACTCCACTGCTGGTGTAGTTAGCATCAATCGTCATCTCAGGGATCAATACTCTGGCTTCAAATGGATTGTTGTCTTTGCTTAGCCTGCAAATCAAATATTCAATGTTAAATATACATAGTTAAGAATCCATTCATAAACGTGTGACTCAAATTTGACATAAATATACAGGGTGTCACGTAAGTAAACAGCCAAACTCTGTGAAATGGTTCTATGGGTAAAAAATAAAAATAAAATCAAGACCAGATATCCACCATTTTGTTTTTTCCACATAAATATTTTTATCAGTGAATTTTTTTCAACCGATCATTATGAAACTTGGTATGTATTTCAAGGTAAAAGAGGTCCACGTTAGAAAAAAATCTTAATCCTTTCGGCAAAATGGCAGCCATTTTAATCTTTTAAATTGAAATTGCTTAAAGATGGCTAACTTTTATAATGACTGCCATTTTGAAATTTTAATTGGATTAAGATAATTGTTTTTTCTAACATGGGTCTCTTTTACCTCGAAATACATACAAAGTTTCATAATGATCGGTTGAAAAAATTCAAGGATAAAGATATTTATGTGAAAAAAACAAAATGGTAGATATCCGGTTTTCAAAGCGATTTTGAAAATAATTATTTTTGATTTTCTCTTTATTTTTACCCACAGACCCATTTCCCGGAGTTTGGCTGTTTACTTACGGGACACCCTGTATAATCATTTAAAAGCACTAAAATGTATACTATATTCATGAGGCAGCTGACTTAGCTAGCAGTTTGCAGGTTTGACAATGTAACCACAAAATAATCGTACGTTTAAGATCTCCTGCCCTCCAGAGTACCTCTTATCACCTTCTTTCCCATCTCTCTCTCACCTTTGCGTTGAATGTGGCCCAGCCACCTCAACCTTTTACTCTTTACCACTCCCACAATATCTGGTTCCCTATATCCCTCAACTGCCTATTTTTAGCAAATTTCCCATATAGGGAATATTAGCGAATTTCCCATATAGGGAATAAGCTATTACCGTAGTACTCATGGTAAGACCTGGACGCGGGACCGATTTTTTTTTTTTTTTGAGGTCCCTAGAGGCCAAAAACACCATTTGTTCAAATTCATATATATATATATAAATATATAAATATATATTTATATATTTATATATTTATATATTTATATATATATATATGTGTCCGTTAGCACGATAACTCGAGCAAAAATGATCCGATTTTGATGAAATTTGGTACAAACGTGTAAACCTACGTTTATTTGAACGAGTTCGCGATCCAGCATGATCGGACCATGGGAACGGGGGTTTATGGGGGGTTTTATGGGGTAAAAATAGGTTTTTCCCATTTTTGACTCAAAAAACATAAAATTTTGCAATTTCTTTCTAAACCATTTTGTAGAGCTTAAAAAAACAAATAATTTAGTATATTGAAGCGTTATTATGCGCCTAATTGTTACGGAGAAAATTTCAAAAAATTGTAAATTTAAAATTCCCATGTTATTCTTATGGAGAATAAATAAACTGTTGTAGTTTGCTTGTTTATGAACATATTTTGATCAAATTTGGAAAATTTTTTATTTCTTTACTAACTATTAACATTTTACAAAAAAAACAAACAGTTTTACCCTCCCTGATGCAGCAAACCTAAGTACTTTTTAAACTAATTCTATTTAAATCGGGAATAAATGTTATATTTTTAAGTAGACATTTCAGTGTAAATCCAATCAGTCAAATGGAAATTCGCTTAGTCTGCAGGTTTGCTGCGGCGGGGGTATTTCCTAATCCACGAGTCTCCGTATTTTATTGGTCCAAAAAAATTGGTTTATTAAGCTAAACTAATTTTTGTTGGTGCACTCACTTGAGCTTGGTGACGGTGAAGTTGCTCGCTCCATACATGTGAATATCTCTCAGTGTAATCTTGTAGCCTTGGTCTCCCCCAGTCAGGGCTAGTGAGAGTGAGTCCAGTATGAAGGGTTCTACACTTGGCAGATGTATCTCAGGGATGCCTAGGGGCAAAATAATATATATAATCTTTCAAGAAATAAATTAGTACTTTTTCACAAAGATAACCTCTAGATTTGATTATCATCCATAGTAAGAACATATCATAGCATGGAGTAAAAACTTCATTGCAGTAAAAATGCTTGTAATCGTCAGCATTTCTCTACTCCTTTCACAAAATTTAGCCAATTCAAGCCCAAGAAATATATTCCCTCCATTTGATCCTACCTTTAAAACATAGTTCAACAGCTGAGGTTCACTAAAACGTCAATCAGCTGCAACTTATACATTAAGCAAAAAAGGGGTGGGGGAACTTCCTTCAAACTACCAACATTTTGTGAACTGACTATCATACTCGTATAAAGGAGTCAGTGGCGTTGCTTGGTTAAATTCCAGGGGGGGGGGAGAAGCCTCAAATTTCCCAACTGCATAACATAGATTTCCCAACTATTTTTCTTTTTAGAAATCAATTTCTGTACTATTTTTAAAAATCTACAAATTAGTATACTACACTGCAGTAACATTCAATTCAGTATTTATAAACTTGCATTAACAAAACATAGCTAGTTTTACATATATACAAAATTACTCAATTTCTAAAACTTCTACCAATTCATAATGAAATTTTATGACTTCAAAAAACTTGAACAAGTAATGTTTCAAATCCAAAAAACTTTGCAAACCATTGTGGTAGCAGACGTAGCAGTGTAAAATTTTAGGGATATAAAATAAGCCTCAGAGTACAAATTAGTATAGAAAAAATATTGTATGAAAAAATAATGAAATTAAAATACTTTTAGAAGTTAAGATCAACATTTTAACTTTCATAAAACTTACAACTAGGGTAGGCCTAAACAAGTTTGTAATGATGAAATATTAATATCAGTGTTGTGAATAATATTATTCTAGTCTATAGAAAAGAATAAACCTAAAATAAGACTCGTATAAAATAAAAACGTTCAACTTGGTTGATAATAAACTTATACATACAATAAAAATGTTAACCTTCATCTCCATCAAACTAGAACTAGAACCAAAAATAGATCCTTAGGTCTATTTATTTCCAAAATTTAATGACACGATTTTGATAATACAATACAACATCTCGAACCCCTATTTACTGGTATGGTAAAAAAGTGAACTTGAAGGTTGAAATTGTCGCCTATTGTGGCCACCCTCAGCGACTTTGTCGTCGCGACAAAATCGCGTGAAATTAAGTCGCCGCGACAAAGTCGCCAAGTGTGGCCCTAGCCTTACCAATATAAATGAATAATTTAAAGAATGTCCCAATTGTTAGAAACTTAATTTTGAAATCTGTTTTCAACCTGGGGTCCTGTAAACCTCTTTTTACATGTAATCTTTCAATTTAAAAATATACTAATCAAAGTACAAACTAGTGATAATGTTTAGTCTATCCTCTGAAAATGCTTACAATAACAATACATGGGGATTTTCATGCATTTAAATGACCCATTAATATTATATTATACGTATAAATTACAATTAGGCTGATAGACATAATATTAAAAACACCAAGATATCTACTATCACGTTAAAATTCTACGATTTTATGTCAGATTGTTAGACATAGCCAGTGGGCTATGTCTAACAACAACAACCTTATAACAACCTTATAAGGGAGTGCCCTTATAAGGTTTGTAAATCAAACTTCATTTACACTTTACTGACTTTTGGACTAGAAAGTTATACGAAAATATATTAAACAATGTGTTTTTATTTTGGCTATTGAATTAGCTCTCCCTTTTTGCCTAGCTTTAAAATTGCATTTCTGTTTTATAAAATAGTTATTTGTGCAACTAGTGAGCAAAGTGAGCAATTGACTCACTCGAGAGAAATACTTACTCACGAGCCGTAGGCGAGTGAGGAATGGTATCTCGAGTGAGGCAATAGCACTTTGCACTCGAGTTGCACATTATATTTTTCCTACGGTTACCATAAAACAAATAAATTGGTAAAGAAACGTAACATATTTTTACACAGAAGTGAACTTTTAATATGACATTTAATGATACAACATTACAACAGCTTACCAGCTGATTTACAGCCAGTGCTGCCAACATATTTCGCGCGCATACGACCTTGTCTGCATGTTACGCGCTCACTATTTCGTGACTTCACGTTGCAAATCTGGAGTGAGACAAAGTAATTAGAGTGAGACAATGTTAACATTGTCTCACTGGTGAGCGAATTGGCCACTTTGCTTTCTCAAATCAGTGAGAGAACATGTACATTGTTAGGTAACTGTAGGAAAAGAAATATTCACCATTTCTTAATTATAGTTCACGTTAGTTTATGACAATATCAATATTTTTATTGTAGGGGGAAGAATATTATCGCACGGATTAACAGCTCCGCGTTAAACTGTAGTTGTGGTATCAGGGTAGTACTTGGCAAAGCTTTAAGCGTTTGCTTTGATATCGTACTAGGTTGCAACATAACCTTAGGAAGCTTTACATTTTGAACAGAGAGGATTATCGTAAAATACAATCATTTAAAAGCTCACATGAAATTAAATAAAACAATTTATTCGTTTTAAGAGGATTATTTACTGCAAACAAGATATGTATTTAATAATGATTGCAAAATTGCTACTATGAAAAGAGTTTTGTGCCTGGGAAGAAAAAGATTCTTTGGATATTACGGGCCAGATGCAACAGTTTTACTAATTCCACGAATTGACAGTTTGATTCTAAATGACCGATGAAAACTAAACCCTTACATAGAAGCAAATTAGTAATAAATGAACGTGTTTGCCATTAAATATCACGTTAAGTTTGCTATAGTTAATTTAGAAAGGACATTTTGTTGTATGAAATATAATTATTTGTTAAAAAAATATAAAACAAATTGTGTTATTAGTTTTTATTAAGTGCACTAAAAATTAAAACATATCATTGATCATAATAGTGTAAATACATGATATAAATAGGCATATATTTCTCATCCAGTATCACCGTTATGTTTGTATAATGGTACTTAAATCACGTTATATAAACAATTTACACACTTTTACTGGTCGTTTTCCTTTTCTCATTATCAGGTTAACAATTGTCTTATATCGTTTATGGTTGTACAATCTTTCCTTGCTGTGCATAAAAAGAATACATTTCTGATTACTCTAATCTCTTTTTTAGATTTAAATTGTCTTTGCACACATTGTGAGGCTGTCATTATTCCCATAAAATTCTTGAAAGGGCTAAGACCACTTTCTTCTCCGATTGAATTAAAAAAGCCAGTTTTGTTGCTCTAAATACAACATGAGCAAAGTAACAAGGAAGATTGCACGTTCATAACATTCTACGACTCTGAACGTTTCCTATATTAACAAGTAAGCCTGGAGATAGTCAAGCATAGACAAAAATCAAACTTAGAGTGAAAGTCAAACATCAAATTTTAGGTTATGTTTTGTCCACGTAGATCTGTTTCAGAGTGATTAGTTGATTCATTTGTAAATCCTTAATTAGGAATGATAAATAACTTGTGTAGATTTTTTTTTAATATTCAGAGAATACATATTTCATTTAGGTTATTAAAAAATAAGAGTTTTAGAGGTAATACCGATACACAAAACCTATCCTATCTGTTATTTTAATCTGCTTATTAGCAAGTACTTCGGTCAGTTAGCCTGCTCCAAATACCACAAAAAAAGGTATAAAATATATTTCATGTGACTGACGGAAAAAATATTTTTGAATTTCTTGTAAACACTAACAAACAACATAATTGAACAGAAGAGCTACATTGCTTGCACTTTCAAAATTCAAACTCGCAGTCTCGCAGACGAATCATTCAGAATCATCCACACAGGACAGGATCAAGGTAGCCCACATACGTCCAATAAGGAACAAAATTTCTCGTAAACGAAATTCCAACAAGCTATACCGCTAATTGATTATTGATTTCTTAAAATAAGGCGTGTTTAGCCATTGTTTAGCCTTGTTTAATCAAAGTTAAATGAAATCAAAGAAGCTTCAAGTTTATTTGTCCAAGTCAAAGCAATTTTTATCTTTGATGGATTTTCGGAAATATTTAAATTTTGTTTAGTTTAAAAATATATTTTTCTTGTATCTGACTTCCCAACTGTCCCAACTCGTGGCAAGGAAATTCCCAACTTTTCTCTTTCCCAGATTCTAGGGGGGGGAGGCTACCCCCCCTACCCCCCCCCCCCCCAAGGCGACGCCCCTGAAAGGAGTATGTGTAATCTATGATAATATCAAGTGGTAATGTAAGTAATGCAGGAATGTGTAGAATATGTGATGAAAATAAATTTGTGCATCAAACAAAAAGAACCTCAGCAGTTTTGACGATGCACATACGATACAGGGGCTAACATTTCACCCCCTCCACCTTAGAAAAAATTATTTTGGAGCCCAAATATAAGAATAAATGGGAATAAATTATAAACATTTTATGATTTGAATATGTTCAATATACAAATTGAATACAGTTGTATACTTAAACAGGTGTCAATTACAACATGATATAAATGCTTGACTTAACTTTGTTCACATATTCAAATCTTGTCCTCTTGTTCGGGTGACCCATCTCTATCCCACTCGCTTGTTAATTTTTTAAATTGTTTTTTACAAACTTGTGTTTGCAATCAATTTTTATAAACGTTGCTTGTAGAAAAATTTGCAGGTCAAAACTCAAATTTGTACAGGTCCTTCCTATTATTATTATTTTAATTTTATTATTGTAATCTTTATCTATTTCTTAACTTGTGGTAGTAAAAAAGTGTGACGTCCTGACAGATAAAATTGTTTAACTACTAGAGTTATCATTACATATTCTTATTTTAGCTATTTTATTATTCTTCCGACTGTCATTAGGCACATTAGGGAGCTAATGTCTGGCCTTGACTTTGTAATATCTCATCATATTAATCATCATTACGTTAAATGACCATTACGTTGCAATCATAACTTGCAACCTCAGTATTAAAACTCCCTCTAGCTTGCGTCATCATATTCGTACACAATGTTTCCGTCTACGCGAGTCATTCCAGGTGATGCCATTTTAATGAGATACTTAGTAATTTTCTTTTATGAGCTTCATGGAAACAAGGTATTCAAAGTTGGTGGTCCCATAAGGATGTTGAACTATTCCTGTTTCAAAGACTTTGAGTTGATGTTGGGAAAAAATATTAAATAAATACTGCAGTAAGTTGTGCTTTTAAGAAAGCTTTAGTTCGTGTCAAGAAGTTATTGGAAACGAGTAGTTAAGCATTCATCACCCTTTTAATCTAATAACTGCAGAAGTCTAATAATACTGTACTATCAATTTTAGCCATATTTTAAGTTCCCTTTTACATTGTATTAGCTCCAGAACCCTACTTTCCCCCACATTAAACTACCATAACTATTACCTCTAAAAATCAAATTAAATAAAACGGACTAGTATTTGAGTACAGTAGTAGATTCACTTGTGATTTGTAAGTTGAGACAACTTGTACATGGTGTTTTCTTACGCAACCCAAATTACAAGTTCAGATACTGTGTAGGGACAAAACAAGTTCACAAGTTGACAGCCCTGCTTACCTTACTTATCAGCTGTTATGCATTTGTAAAGTGATCTTAAAAAATAATTTGACATTGTATTCAGATGATCTAAAATGATAGATTTATAAGGGGTCATTTAATTACTGTATGTTAACCCTTAATTTGGCAAACAAATCTTTTTTTGAAAACTAATTTTTCCTTGCTATATTTCAATCAAAAGGGTCCAAAGGAACTGCAAAAAAATAATTTTAAAATTCTTATAAGTATTTTTCACAATTTTTTCATGTGTGCCATTTTTGGCACTTTGCCAAAGATGCGGAGATTTCTCTAGGAATCTTTTGTTGAATAAAATACAACAAGTTTATCTGTATAGCACTTAAAAATAACCCTAAGGGGTTGAATAAGTCGACATTATCACATATTGGATATCAAAATTGTATAACTATAATTATATGTAAGATATAAAAAAATCAATTTTTCCACAAAAGCTATCAATCCAATATAAAATGGTATAAACGTCATTATAAAAAATGAAGTAAAATGTATACACATGTAAAATCTCTACAAAACTATGTGATTACAATAGAAAATACATTATTATATAATTTATTGATATTTCATCAGTCATGCCCATCAGGAAAATCGTTTGAAATTTCATTAGAGTATGTACATCAAGAAGGGTCATCTACTTTTGGGGAAACCCCACAAAACAATTGCTATTTTCTTTCAGTTACATCCTCGCATTGCACTTTTAACACTTTAACGACGATTTTTAATTTTTGCAAAATCTGCATCGACCTCTTAACGCATACAAAGAAAGGGTAGTGTCCAACACCATCAAAGCGTACATCTTCAACACACATCAGAGCAGCTGGTGTGAGAAGAAGTAAATCCTTTTTTTAGAACTTGTCTTTTACTCCTTTCTTTGGTTAGCGATTCAAAAATCCTATAACTAAAATTTGTTAGTGACATATTGTCTTGCTGGTTTTCAGTTTAATTATTTTCAAAGTGGCAACAATGCGTTATTCCACGATATGTCGATACGGTGAGCAAATATTTGTAAGTACCAAAGTCTTTATCGGAATGCACAAACAACTTTCATATAAGAAGATTCACTTTCAGCAGGAAATAAAACTCTTTTTTGTTGCCATGGATGGTTGGGATTTTTTGTAAAGCCAAAGTCTTTTCTAAACAGCCTAGTGAAAAATCTTTCCTCGCAAAAACATTTTTATTTTACAGTTTGTGGTAATAAGAGACATACATTTACAAATATAAATACCTTTCACTGTTTTATAAACAGTGTGCCACTTTAGGCGCGCTCAATAAACAAAAAAAAAAATAACTGCATCTTTGGTTATGTGCCATTTTTGGCACGCCCAAAAATTTTCATTGTTCCCTGGTTCTTTGGCAGTGTGCCATTTTTGTCACACTCAAATTGTTTAGTTTATAAAAACCCAATATTCATATTTAAGCTAATTACTGACCTGGGTTATGTTTTCTCATCTTTAATCTGTGCAAATCACTTAGATATATAAGTAAACAGCCTAAAATATTGAAATAAGAAATAATTTACTAACCTTCTACACTAAGCCTCCATACTTCCTTTTCTATATGTTGGTCTAAAGTGATAGTAATTTCCAAAACATCCAATATAGTGCACTAAACCATAATAGCAATAGGCAAAGAACCTTTGGACGCCGTTTGTTGGAATTAAAAAGTTAACAGTCGAACTTGACATTTTTTTGAATCCTCATGTGCCAATAATGGCACGCTGTCAAATTAAGGGTTAAATGTATAGTGTATGGACTACTTCTCCCATTCAAATGAAGGAATTAAACAAAACTGAAATAGTTATTTGTGTAACTAGTGGTGAAAGTGGCACTTTGCTGCACACGAGAGCAATGTTTACTCGCCTGCGGCTCGTGCGGAATGATCTCGAGTGCAGCAAAGGCCTTTTTCACTCGTGTTACACATTATATTTTTCCTACAGTCACTATAAAGCATATAAATAATTAGTCTTTCAAACACTATACAACACGTTTTTAGGTTCAGCTGGCAACACAAATGGTGCCCTAGAGAAAGTAGTACCCGCGGTCCGTATCACTCCGCTATTTTTCCTCGGCAAGAAATGTGCTCCGCGTTTTGAGAATATAGTTCCGTATGTTTTTGTAATTTGAAGTGGTTTCCGCGCCTAAAAAAAATGCTTAAAAGGTATTTTCTTGTTTATTAAGATCGTAGGAATGTTTTAAAAACGTTTAAAAGAAAAGTCCAGAAAGTTCAGAAATACCGAAACTATAAACACGAAATTACAGGTTAAATCGTAGTTATAATAGTCAATCAGCTGCTCATAGTAGCCTATTATTATCTTTAAGTGTTGCCAACCTATTTCCAAGCGTACACGGATTACGTGCATAATGGAACCACGCTGTTTTGTGTTGTTTCGTTGGAATCCTGATGTGCGGCAAAGTATAAACCGTACGGCAAAGTATAAATATGCAGAAATTAGCAGCTTTCTGTACTATAAACAGTACAAGGAAGCCAACTTTGTCGGGTGACTGTAGGAAAAAGATAATTTTCTTATCAATTTATACTATTCAGAAATGACATTGAAGATCATGGGTATTACCAAAGATTACATATATGCTACGCAAAAATTACCTTTGACGAGATAAGGTCTCAGATGATGCAAAGACCCAATCAAGCATTCCTGTAGATTTGGCGAACTCAGCTTGCATTGCTTTACATACTCAGCTGTAACATAAAAATAATTCTTCAATTACCGCTACAAAAGAGTCAACAAAATACATCTCACTAGTTGAATAAACGGTATCAGCAACTGACACATATACTTTCTCCCATCAGCCTGGCATTACAATTGAACCTCCAAAAAATTTCATTAATATCGGACAATGGGAACAGGTGTTAGTCTGCTGTACACCTTGGTACACATCCACATAGGCTACACACACAGTGAGACATTAAACTTAGGCCTACAGTACTTCCAAAATCACTTTATGGGTTCATTGACATTCCCACACAAAAACTCAGAAATTTTATCGAAAACAATACATTCTCTCTTTATTATGTACAGTGGGAGAAGGTTAATAGAGGATATTAATGTGGTTGGTGTTAGGTTAGGTTTTTTGTGTCACATAATAAAATTGGAAACTTGAAGAGTAAATAAATTTTTTGAAGAAACATGATTTTTTTAACAAACTAAAACAGTTTAGAAAAATTATGTAAGCAAAAACAAAAGAGTTTATTTAAAAAAATTGATTTTCAATGGAGTCGCGTACACTAATGCAAAGAGCTGTGGTTGGAATGTGGGTTAGGTAAAGACAAACATTGCCTACATTTCGGTGTTTTGCAGCTCACTGCTTCTCTCTGTGTACCAGCATTAACCATCGATAACAACCCAATAATAACAATTTCAAAACTAATCAGGATTTGTTGCTAAAATAGAATTTTTCTCTTTATCATTATGTACGTTTGTGCACATTAAAAAATATCATAACAAAACCCGGGACTAGTATAGTTGAAAATAGATTATTCCCTATGGGAAATTCGCTAAAACGGAGATTCAATGGCTGTACAAATTATCCGATAACTAAACCCATTTACACGTATTACGTACTTAAGATTTATTGGGATTAGAATATCTTCTAAAATTTGTCTACATATTTTAACGAGTTTAGTGCACTTGGATAGTGGGTCTATCATCCATGATATAAATTTATTAGCCAACTAGTTTAATTTGTTGTCTCCTCAAGAGTGAAATACCTACCCAACATCGTGTATTACTATTACAATTACAAAACGCACTGAAACGAGAACTTTCACAAAGTATTGTATTGACAAGTGGAGAGACTAATTTTTCACGGACTGTACTAAGCCGGAAAACATTTAACCAGTATGAAACCACGATAAAGCTAAATCTACTTTACAAACTACACCACAAAAATCCCTGTGGAAAGATCACCACTCACATAAAACGCCGTTACACGTTCGCAATCGCTCTTTCATTCACCACAACGGGGCATTAACACATTTAGCAGGAAACCTAACAGAGATAGAAAGTGTTACGGTGTTACATAGTGTTTCGCAACGCTGTTTCATTAACCTCTGTTTATTCTAGTTTCTCGAGTGGTTTGTGACGTTGACCTTTGTAGAGTGACGAGTTGCGAACCATCAACGTCAACGACCTGATGACGACTTGGATAGTCTGAGGTCATAATTGTAGCGTCCCTGTTGCTAGCTTTTGGCCAACTCTTGAGTTTTGAAACTGTTAGATAGTTAAATCTGTAAGTGATTAATTCATCAGCTGATTTATTATTATTAAGTTTGTTAGTGAATTTTCTGTTTACATTGATGTGTTTAAGAATGAAATAAAATGGTTCTTTTGTATTTTGGAATATCATTTAGTGTAATTCTATATTGGCGTCGATGAGTAAACGAACCAAAAGAAGAAATAGTTATTTCAATGAAGAAGAGAAGTATGAAACTAAAGAAGACACATTACAATCAAAGATAGAGAATTTCAAATGTCAAAGCTTTGATGAGTCTAGTAGGTGGGACGATTATGAAGCACATTTTCTATTATTATGCAAGGTAAAAGGATTGGGAGAAGACTCTCAGAGAGCAGAGGATGCTCGAAGGGATCTTTTGCTTGCATATGTGGGTCCTGCACCATTAAGAAAGATTTCAAACTTTCTACTGCCTTTGAAAGTACATCAGGCTACGTGGGCAGAACTAGTTAATGGTTTCAGGTCAGTATACAAGGCTAGAAAGACTATATTTTCAGCTAGAATGGAGTTTGAAAAATGCATCAGAGAAGATAGTGAAAGCCTTTCAGAATTTGTAATACGTTTGAAAAACTTAGCAGAATTTTGCAAGTATGAGAATAAGTTTGATGAAAGAATAAGAGACAGATTTGCAGGAAGTATAAATTTTCCAGAGTTTGAAGTAGAAATTAGACAACGATGGCCTGATGGTGTAAAAGAAAATGGTGACAAGTTAACATCTGAAGATATTTTTGAACTGGCCACTTCAATGGAAAGAGCTCGTCATGAGATATTCAAGAATAACGATAAAGAGTTGGAAGTATCGCAAGTAAGAAGAAACAATAAGGGGTCTAAGAGAGAAGTGGAATATAACGAAAAGACAAATCATCCATGTAGTAGATGTGGAACAAAACATGAATTTCGCAAATGCCCAGCCTACCAAAAACAGTGTTTAAGTTGTAAAAAAATAGGACATTTTGCAAAGGTATGTCGGCAATTTTATGTATGCACATAAACTGTGACGTAGTTTATGACAATGGGATGTGTAAAAAGAGCCAACTATTAAAAAAAAAATAGCAAAACATTTCCAGTCCGTGTTTCGTGTAGTAATGCAAGTTGATTTGCGAGTTGGTCATGCGTTTTATAGTTTTTTGTTTGTGTTTATGTTTTTGTGACCGCGTGCTTTTTAAGGCTTTTGACGACCTCCTTCGATTGATAGATTCTACGTATAGCTTGACAATGACGTAATAGTAATAGGCATCGAGTCCGTTTCCAAAATCTCTAAAACGAATACAGTGGAACCTTGATAACAAGTCACCCTAAAGTGTCATGTTCAAATCCCCTTTGATTTATTTTAACCATAATCAAATGTTATTGCAAACCTCGATAATAATGCTTGTTATCGAGGTTCTACATGAGAAAAATCAATAGTTCTGTTGACCTATGTAGATTGATGGTGTATTCTTGCCAGAAATTAGCACGGGAAGAAATGTGAAAGGACATTTGCATGAAACTTGGCACGTTAAATCTGTAGGCTTAGAATAAACATTTAGATGGTTAAATCGAGCCTACGACATCATGTGCTGCTAAAACTGATTAATGCCAATGCTAAATTTATCCAACCCAAAACCAAGACAAATTATTGAATCCCATAGCACATTCGATGTTATATGAACTATATTGTAGTATGTATTTAAAATTGAGTGCTTTATACAGTAGTTCTGACAGATAGCTCTATCACGTTCATTCAATGGTGATCTCTTTGATTAAAAAGCTACAATCGTTGTTATGTCTATTTAAGTACCTAAAGTATGGTATTGCCAAAGTTCCGCTCACTCATTCTGAAGTTACTTCACGATTGTGGATTTCACAAATGTCAATTGAAGAAATTATCTTGAAGGTTGCGGTGTTAAAACCTTCTGCAGACATATTCCATCTTAACTGTCGTGACCACAAATTTGCTGCTAAATACCACGATTACTAGAAAAATCTAGTATTCGTGCTAAATACTAAATAGGCATTTAAAGAATATTCGTCAAGGAAATAAAGTAGCATTGCCCATTAGTTTTGCTCCGAGTAAAAAATATCTCTAAATATGGTTGAATATCGATCTTAGTACATTAGCTTTATAGTAATACAGTTTATATACGTAAAAACTTTTTTTTTAATAATTTAAAAATATTTATAGTCATTATAACTAGAAATAAGCTAATAAAAAACGGAGAGGGTCTATTTTTTAGACGGTGAAAAGGCGCTAGTCATGTTTTAATGCAACTCATCAAAAGCAAATTTTTAGAGTGTCAAAAAGGTTCAGAAGTATGCGCTGGAAGGTTCAGGGGTGAGGTCAATTAATATTTATTCAAGGGGAAATATGCCTCAACGAAAAAAAATTAACTCAACATATTTTGTGCTGTCTATATAAGTCGGACATGTACCAAGTGAACACGTATATTCGTGTCGGCATTAGGTCGTTCATGGTATGCAATTATAGTTTAAATATATGATAGGTTCAACGAACCTTCTGACTCACAACAAATAATCCCTTCACATTGCGTATGATGTTAGAGGTTAGGTAGAGAGGACTTGTACAAGTCCTAATTTCACCTCCTAAATAAAGACATTTTTCACTTCATCTCATCTTTGAACGCCATACAAAGCCTCTAAAGAGTTACTTTTGCAGGAATTTGTCCTTAAACGCACTATCCGCTACCGTGGCGACCTTATGTCGGTTAGGACAATTAGCGGATTGTCCGGTTCAAGGGTTTCCAATGTTTTGCTGTTCCATATTCAGTCGGCCTTGCTACGTGTGCAACATAGTAACCAACTTCAACAGATTTCCTTCCAAGTTTCAAAATACAGGTTATGACGAACTTTGCATTAGTGGGATTTTGATGTTCTCGGGGGTACTATCCCCATATTTAAATAGTGTGTATTAATTGCGTACGCTTTTTCGCTTTTTGTTAGGACAGCTCAATTCCCGTTGATATCTGTACATAGAAATCATCAGCGTGTGATTTTTTCAGCCTGTGAAGTTGTCAGATAGCTCTAACACAATTGGTTGCAGTTTTCACAAATTTAGATTAACAATAACGTCAAATTGTTTGCCTTTGTATTAGTTGTTAATTTCGTTATCAGGTGGTGACCTAAGGGTGTGATTTTAGTAAATCTCCCATATAGGGAACAATCTACCGTAGGTCTCATGGTAAGGCCTGGACCAATTTACTTTTTTTGTTTTAAGTCTCCAGAGGCCAAAAACACCCGTTCAAATTCATACACGTGTGTACATAGCTAGCTAGATATCTTCAGCAAATCCGACTTTAACGAAATTTGGTACAAAAGTAAACCTACGTTTATTCGAACATTCGGGGGTTTGTATTCATTGATTCGAACGAGTTCATAACCGATCAGACTATGGGAACGGGGTTTTTATGGGGTAAAAATTTAGTTTTCTCGTTTTTGACCTTCAAAACA